CCAAGAGACAGGGCTACTAATTTTCTTAATGTATGAAAGTAACCTCTCTCCCCTCGATTACTATGTTGTGCATTAGCATATTGTTTGCAAAATTCTTCAGAAAATGTTCTACCCTCTTCTTCTCTGTCTCCAGGCAGCCAAACCTCCTGACTTGAATCCTGAAACAGAAGAAAGTGTACCCTCTCAAAGTTCTCCCAAAGGCCCAGACCCTCCCATACTTACAGAGGTTGGCAAGCAGGAAGAACAGCCACCACTTGATCTAGAAGGCGTGAAAAGGAAGATGGACCATGGAGGCTATCCTTCTGTGGTAGGTCTCAGTGCAGTTGGCCCCTCTCATTTTCAGGACTTCTGCTGGGATGAAGCAAAAATTGAAGCCGAGTTAAAACAGGCTGTGCCGCTGCACTAAAAGGCCGCAATCTGGTTGCCACTTCTTGCATGGTTGCTGGATCTCTGCTGCCCTGTTTCCCCTCCTGTGAGTGAAGAGGAGGCCACCCATTTGACTCCAGCAATGGCTGGGCCAGGGAGCTGCCCGATGAAAATGCCATAAGAGTTTACAGCTCCTGCAGGTAGTGAGGCATGCCTTAAGGACCATAGCAAGGTGGATCTTATTTTTCACATCTAGTTGGAGTTCAGCGATGATCTTGTTAAGATAATCCAAGCAGCTATCAATGCGGATGGAGGGCAGCCAGAACTCAAGAAGGCCAACAGTGTGGTGAAGTCCTTCTTCATGAGGGTAGGCTGTATTTTGCCCTTGTCTTGAGGAAAGTTGGTGTTGCTCTTGTTCCCAGAGCAGCTCTGATTCTCCAAAGAAACTGTTTTTAAACCTGTCATAAGTTCGTCATTCTGATAAATTTGCTGAGCTCCGTAGCAGTTTTCTTAAAAGGTTAATGCCAAGCAAAGTAATGCTAAATTTTATCAAATTGTGGTTTTCCTCTTTAGCAAATGGAACGAGTTTTTCCATGGTTCAATGTAAAGAAGTCAAGATTTTGGGAACCAAACAAAGTCACGGCAAAGTAAGTAATTGCTCTGCTTCCTGAAGTCACTCTTTGTCATTAACCAGAGGTGGTACCATAATGTTGTCCCTTGGAAATCATATGGATTTCCAAATAGTCTCTCTGGCAGCAACTATGGTCAACCGCCAGAAGCAGGAGTCCTCTGGCATCGTTCTTTCTCCGAAGGGAGCTGAGGGATGAACTGGAGGGCTTTGGAAGTTGAGAGCTGCATCTAACTTATGGCCGTGTCTCTTATTGTCTTTTAGCAGTGGAATGCTGCCTAATGCTGTCCTGCCCCCCTCCCTTGACCATAACTATGCACAGTGGCAGGAACGTGAAGAAAACCGTTGTGCTCAGCAGCAACCCTCTCTGATGAAGAAAATAATTCCAGCTCCAAAACCCAAAGGGCCAGGAGAGCCAAACTCGCCTACGCCACTGCATCTTCCTGCCTCACCCTTATCCAGTGAGAAATTGAGCCTCCTTTTCTCTGTAGGAAGTTCTCCCAGAAGACAGGCTTTGGGGGAGCAGAGAGGAGCCTGCGAGAGGAGCCTTGTGGTCTGCTTTCTGCCTGAATGAAATACATCCCATTTCCCCCTCCTCAGATCCTTTGAGTCGTTGCTTAGACTGCTTCGCTTGAAAAAGCTCTTGCTGCTCTGCCCTTTGCAACTGGGTCGATTGCTCCCCATAGTTAGTCCCTTCCCATGTTTCTTCCTCATATTCTTTGTTGGGAATTAATTCTTTCCGTTTGTTTTGAGGTTCCGACAGAAGCCAAGACGACAGCCCAGAACTTTCCCCTCCTCTGGATGTGGAAGACAACCGGCAGTGCTCTCTTTGCCTGAAGTACGGTGATGATGGAGGCAATGTAAGTAGCTGCCAGACTCTGATTTCAGTCCTCTGCTGCTGCTTGCTCTGTCTACTTAAGCTAATCCTGGCAGACTGATCTCGAGTCATCTTCATAACTTAGAGTGATATCATTTGTCAGTTAAAAATATTTGATTAAATCACTCTGAGACTTTGGTGAGCAATCTGGCCAAACACTGTTAGCAGATAATGCTATAAAAGAGATTGTTATATTTTTATCCCACTTATAAAATTGGTCAACTCAAAGCAGCAAACATATTTAATACACCTGCCTCACATTTTCACCACAGCAACAATCTTGTGAGGTGGGTTTGACTAAGAGAGAATGACTGGCCCAAAGTGATCCGCCTAGCCAGCTTTCATGCCTAGAAGAGAGGACTAGAATTCACAGTGCCTGGTTTTCAAAAATTATTTGATTAATTAATTATTTGATTAAAGGATTCTTTCCATTCTTTACAGATGACTCAGAGCTGGGAGAGATTTGCTAAAATCTCAGGATAAAATTCAGATATTTTGTTACAATAGAAACAGATGCAAAAGCATACATTAGGAAAAATTACATGGTGAAATAAAAATGTGAATAGGCATAAATTGAGGATGGAGAACACCTGGCTTAGCAGTTGTATATGTGAGAGGAATCTTGGGCTAATCATTTTGCCACAAACTGAAGGTGCATTAGCAGTGTTTATAAAGGATCGAGACCTTCGAATTGAGATCAAAATAATGGGCCTTTTCTGACCCTCCCTGCTTATCAGCTCTTCCTTCAGCAGCACTTCCTCCCTGAGCAGGGTGGGACTTCTGCCTACGAATGCCTTTGGTGGGCTGTTTGCTTTTCTATAGGATGCTGGCCGTCTCCTTTATATTGGTCAGAATGAGTGGACCCATGTGAACTGTGCCCTGTGGTCAGCTGAAGTGTTTGAGGAGGAGGATGGCTCTCTGAAGAACGTGCACGTGGCCGTGATTCGTGGGAAGCAGCTGGTGGGTAGGATGTGTGACTGTAGAGCGTTCACTTTAGCACTTTCTCTCCTTGACCACTGCAAGAGCAAGGGAGCTTGTTTGTATTGCAATTTCAGTTATGGAGATCACAGATCAGTATTTATAGAAAAGAAAAAGGTTTCTTCTGAAAGAATTTGTGAAAAAAAATCTCTTGGTTCAATGTTATTGTTTTATTTCATTAATGCTAGTAACACAAAAAAGGAGTCTGCATTGTGTGGAATTGGCTCCTCTTAGCAGCCAGGCCGGGGTGTGAAAAGGTGCTTTTCAGCAGTTAAGGTGCAGCTGCCCCAAGCAGTTGAACTGAGGCTCAGTCTCTCCCTTAAGTGCCGATTCCTTCTGATTGCTTTAGAGCGGTTATTGATTTTTCTCAGGTGCTTGGTTAAATAAATAGACTTAAAGGTATGTTTAAATTAGTGAAATACAAAGTTGTAACCCTAAATATATGCTTAATTTGTAAAAAAAAAAAATGGACCAGTAGCTTTGCTTGCTTACAGCTAGGGCAAAAAGAAGAACCAATTAGGAGTTCTCTGATATATTATATGTAACATTCATTTTAACCGTACAGTATTTGTGCAGTTTGACAATCAGAGTAACATGCCAATCTTGCAGCGATGTGAGTTCTGCCAGAAGTCGGGTGCCACAGTCGGCTGCTGCCTGGCCACTTGCACCAGTAACTACCATTTTATGTGTTCTCGGGCCAAAAATTGTGTCTTCTTGGAGGATAAGAAGGTGTACTGTTCACGACACAAGGATCTGATCAAAGGGGAGGTACGTCCTATGCCACCTGCCTCTCTTCTTGCCCCTCATTTGTTTTCTGTCCAGATGACTTATTCTGCTGTGGGTTTGTTTGCAGATAGTGCCAGAAAATGGCTTTGAGGTCCTGAGAAGAGTCTTTGTGGATTTTGAAGGAATCAGCTTGAGGCGGAAGTTTCTGAATGGTTTGGAACCAGAGAACATCCATGTGATGATTGGTAAGCCCTTGGTGAAGTGAGGTCGGGATAGATGGTCTCTTGCGCCACTGCTTTTCCTGCAGCTCAGCCTTTCTTCTACTTCCCTGTAGGGTCAATGAGCATTGACTGTCTCGGCATCCTGAACGACCTCTCTGATTGCGAAGACAGGCTCTTTCCAGTTGGATACCAGTAAGTGAAAGCCACTCCTGTGTCAGAAGCTCCTTCAGGAAAAAAATGCAAAATGGTCAGAAGAAACTGGGCTGCAAGGGAGTGCTGGTTGGCTGGCCCGGGTCTCAGCAAGAGATGAAAAAAGAAAGAACAATCCTGTCTCCTCATCCCCTTTTTGTTTCCTTATTTTTCACTCTTCACTTTTAATTGGATTATGAAATACAAGATAGTTCTCATTTTGTGACCACAGTTGCAACTGGCAGCTTATAATCTTACTTCAAAGAGCTTTCTTTCGATTTACAGACCTGCAAAGATTGTAAATGCAAGGATTGGTTGTAAAGTTAATTTTTCATTACTATCATAATTTCAAATGGTTGGAAACAAGGCAGTTGCTAAATGAGGATTGCTTGTAACTTCCTTTAGAATACTTTTAAGATACAGCATCCATATGCTAAATCCCTTTCCTCCCCTGTACATGATTTGTACAATGTGCATAACAGAAGGTCTTCCCTACACGTTCCTATGTTGTGAGCAAGCAGTAGTTGCAAAAGAAAGGTGGACAATGGACTGTCCCAAATACACAGGTTAGACACTTCATGTAATCCTCTTCTTGAGATTCCGCCTCCCATAACCCACAACTTAAAAGAGCAGGAAAAATCATTATATAGTAATTGAAATGTAAGGAGGTTGAGTTATTCTATTCTAGTAACATTAATTACTTTTATATCCAATATAAATTAAATGAATTCATTTTGTGGAAAATTAAACTGGACACAAGATAATTTAAAATTATTTTGTAGCTTCAAAATTTCCAGAAAAAATTATGTTATTGTCCCAGCACTTATCTGATGCATATATTGTTTGTTCAGGTGCTCCCGAGTTTACTGGAGCACAACTGATGCTCGAAAACGTTGTGTTTACACGTGCAAGATCATGGAATGCCGTCCTCCCCTCCTAGACTCCGACATCAACAGCACCATGGAACATGATGACAACCGGACCATTATTCACAACCCAGTGTCACTTTCAGGTGTGGGGCAACAGAAGAGGGTTCTTGATGTCAAATTGGCAGCTACCTCTGATCAGCTGTTTCTCTTGCCTGGGCAGTTCCTTTTTAGAGGTCTCTTGAATTGAGTGCTGAGAAGTTCCACTGCAAAAATACTTCAGAGGAAGGCAGAAAGGGGCTGAGTGGTCAATGTGGCTTCCTCTTCCTTAGCTCTAGCAATTGGCATTTAAAATATGCCTACTTTCAGAGTTGAGTCTCTTTTGCCTAATGGAGAACAAAAGGGCAGGTGGGATTTCTCAGAAATGTTACTGGAGTAGAAGAGAGAAATATTCAGTCATAAAATCATCCCTCCCAACATGTATAGTTCTCACTTTTAGTTGATGGTGATGTGAGAGCCCTTTCCCTTTCCTATGGCAAAAGAAGTTATTGAGGAGAAATGCTTATTTCTGGTTTTTTCCCCTTGAAATAGTCTGTTCAAATAGTTGAGTTTAATTCAAATTGAATGATGGTCCTATTTTTCTCCTGCAGCAGAAATTCCACCCAGAGATGGCCATGCAGCATCAGCTGACCTGAACCCTCCCTCTGCAGATCTTTCTCCACATCCTCAGAACTTAAAGGCTCTGCGGATCAGAACTCTGAGTTTTGCTCCTTCCCAGCGAACTCCTGGTTCAAGGCCGTTGCCTTCTGCAGGTCTGGCTCAGGACTCGTTTTTTTCTGTGATGGCTTTTGACTTAACCATGGCTTTAGAATATGGGATGTTTTTTATTTAAAAACTATATTCAGATATTTAGTTAAGTTGGGGGTTTGTAGTCACTGCAAGTTTGTGGTGGGGGGGGCACAGAGGGAGGCTCAGCCAATTTCACTTTATACATGTTATACTTTGATAATAAAGGGTTTATTATTTATTTATTTATTTATTTAAATACCTTAAAAAGTATTTCCAGATAAGGCTAAACTAGCCCTATTGTAACTTAAAGCCTGGGAGAAATTTTGTTCCCTTTACTTCCCTAGTCTTGGTGTGTTATTTTGAGTCAAAGCCTGACTTTCTACCTTCAAAGCACCCTAGTCATGATAGATTTGCCTGGGGGAAAAAGCAGACCTGAGTTAAGGACAAGAAGTGCTTGACCTGGGGATCAGTTTCTTTGGAATTCGTTGTGCTGCCTTTTCTTCTTAAAGGAATTATCTCTCCCTAGGAAGCCCCACCCCTGTGACACATGAAATCGTAACCGTGGGAGATCCTCTGTTGTCTTCTGGACTTCGTAGCATTGGTTCCCGGAGGCCCAGCGCATCTCTGTTTCCACAGCCACCGAGGTCTTGGATGCTGCCTCCCACCGGAGTCAGGACCACGAATGCTCAGCACAACATCATCTCTTCAGGACCCAGCAGGAGTCCTGTCCCAGAGCACACCGTGAGCATCAAGCATACCGAACGTTCTGTGGGACCGGCAGCCTTGCACGTTGCTCTCCAGGACACATTTACCCCTTCCAGTCTGGCCATCGCAAGCAGAGGAAGAGGAGCTCCTCCTCGGGAGGGAACCCTCTCCTTTGAAACTGTGCCTTCTGGAGGGCCCTTTTCTGCCAAGTCAGAGAAGGAGAAGCTGCTGAGCCTCCAAGATCCAAGTGCTTCCTGTGGGAATTCAAAAGCAGGCTGCCATAGGCAAAGCATCTCTGTCCCAGAAGGAAACCCAAGCAAGGGAGGGAAGTTCCCAGAATCCTCTTCTGGACTGTTTTCTCCCAAAGAATCTGTAGTTTCTGCACTGTTGCACCAGAAACCCCCAAAGAAGGAACAAGACCGGCATCTAACACAGGCAGACAAAAATTGCTTTTATGAAGCCCCAGAAGCAAAGACCTCACCATTTTCAGGAATAAGTAATCGATCGCCTTGCATGAACGATCCAGTATCTTCTGTGGATAGAGAGAGTAGACAAAAAATGAAGAAGGGGACAAAAGATAGGCATTCTAGCAAGCTTTTTAGAAGTTTAAGTGTCCTCCCAAGTAGCCACAAAGAATGTGCAGAGACAGAATTTGTTCATCGGGCAATGACATCTGAGCATATTAATCAGCAATACAACAGCATTGCTGTTGAGAAACTCATTGACAATAATCTGCTTGGCCAGGAGACATCCAAAGCTTCTTTCCAGAGTGAAATGGCCACCTCCAGGGATTTGCAGAATTCACAAAAGCGCACAGTGAAAGTAACCCTGACTCCACTCAAGATGGAAGGTGAGAATCAGTCAAAAAATGTTCAGAGAGAGCATGATGCAGAATCTCAACCTAAGGTTTGCACACCAGCTTCTGTGTCCCAGTCTGTTTCCATCCCAGAGCACTTAGGAAATGACGGTAGTGTCCCAGAAACTCAAAATTCTGCTTCCTCCTCAATGGCCCCAACCGATCCCCCTTATCCAAATCTGCCTGTTCAAGATAGCGGCTTGATGATCCAGGATGGAGCAAAAGAACAGGAAGAAGGCTCCTACAAGCGGCGATACCCTCGGCGTAGTGCGCGCGCCAGATCCAACATGTTTTTTGGTCTGACCCCTTTGTATGGTGTGAGGTCATACGGTGAGGAAGACCTTCCCTTCTACAGCAACTCCACCGGCAAGAAGAGAGGCAGGCGGTCTGCTGAAGGCCAAGTAGATGGTGCCGATGATCTCAGCACCTCAGATGAAGAAGACCTCTATTACTACAACTTCACCCGAACCGTTGTCTCAAGCTCAAATGAGCACATGACTTCTCATGGTTTATTCCGTGAAGAGGAACAGATCAGTCTCCCCAAAATCTCTCAGCTGGATGGTGTGGATGACGGAACAGAAAGTGATGCAAGCATCACTGTAACAACAAGGAAAATCAATTCAGGAAACAAAAGGAACGGCAAAGAAAATGGAACAGAAAGCTTAAAACTTGAACGAAGTGAAGATAGTGGGGAGAAAATGCAAGTGACCAAGAGTTCAGTTGGTCATAAAACAGCTGATCCCAAAATGGAGAATTGCCGGGTCAAAACTCAAGATTCTTTGGAAGCTCAGCTGAGCTCCCTAGAAGCTGTTGGTCGTCGTCCTCGTGTCAATCCAGAGCCCTCTGAGAAGAACCTGCTTGATACATTCAGCACAGAACTGCTGAAGTCCGACTCCGACAATAACAACAGCGATGATTGTGGGAACATTCTTCCTTCAGACATCATGGACTTTGTCCTGAAAAACACTCCGTCGATGCAGGCCCTGGGGGAGAGCCCGGAGTCGTCATCCTCGGAGCTCCTGACTCTGGGAGAAGGTCTGGGCCTCGACAGCAATCGGGCCAAAGATATGGGTCTCTTTGAAGTGTTTTCTCAGCAGCTGCCAACAGCCGAGCCAGTAGATAGCAGCGTCTCATCGTCAATTTCGGCAGAGGAACAGTTTGAGCTGCCCTTAGAGTTGCCTTCTGATCTCTCGGTCTTGACTACCCGGAGCCCTGCAGTCCCCAGTCAGAACCATGGCAGACTTGCAGTCATTCCAGAACCTTCCCTTGCCACCTCAGGGGAGAGATCAATGTTAACTATCCCTTCCTCAGATTCTGCTGAGAAGAGGGTAACGGTCACTGAAAAGGCTTCCTCTGGTGAAGCAGAGCCAACATTGCTAAGCCCACGAGTGGCTCCAAGCCCTGATGGCCCTCTGACTCCTGACCCTTTCATTCAAAGTCATCTGGAAGCAGAGCACATGGCCAGCCCGCCCTGTGGACCGAGGGATGCTGGTCTCGGGGCGGGCCAAGACCTGTCTGGCAGAAGCAGTGGGACCCCTGGCCTCCCTGTTTCCCCCTCTCTTCCTCTCCAGAATCCCAAATATGGGCCAAGTGCCCCCGACAAGCCTGGCCCATCTCCCATCTCGAACGCTGCTGTGCAGACAGCCCCTCTCCACCTGAAGGCTGCTGCAGAAAAGCTCTTGGTGGTCAACCAGAATATGCAGCCCCTGTATGTTCTTCAGACACTGCCCAATGGCATCACCCAAAAGATTCAGCTGACCTCCCCTGTCAGCCCTGGACCAGCTGGGATGGAGGCTGGAGCTTCTGTGCTTGGCCCAATGGACACAGCCAGCCTTGCGCTGGCCGCAGGCCTGAGCCCCGGCTTGCCCTCTGCCAGGCCTCTCTTTCCTGTGGCCAGCAAAGGCTTGCTGAACATGCCCCATCAGCAGCAGCACTTGCATTCCTTTTCGGCCAGCTCCTCCGGCAGTGGCGGCAGCAGCTTCCCGGCAGCCCTTGGCAGCTCTGCCTCGGGCCTTCTGATTGGGGTCCAGCAGCCGCCTGACCCCGAGGCGAGTCCAAGGGCAGATATTGGGCCTGCAGTCACCCCCCCTCCCACTGGCCTCAGCAAGAAGCGGTCCATTGCACGCCTGCACTCCCGGAGGGCCAAGAAGCTAACTCCTTCTGCTGTTGCTCCTTCTGACCTGGCCTCCATGAACTTTCCTCGCTCCTCCCCACCCGGCCTGCTTGATCTGGGAGCTGCGTGCCCGCGAACTGCGCCCAGGATGATCAAGCGCTCCAAGCCAGAGCTCATGTACTTTGAGCAGGCACCTCTGTTGCCCCAGGAAGGGGGGACAGCTGCTGCAGAGGCAGCCCTTGGAGCGTCTCCCAGCATAACTGGGCCAAAATCTGGCCACCTCGCCTCCCCTCCATCTGAGCTGAATGTGGCCCCCCTGCCATCCCCGGGCCCAACGATCCCGCCCCACCTGTTGGGACAAGGGGGCTCTGATGTGCCAGGCATTTCGGATATGAGCTCCCTCAGCAGCCTATTAATCAAAGCCACTCGACAGGGGCTGAGCCTCACGGAGCAGCCTGCTTCAGTGCCGCCAGTGGCTTCCAGTATGTTCCCGTCGCATAAGGAGGTCTCGTTGGCCCAGTCTGCTTCTGCGGGGCTGGCAACGACTGCTGTAGCAACCGGCATCTCTGTCTTACCTTCCTTGAAGACCGTGGGCATGTCTGCTGATCCTGGAAGCTCCTACCAGGCTGAGCCTCTCACACAGCTTCCGGCGTGCAAATCTGGGCCGGCCCCACCTCACCTGGACATCCCTCCTTCACAGGCAACTCCTCTTTCAGACTTTCCCCAGCTGATGGATACGGTAGCCGTGGGACGAAACAGACCGGCCCCCTGTGCCCCCACAGCCTCTCCTGGGAGCTCACCTTCCACTGTGCTGGGCTCCACCAGGGCCAAAGTCAAGCGCTTGTCGACCTCTTTGGGCAGCAAAGGATCCGGGAAGAAACCCAGGGTGCCTCCATTCTGGAACACTTTCCCTGGCCAGTGCGCTCCACCACAAGGCAGGAAGGTGGCAGCCCAGGACCCAGGCGGAGGGTGAGAGAGAGCTGCGGCTCTGACTTCCCCCCTCCCTTTCCAGCAAAGCCCCTCAGCGCTTCTATGATACTTGTTGGTTGAGAGGCGAGTTCCCCCTGCCCTGGTCCCAGATCAACAGGATGGGGAGGGGGGGCACTGGCTGCTTCAGAACACCTGCATGGTTCTAAAAGCACAGGGAGCCCAAGGGGAGACGGCAAACCCTCCCACATTGCTTTTGCCAGTGTTTGCTCTAGGAACTAGCCTCTCCCCGAGCTAGTCAGCGTCACGTGCGTCTCAACTTCCAAGCTATGTTTTGCCTGCCCGTGTCTTCTAGGTCCCAGCCCTTGAGGGTGCAACCAGAGGAGGCAACAGACATACTGCAGCCAGCCCACAAATCAGCAGGGTAAGCGGATCCCGTGGGGCTAAGGGGGGAGTGGGGAGGAAGTGCCAAGGCCATGCTCACACCCACCGGCTTTCTAGACAAGAGTCATTCTTAGATTTGGTGCCTCTGACCATGCCAAAAATGCCATTGGGGAATTCAAAACAGCCAGGGAAACAGCACCAGTCCTTATTTTAGAAATGTCCATATTTGCTACTGTTCAGCACCATAGAATCGGCGATGCTTCTTGAGGCATCAGAAGAGCGGATGACCATTGCAGCCAAAGGTCTTCTGCTGCAAATCTGTTCTCCCACCAAACATGTAGGCACCTGCCAGAAAACTTTCCAAAACTTGGCATGTGCCTGTCAAACTATTAACCTAATCGGAGATGGTGGCAGGCACCTCAGTTATATTGAAGGCCTGCAAGGCCCCAGCTGAAATGGGTCTCTCAGCCTTTTCCAACCCTCCTCTCCTCCACAGGCATTTACAGCCTCACCCACAACTGCAGCCAACGCCGTCCACTTCAAACGCGTTAGAATGTGCAGGTATGTGAAGACAGGCCTCCCTCTGCCCTGCCTGAGACCTGCAGGACGTGGAGGTCTGTACATCACAGTCCTGCCTTACTGCTGTTAAATTTCTGGGAACTTTTCTTAGAACGTTTCCTGTTTGGTCTGTTGTGATTTGTGTGACTGAGAGGGTATGAGTGTTCTTTTTTTCCTCCAGATTCCAGTGCTGAGGAGGAAGAAGAGGAAGAGGAGGAGGAGGAGGAAGAAAGCAGCTTTAGCTCCCCCCTCATGTTCTGGCTGCAACAGGAGCGAACACGGAAAGAAAGCCTTGCAGAGAAGAGGCCCAAGAAAGGACTGATTTTTGAAATCTCCAGTGATGATGGCTTCCAGATCTGTGCAGAAAGTATTGAAGGTAGGCCCAGGAGACAGCCCGCTGCACCGGAGCCTTGCATCAAAGGGGTTGTGCAACATTGTTGGATGTATGGTTCCTTCTCTGTTAAATCCTTGGTTGTTCTCTTAACCTTAGAAGCCTGGAAATCCTTGACAGACAAAGTTCAAGAAGCTCGGTCAAATGCCCGCCTGAAACAGCTTTCCTTCGCAGGTACCAGCAGTTGGAGGGAAAACCTAGAGGGCAAGGAAAAGAAGCAAAATGCTCAGTTTGCTGCACTCGCCACACAGTTCCCGTTCAGAACAGCCCTTGCACTGTTCCCAAAATGGCTTGAGTGGTGAGGGTGGGAGCTGAGCATGGAGTGAAGGCTGGGTGCTGGGCTGACTGAGGCCCTTCTCACTGGGCAGAAAAGGTTACCTTGAGCTACTACTGTTTCAGGAGCGGTTGGGTTCCAAGGCCAGGCAGCCTCTCCAGCCCTTCGGCCTTTGCTCCGAAGCTGGGCTTAGCCTGATCCACCTTGCCCTGTTCAGTTGGGGCCACAGCTGCTCTTCCCGCCTCTCCCTCTTCCAGGTGTGAGTGGGCTGCAAATGCTGGGCATTCTCCACCATGCTGTCGTGTTCCTGATAGAGCAACTCTGTGGAGCCAAGCATTGCTCCAACTACAAGTTCAGGTTCCACAAACCAGAGGAGGCCAAGGAGCCTCCCGTGAACCCCCATGGCTCTGCCAGGGCTGAAGGGCACCTCAGGCAAGTGGAGTCCTGTTCTTTCCCCTTTTCTCCCCAAGCTATTGCTGCTGCTGCTGCTGCTGCTGCTGCTGAAATACTGTTGAATGAGAAGTCTTAGGCCCTCACGGCAAGAGGGGGAAGAATAAAATAATGCCCTCTCTCAAAAATTTGGGGTTGGCACGGCATGCTTCTCTCCAAAAGCATTGTTCCCTGCTTGCCTCTTTTTGTTTAAGACTTCTTCATGTGTTGTATTTTATCCCATTTTTCAGACAATTACCCTCTTCCACAGTGGCTCACAGCAGTTAAAGGAGAAAGACAGGCAATCTAAAAGATAAGAAGCGCAAGGGACAGGGGGGAAAGGGAGATCAGTTCTTTGAGGCCAGAGCAAAGTGGTGAGCCATAAGGTGTCTTGGCCAGCCCAGCCCTCCCTTGCTGCTGTTCTTGTCTGAGCTGGAGAATTTCTGGAAGCCTGCTGCTGTGGCAGTCAGTGTAAAGTGTAATGCTTCTCTTTTGCACTTCAGGAACTCTGGTCTTGACATGTTCAACTTTCTGGCTTCTAAACATCGCCAGCCCCCACAGTACAATCCCAACGATGAGGAGGAAGAGGAGGTGCAGCTGAAATCTGCCCGGTACATATTGAGAGGGGAAAGCTATCCGGCTGAGTTTTTTTGTAACTCATTGTAGATGGGAGGAGGGGGCTTGTATTCCTGCACCTGAGCTGTAAGCCACCATGGATGGTAGGAAATTCGTCAAGGGACCAGGGTCCTGTCACACTTCAAGTAGGAGTTTGGGGGCTGCATCAGGCATTCAGGTTGATGAAGTCAGTGCTTATGTCAGACGTAACCCTCAAGTAGACTCTTCCTCGTCTGTCTTCAGGAGGGCAACCAGCATGGATCTTCCGATGCCCATGCGCTTCCGACACTTGAGGAAAACCTCCAAGGAGGCAGTTGGGGTTTACAGGTAAGTGAGAGTTCTGACAGAAAAGAGGGAGGAGGAGAAACCTGGGCCAGCTGACCTCTGGAATCAGCCCAGGGAGACCTCATGACATTTTTGACCTTGGAGATGTTTGAAGGCAGGTCGCTTGCCAGATGCCCCCAGGAACAGTGCGAGGCTTGTCAGCTTTGTGTCCTCTGCCATCCTGTCAGGTCTCCTATCCACGGACGGGGCCTGTTCTGCAAAAGGAACATAGATGCAGGGGAGATGGTGATTGAATATGCTGGCAATGTGATTCGCTCCATATTAACTGACAAACGTGAGAAATATTATGACAGTAAGGTGAGTGAGTGGCCAGCAGTTGCCCAGATCTGTAGGCTGTGGAGTGGTGAGGTGAACTGGCTTGGGCAGGACTGCCCCATCTGGTCAGGCAGATGGCCAGGAGATCTGCCTTTGGAGATTTCTCCGCCATCCACACTCTCTGTCTCCCAGGGCATCGGCTGTTATATGTTCCGTATTGACGACTCGGAAGTCGTGGATGCCACCATGCATGGGAACGCAGCGCGCTTCATCAACCACTCCTGTGAGCCCAACTGCTACTCCCGAGTCATCCACATCGACGGGCAGAAGCACATTGTCATCTTTGCCATGCGCAAGATCTACCGTGGTGAAGAGCTCACTTACGACTACAAGTTTCCCATTGAAGATGCCAGCAACAAGCTGCCCTGCAATTGCGGCGCCAAGAAATGCCGGCGGTTCCTCAACTGAGCAGCTGAGCTGACCACAGCCAAGGCCGGAGGACAGCAGGGTGCTGGGGCCCTCCACAGCCACAGATGTGCTGGCTTGCTCTGGCGGGGCAGGGCCTGCTCAGAGCGAGGCGCACTTTGGTGTGCTGTAGGATTAGAAAAATGGGAATGTGGACTGCAGCAACCAAGGCTGTGCCAAGCCGGCACGGGCACCTGGTTGCCTTCTCAACTGTGGACTGTGAGACCTACTCTCGTGTTCCAGCTTGGGCTGGCAGCTGTGTGGTGGTTCTCCAAGATGCCTGTGGCCACTATGGAGGAATCCCAAGGTAGCAGTTTGGGCAGTTCTAGTTCTTTGGGTGAGCTTTCAGGTGGACAGGCAGGCCCTTAGAGGGGGAATTTCTGTCTCAGAGAACCATCTCTCGTGCTGAACGCTTACATCTGATCCCGGCCCTGTGTCACAAATTTAGTGGTCCCCGGAGTGGAATTGGAGCACCCCAAGTGCAGCTTGTTTCCTGAGAAGGAAGAGTGCTGGTCAACCTGCCAGGAGCTGCATTTGCAAAGGAGATGAGGAATCCTGGACTTCATGAAATCCATTCCCTTTTCATGCCTCTAGAAACAGCCCTCCTCTCAGCCTCCTTCAGTTGCACCATCTCGAATTAAGTCTTTGGATTTTCCTTGGTTCTGTTTACATTTTAGTATTTAAAAGTTTTATAAATGTAAATATATTTTGTATATTTTTCTATGAGCAGCACTTCATAGGAAAGAGCACTTAGGAGACTATTTTTTCAGTCATGGTTGCATCTTGAGGGTGAATGTTTTATTTTAATAGGATGATCTTTCCAAGGTTGGGTCAGGCACATCCTGATTCTCCCCTCGGGAGGGAAAGGAGATTCTGGCTGCTGCTTCGGCTACCCCTTAAGTTTGAAGGGAGGAAGAGTTCTCCCATTTTCAGGAGAGGATAGAACCATTTGGGGTTTGGTGGGCCTTTCATTCTCCAGCAGTCAAATGGTTGACTCCCTGGATGTGAGCCAAACCGGTGGGATTCTCTCTAACCTCCCCTTCCTCTCCTGCCTCAGTTCAGGCCAGAGGAGTAAACATCCAGTTTCTCACCAGGCTGTGCCCTGGTCCATCTTAACTCTGGAGGCAAGCCAGATAAGCTGTGCACATCTCTTAAAAGGTAGCAGAATCATGGCCTGCTCTGGCTAAGCCAATTGGAGCACAGCCCTGGTTTCTGCTACCAGGAACCCACCCACCACTCTCCTGGAAGGAGAAGTTGGTGCACCTAACCGTCACCTTTGCTGTCCCAAGCCAGCCAGACCTTCCTACCCATGAGGCAGTTTGGGAGGAAGAGGCACGAGCCAGGTGGGGTTAAAAGGAGGAGGCAGTTGCTGCCTAAAGCTGCTCTTTCCGTCTTGGCTGCTGGGCTGCACCATGGCTGCTAGAAGAGGCCTCCCTTTTCATTGAAGGATGCTCTGAGCAGGCTCTGAATTTCGGCTCAAGCAAGGTGGCATCTCCTGCTGTTACTAATCTGGCTGTCCTGAGCAGCAGCAGAGCTGCTTTGGGCTGCTCTGAACCCCAGAATGTTGCTGCTGCTGCTGCTGCTGCACTTGAGGGAGAGGCTGGGGAGAGGTCACCTCTCCGGAGCAGCAGAGAGAAGGGAGCAAAAGGAAGCTGGGCTGGGCAGCTTCCTGGAAATATGAATGTATCTTTCTAAGAACTGACAGATCGTGAAATTGAAGAATACTAAGTCAGTCTACCCTTTAAAGTTTTGTGTTTTTTTTAAAGGAAAAGCGGGTCACTGCAAAGGGCTGGGCAACTTGTTGTGAAGCAATACCGGGTTTTCAGTCAAATTCATCCTGTGTGCAGAATCATGTCATTTGGCCAGGTTCCTGCTGGCTCATCCCCTGCTCTCCCCCCACCCCACGCCTGCAACTTTTTATGACTATAAATAAGGTATCTATAGAACTAATGCCGTGCTGCATTGTGTCTTGAAGCCTGGCTTTGAATTCTCTTTAACCCTTTAGATAATGGTTGTGTTCCAGTTGCTGAAAAGGCAGGAAAAACAACATGCCAAGGGCTCCATGGGCAGTGGATGCTTCCTCCACTGGACCTGGGTCCCATTGCAGACTGGGGGGTGGGGGGGGGCGTTAGGCTGAGCTGGCCTGTAAGCGGATCTCCCAGAAGTAAGGCTGGAGACTTGGCTGTGGATGCTCCTGACCTTCTGTGTTCAATAGTCAACCCTTGTACAACTTGCTTCTCTCCTCCACCTCTTTTTGGATTCCAGTTGGTGGAGCTCCTCAACAGCGTTGTGCGCTTTCTGGTCTCTTTTAACAAGGTCTTGCAGCTTTGCCTTCCCGCCAAGATCTGTGCCCGTGGTGTTTCTTGGATTCAGCGTCCGCAATAGCTACAGGTAGTGAATAGATGTCTCAAGCCACTTTGCAAAAGCTACATAAACAGGGCTCTGATCCATACAAAAAGCAACTTATCATGTAAAACCAATTTATCTTTTTTTCTTGTGTTCTTCCAAAATTAGTTTTTTTTTCTTTAAAAGGAGGAAATGTGTTGCTTGTGCTGCATCAGTGTTAATCCCCTGTCATTGTTACAGGGATGAAGGAAGTACTTTCAATAGTTTTAAGAAATGACTGAAAGACTGAATGTAAAAATAAGTGTATATAGTTGTACAAAAAAAGGAGTTTTTAAACATGTTTATTTTCTATGCACTTTTTTATTTAAGTGATAGTTTAATTAATAAACATGTCAAGTTTATTGCTTCAAAGGATGGAGTTATGATTGGGGCTGAGATTTTTCCCAGGCCAGTGCATTCTTCTTACCTGCATCATAGAAAGACCTTGTTCCCCACACGTGAGGCAGCTGTTGACCTCATAGTCCTGTATCCCAGTATCTTTGCTGGTCAGGTCCCTGGGTCTCCAAACACTGCATGCCCAAAACAAGTGAATGTGCAAACCTCCCAGCCCCAGAGCTCTTTGAAGGAGAACAAGGTGAAAATCCCCGGCAGCTGCTTTCCTCCATAATCCTGACGCCTGAGAGCAAGAGAATGACTCAGTCCAGCCTCTGCTGGAAGCGTTCCCATTTTTGATTCATTTTTCTCAGCGGCATTTTTTCACAGGATGCCCAAGAAAAAGCCCCGCTGAATCAATCTCCATGTTAAACCTGCCCCCATTTGAGTTGGCTTGTCATACACAAAGGCTCTTGAAGGACAGAGAAACGGATGCTGACTCCAACGCAGCAGCTCCTTTTGCTTTCCACAAGGGAGATGATGCTTTAATTCCGGTACCAGGAAGCCCCTTCCTCCAAAGTCAGATTGTTCATCTACTAGCATGAAGCTTCCTGTTCAGCAGGTTCCTGTTCCTCTCCTCTACGGCCTCAGTCCTGCTCTTTCTGGGCTCCCCCATTTCATCTGTCCAAATATGCTCAGGAAAAGGGCCCAGGACCCCAACTTCAGCTCCCTGATCACCCCCAACAGTTGCCCTTCACTGCCTTCTGCACTGTAGGAGGCTGGCGGGCACAGCCCAGCTCCTCCCTCGTGGCCATTGGCTGCTGCTGGACCGGCCCCTTCCTCCCCAGCCAGAGCTTTCAAGATCTCTTTGAAGGGGCCCAATTCTCCCCACAGAACTCACCAGGGCTTCAACATGGCCACCATCAATGATCAGGCAGTTTTGAAAACTATTTTCCACCCAAATGTTCCCTTTGATGAAGATTGGCAGGAGGAGCAGGAGAAGCAACAACTAATCCAAGGTGATGACTCACTTTCGGGGAGGGGAAGGGGGGAGGTGGTTTTTCATAAACTTCAGAGGCTTCTTTCTTTGCAAGCTCTCGGAAGCAAGGAGATGCCTCCGATCTCTGGGCTCACAACAGATTTTTCAACCTATTTCTCACAAATCATTTTCAAGTCAGACACCTGAAAGGGATGGTGGGCTGGAGAGATTTTGCCCATCGCTCTCCAAAACTTGGATTGGGAGGAGAAGGTTGGCAGGCTGCTTTCAGACCCTTGCTACCTTTGTTCATGCTTCAAAAAGCAGCAAGGCTATAAGGCTCAATACTTAACCAGTTGCTTCCTTCTCACCGAAGGGCAGTCCGTCTTTCAAAAGACAAGGGTGGGGGAAGGCTTGGCTGTTACAACTGCCTCTTCCAAAGCTTAGGTTTGAGGAGTTGCTTGGGACCCATCGTCCCTGGAGTGGCATTGGCATCTGGCTACCAGTTGGCTCTCAAGGAGATTATTAGTTGCCAGATCCAGCTCCCTTTTTCCTGACTGCTTCTCACGCTGGTGACAGAAGGCGGCTTTGATCCTGAGCTGCTGAGGCAAACCACTCATCTGGAGGCCCAGGGAATCGCAGCAGCTGAAGGAGGCGACCTGGAGCTGGCCCTGGAAAAGTTTAACCAAGCCATCCAGCTGCTTCCAGAGCGAGCCTCGGCCTTCAACAACCGTGCACAAGCTCTTCGGCTCCAAGGGGATGTCGCAAGTAAGTGCGCTCAGGGCTTCATCCATCCTCCCCCTCCACTGGTGACCATGGCTGCACTTGGCCTGGGATAGGAATCTCAGTCGCTCAGGGCACTAAAGCAGGGCATCTGCTTCGGTCTGAGAGCACAAAGCAAGACCATCGCTTTGAATCTGCTTGGATCACTTCATCTTAAGCACAGCATTTTTGGATTTTTGTTGGGTCTATTAGCAAAACTGCCAGCAGCTGCTCTAGAAATATAAAGTCTCCTCACCAGAGAGGTTCCCATCCATTGGGATAACAGGTCATACAAACACAGAAGGTGACTGGGATGCTGGACAGTAGTCTCCTGAACTAGGGTTCCACTCTCCCTGTTTGATCCTGTTCCTTTTCAGATCCCTGTATCTCGTTTATCTGATTTGTATGGCTACCCAACTCACAATACGATTCACAATTAGGTCAAAAAGAAAGGAACCAAAACTTAATGAGGATCTAGAACAGAAAAGCAGAATGAGGCCAACCACCACATGTGCCTTTCAAGAATGGACTCTGGCCAGGCCCATCCCTCCCTCCAGCCCAAGCTTCTGGGAATGGGACAAGGGTCCATAGGGCAGCCCCACCTCTGCCATGAACGGCTCAGGTTTCCTATTTGTACAAGGCACTGACCCAACGTTTATTTAATTAACTCGGCCACGCATTCTTTTTCCATCCCATCAGAGGCGCTGGAAGACTTGGAGGCAGCACTGAAGCTCAGCAAAGGGGCCGGCCCGGTAGCCCGCCAAGGCTTTGTCCAACGCGGGCTGATCCAGCGGTTGCAAGGCCAGGAGGAAGCGGCCCGGAGAAGCTTTGAGCAGGGGGCCGCCCTGGGCAGCGTCTTTGCCCGCCGGCAGCTGGCACTGATGAACCCTTACGCAGCCCTCTGCAACCAGATGTTGGCGGAGCTGATGAGGAAGAAGGAGACCTGTTGAGCCTGGCTGCGAGGGGGGAGGGGAAGGGGGCGAGAGGGCAGCTGAATAAAGCCCACGGCTTGACACCGCCAACCAAGGCCTGCTTTTGTCGCCCGAGTCCCCAGCCAGCAGCCCCCTGCGGAGGGAGGGAGGGAGGGAGGGAGAGAAGAGGGCCCCGCTAGGCAGCGCTTTTTCAGGTCGCCCTGGCGGCGGTATTCGGGCAGGATCGCGAGTCTTCGGACCGAGAAATCCAGGCCGGGATTTCTAACGTGCCGGTCGGTTGAAAACGCTGCTGCCGCATCCTGGAGGTGAGCGGCCTGTGGTGCTCCGGGAGCCCCTCCCGCCTCGCAGCCCAGGATGGACGCGGCTCCGGGTCCCGCAGCGAGAGGCGCGCCGCCCCCCGAAGGCTGGCTGCTCTGCCCGGGGCGCCCCTTTCTGTCCCCCCGCCGGCGCCGGAGAGGCGGCTCGGTGCCCGGGAGCTCCTCGTCCGCGCTGTTGCTGCTGCTGCCACTGCTGCTGCCGTTCCTGCTGCGGCGCGCCACACCAGGTAGGGCGGCGGGCGACGCGCTTTTCTCCCGCGAACTACGGTTCCCTCCGGCCGGTAACCTCCGCTCCGCTCCGCCGCAGGTGCGGTGGCGACGTCGGAGACCAGGATCGACGGGCGGGCCCTGTCGGTGAGCAGCTTGCGGGAGGCCGAGAGCCGCGCCTTCACCTGCCTGGCGGCGGCCCCCAACCTCACCTGGTACCTCAACGGGGAGCGGCAGGAGACGAACTCATCCGGGGGGGGGCTGGCCGCGGCCGGCGACGCCTTGGGGGAGGGCGGCAGCGGCACTTTCGTGGTCACGGCGCGGCGCGTGGACCACCGGCTGGACTGCGACGCCACCGACCCGGCCACGGGGCGCGTCTCCACCGCCTCGGTCCTCCTCAACGTGCAGTGTGAGCGCGGCGGGCGGAGGGGCGGGCGGCTGGTGGGCGCAGGGGGCTCCGGAGGGGAGAAGCGGGATGGAGGCTGACCGGCGCCGCCCTCTGTACGAGTGCAGTTCAGCCCGAAATCGTGAAGGTGGACGCCCATTACCGCGAGGCGAGCGAGCCCGGCCTCCTGCTGGTGCTCTTCGTGCTGGTCCAAGCCAACCCGCCGGCCGACGTGACCTGGGTGGACCAGGACGGGCAGGTGACGGTCAACGCCTCCCGCTTCCTGCTGCTCGACACCCAGACCTATCCCTGGCTCGCCAACCACACCGTGAGAGTGCAGCTGCACAGCCCGCCCCGGAACGCCTCCCTCCGCGCCTCCAACGGCCTGGGCGTCGCCAGCTCCTCCGTTCCGCTCCCCGGTAGGTAGGGGTGCGGGGTCCGGGCCTGGGCGGGGACTCACAGGCCTGGACCAGGGATTGGGGCAGGTCCGCAGCCTCCGCCAAGCATGAACTGGCTGGCACCAAGGCCTCCCTTCTCCTCTTCATGGATGCCAGATCCAAGCCTTCCTTCCATCCCACAGCCCCAGGGGAGTCTGTCTCCTTGCCACTCCAGGGCCCATCTGCGCCCCAACAGTTGGATGCAGCCCTCTGCGACCCCAGGCTGCCTTCCCTGTTCTTGGCCTGTAGGAGGCAGACATTCAGATGCTTGCATTGCCCTGGCAAAATTCCTTTGAGGCTACTTCCCAGAGACAGGGCAGCCTTCCTGCAGAGAGCAACACTGGGCGAGGGAAAGCCAGCAAGAGGAGGGCCAGCTTGCTTATCTGGATGAGGCCACGTTTCAACACAGTAGAGAGCAGGGTGAAGCCACGGCCTGCTGACAAGCATCTCCGGCTTCTCTAGGTCTCCTGGCCACCCAGCTTGAACTGCCTCTGGTGGCCCTCGTGGGGGCAGCTGCTGTGGCTCTGGTGATATTGCTGAGTTTTGGGGTGCTAATCAGTTGGGCTGTTTCCCAGAAGCCCAAAAAGTCAGCAGGTAGGTGCAGAAGCCTTTTCAGCCTGGGCTGGGCCTGTCTCCTTGCTGGGGGTCACCTTCCTTTCTCTTCTTTTTTAGGACATGGCCTAGCAGCGCAGCTTCCTCTGAGGTAACCTTCTGGGACTGCTAGGGGGGGGTAAAAGCCCCTTGTTTGCTCTGTAGCCTCTTTTGGGAATACTTTATACAGACCCACTGACAGGTGGCATAAGCACCTCCCCAGAGAACGATGCTCTGGTCAGCTTTCTCTGAGGGTCAGAGAAAGTAAAATCCCAAGAACCCGTGGCCTTGCCTTGAAGCATGTATGGGGGGGAGCTGGGAGGATCCGAGAGCGAATTGCTTTGCATTTCCCACAGCAATGTCCTTCAGCCGAAGGAAGCCCATCTGACACGGGCAAACAGGTCTCTCCCTTCTAACCTGAAACTCAACGATCTTGTGCCAGAACCAAAAAGTAAGTGGTGAGGATCTTGGGGGGGAGCTGGAAAAGGGGGGGGGCATGTCAAGGCATGAGTCACTGCTCCAGCACTCTTTCCCACTACTCCAAAGGTAGAGCGAATAGTGCTCCTACAGAACAAGATGAAGATGCTATTTCGGACCCAAAAAATCACCCGGTCCTTGCTGAACAAGGTAACGGGACCTTCTGCCATGTAGGGTGGGGGTGGGGAAGGAGCTACATTCATTTGGCCAAGCCCCTCTTGATTTAATTCTGAAACATAGGAAATGCTAGCGTTCAGTGATATACCAGTTTAATACAGCTAATTCTGTAGCAGGAAAAGCTGTGAGATATTGGAGACATTCCCTTTTCAAGAGACAGTTCTGACCAGCTCCACCTGGTGCTGGAGAAGACTGCTGTGCACTCACCACCCCAGGGAAATGTCAGATGAGTCAGAAGAATGTCTGTCCTAAGTAGCATTTTAGGACTCTTTCACAGTTTTACTAGTGGGAGGCTCTTTCAGAAGAAAAGCCCACCTTCGTTTTAGTCAGCAACCCCGAATTCTTTGGCAAAATGCAGTCCTGCAGAGCACCCTTTTGCCATCCAGCATTTCAGGCATGCTACCAGGGGAAGTAAGCTGCCGTTGGTGCTGTGTGAAAGGCACCCACTGATGCCTGCCTGTTTCCTTATTGCAACTGAATCTGCTTAGAACTTAGAAGTAAGTCATCTCTGTTGGATGATCCTGCATGCTCATGGATAGTTTCAAAGAAACCTAAGTCTTTCAAAAATCCTGCAAAAGTAACTGTTGTGGACCAAATTCCATATCCTCTTTTTCTGCTTCTGCAGGTTTGGGCCAATTTCTTACCGTTGGATATATTTATAGAGCCACTAGTATGAGTAGCGATGAAATCTGGCTGTGAAGTCTGTCACCGTGTCCATCCCCAGCACAGAGAAGCAAGAGAGGCACAAGGAGGGTGGGCAAAGGGGGCCAGGAGTACCTCTGCTCTTAACCCTGGAACAGGACGGTGAGGGCACCTCCAGGGGCAAAGGAGCCCCTGGCAGGGTTTGGTCCTGGACAACAGGTTGAACTGTACAGGGTGGGTCCTTTTCACTCTTTACTCGTTTCCAGCAAAACAGGCATCCAGCAGCTGCCCTGCTTCTCCATCCAACCTGAGGACTGTCTTCCTAACCTGGCCTTTGCCATCTGCAGACCGGGAAAGCTATCGCCATGCACATCTCAGCCCAGGATTGCAGCTTTGCAACTTCTATGCTTAAAGAATAAATGACTGTGATTAAGGTGTTACCCTTTCCTTCCCCCTGCCTGGATTTGCCTGCGAGGCTGCTATAAAAAGGACTCTCAATCTCTCAGTCCCCCAGTCCCCGGGAAGTAAAAGAAGCCCAATAAACCTAGGCACATACATAAAGTGCTGGCATGTGTTGCAGTTAAAAGGCAGAGCAGGCTGCTGGACCTGTTTCAAAGCCTTACAATAGCTTTGCTCTGCTCCCAAGAGCTCCAATCCAGCAACAAGACACAAAGTCCCACATTCCCCAAACTCTCGGCTTGCATACCATCTCTCCTTGAGAGGCAGGGCAACACTTACAGCAAAACTTTATTACACAAATATCACACTGAATTATCATCTGAATGACAGGCCAGCAACAATTCCAAGGGAATGGGTTCTGGAAACCTCTCTTAAATAACCCTGAGGTCAGCAGCACCTTTATTTAAACATCGGGAGGCAGGAAACTGTGACCTCTGCTCTCAGGTGAAACTTAAAATATCTATCTCTCCAGCCTGTGAGGGTGGATTGGAGGGGGGGCTGACAACCTTCTTGCCCTCAGCCAGAGCCTTGAAATGCTGCAAAAAAGCAGAAACCACCAATGAAGTGAATCTCATTTCAGGCTTCCTGTGGAGACCGTTCCTTCTAGAGTCTCCTGGTGAAAGCAGGTAGAGAAGACCTGTTCCAGCAGGCCCCCTTCTTGTGGGTAGCAATAGTAGCAGCTCTCTTGCTTACCTGTGAATTTTTGAATTCGGAGTACAGTGAGAATAAGGTGTGCAGAGGCTGGATGTGACCCTTGTAGACAGGAATGTCTAGAATGGCTGGAGAAAAACCCCAAGAGAAGCATTTAAGCCAGAAGCTCCAGGTCCAACTTCGTTAAGTGGAACCCAGAGAACTCTGCCAGGTGCTGGACGATCCATGAGATGTTTGGTTCCAGAGCTATTTTGGCTCAGTCCAGAGTCAACGAGCCAGGCCTTCAGCAAACATCCCCAGGGGCGGCACGGGGGTCAGGGCACTCACCACAGATGATGTCTGTGTATTCAGCTAAGCTGCAGTTAACCTCAGCAGTCGGGAGGCTCACCTGGGGGCCAGAAAGGAAAGTTTAAGGCTGACTGCACTTTCTGCATGAAGCAGCTCTCATGATCCTGCTGGAAACCCTCAAAAGAAACCAGTTATAGGGTATGGGGCAGAACTTACCCATTGGGGAGGTCACTATACCTTTCCCAGCAACTCTTCAAACTCTGGAGTCCATTCTTGCATCAGCGTATCTATATCGGGCATCGGCCTGCAAAGGACAAGCAGCCCTGAGAGCCAGTCACCAGGAGGCCCTATGGGAGCACTTCCCCGTTGTAAAGAGGAAAAAGGCAAGAAGCATCAAGGGCTCCTCGGGGGACATCGAGGCAGACCTAGCATAATGGACAGTGGCCGGAGGCTTGCAGCGGTGGAGTTCACTGATGCTCTCAATCCAGCTCTCCACGGCTTTGGGGTTCTTCTCCGCATTCTCAAGGCTCTTTACTTTCACCTGCTGCTAGAAATGCAAGCCGACCTCGTCAGTGGACTGGACCTGTGGCGATGGCTTCCTGCCCATTTCCTTCCTCCTCCACTTACAGCTACATTATGCTGCTTGGAGTTCTCGGTGAGCCACAAGGAAAGTACGGTGGGATCCGACTGTTTGGTGGATGGCTCATCCAGCACTAACAAGCCCAAATTATCCATCTTCCCATCTGGGCGTGGAACCTGCAAAAAATGAGCCACAGCAACATATTTTCAAACCTCCCAAGGGACAGAGCAAGTCCTTGAGGGCCATTGGCCAAGGCTCTGGGCCTCAACTCTCCAGCATCTTCCACAGGCCAGCAGCAAGAGCTCCAGGAAAGGGTCTCATGGGACAAACGCTCCCCCCAGGACCCAGGCTTCTGGGCACCTTCAGGAAAGCATCGATGTCTCCCACGGCAGGAATGAAGTCCGGGATGAAAGGCTTCAGCTTGTGCTCCAGGTCGATCATTTGGGAGGAATACCTGAGGGGGGAAGGAGGGAGCCGCTCAGCGCAGCGCCAGGTGCCCCTCCTCACACACACCCCCACCAGCCCCCCCCTCACCTCCGGATGTACTGAAACAGCTCCTTCACCTCCAGGGAGACGGGCAGGTAGTCGTAGTCGGCCGAGTTGTAAGCCCTGCGGAGAGAGGGAGGAGACAGCGCGGCTGAGCCCCGGCCGCCCCCGCGCCCGCGCCCCCCCCCGGCGCTACCCCTCCCCCGCGCTACCCCTCCAGCGGGGCGCCGTGCTCGTCATCCTCGTCGTCGTCGTCGTCGTCCGAGTCGGTCTCCGAGGAGTCCTCGTCGTCGTCCTCCACCTCGTGGCCGCTAAAGCGCCGGCCGGAGCCCAGCGCGGCGCCCCCCCCGCCGCCCTTCTTCTCGGGCTGCAACAGGGCGCCCGCGGGCCGGTCGGGGGCGGCGACGGGGGCCCAGCCGGGCGCGCGCGGTGGGGTGCTCCCTCCCTTCAGGGCTGCCGCGCCTCCATCCTCGTCCTCGTCGCTGCTATCCCTGCACGGCGGGCGCGCGGGGCGCGGGCCTGCGGGCGGGAACGGCGGTGTCACGGGGGAAGGGGGAGGGGGCGGTGTAGCGCGGCTCCCTCGTGCCCGCCTCCCCCGGGCACCCACCGGGCTGCGGCGGGCTGGGCGCGTAGATGCTGGCGACCTCCTCCGTCTCGTTCACGTCCAGGCTCTCGTCGTAGGGCTGGTTCTCCACTAGCCGCGTCTAAAAGCGAGAGAAACGCGAGGGAGGGCGGCTCGCCGGCGCCCAGACTTCGGCTGCGCCCCCGGCCCTGCCCCGCACCTGCAGCCCTGGCTCGGGCGGCGCCGGTGGCGCTCCGCTCATGCTGCGTCGGGGGCCGCGGGAGTTGGGGCCGCAGCGGGTCCGTCGCCAGGCAACGGGAGGCCGGAACCTTCTCGCGAGAACCGGCTGCATTTTTCCCCCTCCACACTAGGGCCGACTGCGCCTGCGTAGTGACGCCGCTTCCGCCTGAGAGACGTGGCTCGCCGCCATCTTGTGCGGGACTCGGAAGCGGCGGAGACGCGGCGCCCAGCAGCAGCAGGAGCAACTCCGCGGAGGCCGCCGCCGCCGTCGCCGCCATGGTGAGGCTCGGCCGAAACAAGCCTCGGCCCTACGGCCGGGAGCCGGCGGGACGGGCCGGGAGAGGCGGTTGCGAGCCGGCGCTCTCCCCGCGCTAGGCCGGCCTCCGGAGCCGCCTTGCGAGCGTGGGCCTTCTCTCCTCCGCAGGTGCTCCTGGCCGCCGCGGTCTGCACGAAAGCGGGGAAGGCGATCGTGTCGCGGCAGTTCGTGGAGATGACGCGGACGCGCATCGAGGGGCTGCTGGCGGCCTTCCCCAAGCTGATGAACACGGGGAAGCAGCACACGTTCGTGGAGACGGAGAGCGTGCGCTACGTGTACCAGCCGCTGGAGAAGCTCTACATGGTGCTCATCACCACCAAGAACAGCAACATCCTGGAGGACCTGGAGACGCTGCGGCTCTTCTCCCGGGTGGTAAGTGAGCTGGGCGGTGGCGGGAGGCGGCTGGCCGGGCAGACGGAGAGGAGAGCGGGCCGAGCGCTGAGCCTTCCCCGTCGCCCCCTGCAGATCCCCGAGTACTGCAGGGCGCTGGAGGAGAGCGAGATCTCCGAGCACTGCTTCGACCTCATCTTTGCCTTCGACGAGATCGTCGCCCTGGGCTACCGGGAGAACGTCAACCTGGCCCAGATCCGGACCTTCACCGAGATGGATTCTCACGAGGAGAAGGTCTTCAGGGCTGTTCGCGAAGTAGGTCAAAGGTTCTCTGGCTTTCTGTGGAAGATGGCTGGTCACCCGCTTCTTTTCTGTTCTGCTCTCAGACAAAGCCATTTGCTTTGTTTTTGCTTCCTTTTTTCAAGACCCAAGAACGAGAAGCTAAGGCTGAGATGCGACGGAAAGCCAAGGAGCTACAACAAGCACGGAGGGATGCCGAGCGGCGAGGCACCAAAGCTCCAGGATTTGGGGGCTTTGGCAATTCAGCCGTATCAGGAGGCACCCTTGCTGCTATGATCACTGAAACCATTATTGAGTCAGAGAAGCCAAAAATAACTCCGGCTCCAACCAGGTGTGTCATTTGCTTTGGGGGCAAGATTGGTTGCAGAAGGTAAATGGGTTGCAAGGGAGGGTTCATGGGTCTCTATGCATTTACAGGTAGTCCTCAACGTACGACCACAATTGAGCCCAAACTTTCTGTTGCTGGGACAGTTGTGAGTTTTGCCCCATTTTGCGACTTTTTTTGCCAGAGTTGTTAAGTGAATCTGCAGTTGTTAATTTAGTAACATGGTTGTTAAGTGAATCTAGCTTCCTCATTGACTTTGCTTGTCAAAAGGTCACAAAAGGTGATCATATGATCCCGGGACCATCATGTGTCAATTGTCAGACCTCTGAATTTTGATCAGGTGACCATGAGGCTATTGCAACGAAAAATGGTCATAAGTCACTTTTTTCAGTGCCATTGTAACTTTGAACGGTCACTAAATGAAATGTTGAGTTGAGAATTATCTGTATTGTTTCATGGGGGACATACTTGTTTTTCTGCTTGCGTAAAGATTCAGAACGACTTACAGTAACGTTCAAATGGCAAATAACACAAAAGCAGCATTGGTCAGAACAGGGCGAGATGGTGACTTAGTTGGGATGTGTAGCAGATACATTGATGAGCTAAAGCCTGAGAACTTTCTTGTGGATTTCTCCCATCTGAAGATCCTGGATGGCACATGAACAAATCTTCATTTTTTTCTTAATGAAATGGGCGATGCAGAGCAAGGAAAGCAGGGAAGGATCTTGCTGCTTCCTTTGGGCAAAATGTCTCATGCATTTTGTTTTGTTTGTTTAGACCTTCTGGTTCAAACAAGGCACTTAAGCTCGGCACTAAAGGGAAGGAAGTGGATAATTTTGTGGATAAACTAAAATCTGAAGGTGAAAATATTGTTGCTTCTTCTGTTGGCAAGCGTTCCTCAAATTCAGCAGCTGTTCTTGCTCCACCCATTAACATGGAGAGGTATGTGTATTACCCAGGAATGCGGAAAGGTAAAGAGAAAAGCACACAGCAACCCTGCATAGCAAAAACCAGGTTTCTGTTCTAACCCAAGCCCAGAGGAAACCTGGTCTCCTGGAGAGTAAATATCTTTAGTGGACTTTCAAGCAGGAACTCAGCAGCTAGGTGGAGTTTGGGTAATCAGGTGAAGCTTTGACTGAGAGCACTGTTATGTTAAGCCAAAGGGAGCTTTTTAACCATGGTTTGATGGCTGAGTCTTTGTCTAGTTCAACACTGTCCCAAGCAGTAAACCATAATGAAACCAGTCAAGCTGTGGGTTAGCACAATGCTGTTTGGAGATGTTTGGGCTTTCAGTGAATTTGCAAGGGTCAAGGCTGTAATACATAGTGATGATTTGTGGCTCTCCTGAGGAGGCAGGGCTGCAGAAGGGCTGCCTCTCTCTTAATACCTGGGAAGCCCAGTTGGAAGGAAGGAGGCCTCTAACGCCCTGTCCCCTGGGTCCTCCCTTCTTCTAGCGTGCATATGAAGATAGAAGAGAAGATCTCGCTAACCTGTGGCCGGGATGGGGGGCTTCAAAACATGGAGCTGCATGGTATGATCATGCTGCGGATCCTGGATGAAAAGTTTGCTCGTATTTGTATCCACATTGAGAATGAGGACAAAAAAGGTGTGCAACTCCAGGTAAGGTTGGCTGGAGGTTAGGATCGGGGTTATTTTGAGGTGGGCACGTCTGTTTTGGGGTGGAGTGGCTTGGCTGACCGGTGGCTCCCTTTTCAGACTCACCCCAATGTTGACAAGAAGCTTTTTATGTCAGAGTCTGTGATTGGCTTGAAGAACCCAGATAAGTCGTTCCCCATCAATAGTGACGTGGGAGTGCTGAAATGGCGGCTGCAAACGACGGAGGAGTCTCTCATTCCGCTGACCAGTGAGTTGCTTCAGTTCAGGGAGTAGCAGGTATCCCAGAGGCGGCAGCCAGCCAGCCAGCCAGCCAGCCAGTGTCCTGCTCCTATCCCTGCTGAGAACATTCAGATCTCCTTGCTTGAACTATCTCAGCTGGCTTTCTTTTGGATCCTAGTTAATTGCTGGCCCTCAGAAAGTGGCAACAGCTGTGATGTCAACATTGAGTATGAGCTGCAGGAGGATAGGCTGGAGTTAAATGACGTGGTAATCACCATCCCTTTGCCGTGAGTAATTGTCCTGCCTGCCAAGAATCTTCCCAACCACCAGGAGTACCAGTTCTGGGGTGGTGGGGCGTTCAGAGCTAACTCATTGTTGATTGCCTAGGTCTGGTGTGGGGGTTCCTGTAATTGGAGAGATTAATGGTGAATACCGCCACGATAGCCGAAAAAACCTTCTCGAGTGGTGCTTGCCAGTGGTTGATGTCAAAAACAAGAGTGGCAGCCTGGAGTTCAGCATCACAGGGCAACCAAATGACTTCTTCCCCGTGCACGTTTCCTTTGTCTCTAAGAAGAACTTCTGCAACATTCAGGTGTGCCTTGCTGGGGGCTGAATGACAACTGTCGCCCTTCTCCTTTCCTGTGCCCTATTTGGAGAAAGCTACCTATCGGGGCAGAAGGAAGGGAGCTGTTTCCACCCAAATGGGACTGGCAGAACAGCTGCTTCTCCACTGAATGGTGTCCTGAGCCTCTTTGTCAGCGGTTACTCGTTTCTTCAGGCCGCCCTGGTCATTCACAGGGACCAAAACCTCCACCCTTTTATTGGCACTTGGGGAAGTCAAGGACAGTGACTGGTGGCAGGTCTTGCCTTCCCAACTAACTCTTTTCTTTCTGCAGGTCACCCAAGTGACTCAGGTGGATGGGAACAGCCCTGTGAGATTCTCCACAGAGACCACCTTCCTCGTGGACAAATACGAGATCCTGTAACCCTTGTTGAAGGGAAGCAGCAAGCAAGGCCGAGACTGACTATGTACAGAGAGAGCTGCAGCCTTCAGCGTCAGGGAACGTTATTTGTTTACCTACTGACCTTATTTCCCAAGTCCCAACCACTCAGGCCGGGAGAGACTGCCTGCTTCTCTGGCACAGATGCCCCCCCTTGGCAGGCGCCTTCTCCCTCCACCCCACCCCACCTTTTCTTCCATAGAGGGTATCCCAAAATGGTTCCAGATGCAGCGGCAAGGAGATTGCTACCAGCAGCCTCCCTTTTCCAGTGCTGTGCTGACCTTGCCAACCCATCTGATCCTGAGCGGAGGTGGGGGAAGCTTCCATGCTTGTGCAGCTCTCGCCTGAAAGCTCCTCCCTTCTCTCTTACCATTTTCTTGAACCTGGTGCCCCTGCAGAAGAATAAAGGGCAGCTCTTTCTGGCTTCTCTGACTTTGAGATCCTGGAAATCTCAGCTTGTGGGCAGGGACGCATTGGGCACCTTGAATGCATTGGGCTGTGCTTGCCTGCTAAAGAAGACCCCACACCACCTCTGTCCAGAGAGCCCTAGGTGGGGACCGTGAATCATACTGATTTGGAGATTTGTCTGCCTGATTCTTAATATGGGGTTCAATTTAATTCTATTGTCAAATGCAATTTATTCCCAAATGATATTGAAGGTGACACTGAAATAAGATTTTGGAACCCTGCAAAATAATTACTTACAGCCTGTATGGCACATTCCAGTGTATGCTCCTGAATCCAATAAAGAATATTATAAAAGAAAAAAAAAAGTGCTCTTTAGCTCTCGGCAAACGAGGACTGAGGGTGAGTCCTGAAGCATTGCTGGATCTAAAAAGTAATTGCCTCAGGAGAACACAGTTGCTTCAGATGGGTGAGGTACTCCCAAGAAAATGAAGGAGCATCCCCCCCCCATGAACTGGGACCCACCAGAAATGAGAAGGCAAGGCAGGCAGCTTCACCTGTCCAGCCCTGGTGACTGGGGAAGCAGCTGACGGTGGGGGCTCAGGGCAGAAAGGATGGCAGACTGGGCCAGTGTCAAAGGAACACTTCAGTATGGAGCAGGCATTTAAGTAATGCAAGACTCCTAAGATGTTGAGACTAAACTATAATTGAACTTTGCTTCTGTGTTTGGGGGCCTCAGGCTAAAATGTGATATGTTATGATCAGGAAAAATGTATGTTTGGTAAGATGGCCAATTTCATTTCCTTCAAAATAAAAAGTCATATTCTTCAAATACATATTTAACCAATAAAGGAGAATATTTGTAGCTCGGTTGAAATGAGGGGTCCTTGGTGTTCTCTGAGCTTGCTTGTTTTCTTGCAGACTTTTCATTACCATCACTGTTGATGAGGCAATGAACTGTCCTGTACTAAGGACCCCGGTACACATTTAACTTCATGCTCTCTAAAGTGGCCGTCTGAGATGGCCTGTTCCTTGATTCCTGGCATCTGTGGGGACACGGCTGACTTGCTTCCAGAGTGAATCGGAGGCCTCGGGCACAAACTCCTACCCTGTTTTGGTTCTCGTGGTTTAAATCTAGGTGTCCAGAGTCTGTCCTGGCAAGTTGGCACTGCACCTTGTCCTGCAGAGCAGCAAATTGGAAGCTTGACCCTCAGGAGCACTCCAGGAAGGAGATCAAATTCCAGACCAGATTCTGCACTAGATCTCCCTGCACCCAACCTGTGCCTTTTTCCCATTATCCCCAGAGCTGCACCTGGTGGCCTGCATATAGTGAAATGTGTTTCCTGTGACATGCAGAGGTTTGCCTGAGCTGTTTATGCTGCAAGCTGAACAGATACTTCAGGGGAGAGGGGGAGCCAAGGATCACTTTCCTGTAGGTCGGCTTCTAGGTAAAGAAAAAGGCTATGAGAAGAGAGAGACTGCCCCCTCCTTTATCTAACATCTATCATTCATCTCATCTGAGTAAGCTTGCCTTCAGACATGGGTGCTTCATCGCGGGAGGTTTTTAAGAAAAGACTGGACAGCTACCTATCTGAAATGGTACAGGGTCTCCTGCTTGTGCAGGGGGTTGGACTAGAAGACCTCCAAGGTTCCTTCCAGCTCTGTTCTGATTGAAGTTGGATTTAAGTCAAAATGCATGGGCTCCCTTGTATGTCCTCCAGCTGACAATCTGCAAAGGGGCAGGGACCTTCCTGCAACGTGTCGTGTCCGGCTCCCTTGAGCTACCACAGGAGTGACTGGGAAGGTCTGAGCTGGGCCTCACCCAGACTCATCTTGCCCGCAGCAGCAGCAGCAGCTCTTGCAAGTCTTCCTCTGGCTGCTATGGCTTCACATCAAGCAGCATCATGAGATTGATGGTTTCCAGATGTTGTGATGTAGCCAGTGCCAAAATAGGCATACCAGACTCTCGTCACTTCCCTACTCCAGCCAGGAGTGCCCGCTGACATTATTTCTCATTTTCTAAATAGATTTTGTGCCAGAGACTGTAAATATACGTCCCTGTCCCTTGCCATAACAATTCAGCCAGCTAGTCTTGTCCTCGGGTGCAGTGGGGACAGCCGCATTGCCCAGTTTTTAGCCGTTCTTCAAAGTGCTGGGTTTTATTGTTTTTAAGAAGGGGGGGGCTCTGCACACAGACAGGGTTAAGCAGGGCCACCAAGTTCCATTCTGTACCTATTCACTGAATTTTTTATTAAAGGCGAAAACGGTTCTGCAGTTCTGGGAGCAAAGAACAATCCCACACTATTCAGGCAGGATAAAATTCAGGTAGTGCAAAAGGGGCAACATCTTAATTGATGACAAAGTGCTTGATCAGCCGTGTGGAGATAAAACTTGGGAGCCGGAATTGTGCGTCTTTCACTACGGTAAAATCATTCACCCAGCAGGAGGAGCTTAACTCTTGGGGACTGCTATTATTAAAGTATATTTTGATTGGAGTCCTATGTTTTATGGCTAAGCGCCCAGAAGTGTAGGATTAGGACAGCACAAAATTTTTGCCTAAAAAAATAATAATGCGTCAATGAGTGACAAATCCCCCCCCACCGAGGACCAAGACTGTCAAAGGCCGGTCCCGCCTCCCCGGCGAGGGGCTTCCGAGCGGAGAGGCCAGGTGGGGCTGCGGGGAGATTCGGCTGTTTTGAGCGTGAACGGCGGGTCAGGCTCGGCCGCCCTGCAGGGGCTGCTGAGCTCTCCTTTTCTTCGGGCGAACGGAGGCCGAGCTCGAGCCCGCCCGAGCAGCCACCTTCCCCGCCCTGGCCTTTTGTTCAGCGCAGGCTCTGCCGCGAGGCTCCGGCTCGGAGGCGGCGGGAGGGCCCTCCGGGACCCGGAACGGCGAGGGAGGCGCGCGCACCCCAGCCGCCCGCGGACCTGGTCGAGCGCGCGCGCGCGCAAAGGGGGAGCAACCCGGGAGGGCGGCGGGCCCCCGCCTGGCGCTCCTCCTTCCTCGGCCGGCGGCCCTTCAGCCCTCAGCGAGCAGCGCGGACGCGCGGCGGCGACGGCAGCTCCGAAGACGTCGGGCATCAAACGGACAAGCTTGCTTGGCAGGTGCGGGCGGAACGGGCGCCCGATCGGCGGGGCGCGCAGGTAATGCTGGAGGCGCCTCTCCGCTGCCCGGACCACCTTTCCTACTTTCGGAGCGGCCGGAGGCCCTTCCGCCCCGGGAGACTTGAGGGGGTGGCATCCTTGGGCCGGCCGAGCAGGAGATGGAAAGGGCGGCCGCGCCTCTCCGCTTGACTCCGGCCGGCGAGTCTCTGGCCGAGCGCAGCTCAGTGGACGGCTGAAGGGGGCATCGACGGGCCGGCAGCCGCCCCCGCCCCGCTCCCCGCCTGCCTGCCTGCCTGCCTGCCTGCCTGGCTGGACGTGGCGCATTCCGTGCATTCCTGGCGCTTCTCTCCCGCACCCGCGCTGCGGACTGGGGGAGAGCGACACTGCGCGCAAAAGCCGGCAAGACCGTCCCTGCCTGCCGTTCCCCCCACCCGCGCACCTGCGCTCGGTCCCAGCGGGTCCGCTTCCAGGCGAGAGGAGACCCCCTGCTCGCTCTGAGTTGCCGGTCTCGGAGTGGCCGTGGCTCCAGCCGTCCCTTGCTGTTGCTTGGCAGAAAACGGCCGTCCGGTCTCCGGGTGAGGAGACCTCAGGGTTTGCCCTCTCCCGCGTCGCCGGGAAGCTGTGGAGGGTCCTGCAGCTCCGGGCTCCGAGCAGGGTGGGAGCTCTGCATCCGGGACTTGAGCTGCGCTGAGTAATCCCAGAACAAGTTTTTACCTTGCAGGATTGTTGTGAGGTGATATTGACTAGCCTGCCTGAATGTTTCTTGGGGCTGGGCTCTGAAATAATCTGAGTTGGTGGTCTTGTAGCATCATCTGATTGAGACTCAGAAGCTGTGGACTTGGGGCAGCTACCTACTCCCCGTTCCACTCCCTTCTCTTGTGGGTCTGAGAAAAGGTCCTTCAGGAAAAATGCAACATTCTGGGAGAATCTAGTCCTCTCCTGATGCTGACCATGCCCCCCCACACACACACACACCAGCTGTTGCAACCTCTTGCCACTTACTGCCCTTTCCTTGTGGCTTTTCTCCTGCAGTGGAGCTGTGGCTGCCCAGCACAGGATACCCCAGGCAAGCATGCTGATTTGAGCTGGGGGAGCAAGTGGGCCACCAGTCCCAAAAGCTGCCTTCCTCCTTTCCCAGGACCAGTGCTAGTTTTGCCAGTTTTCTCTCTGAACCCAGGAAGACCACAGAGCACTTGGGGGTAGCAGATGCACCCTGCTGCTCTTGGCCTCTGGTTGAGCCCAGACCTGCCTCATCTTTGGGTCGAGGCTTGACACAGATGTGGCTCCAAGGACTGAGCTGGGCTTTGGGAGAACCTTGACCTGCTGGTGCAGAACAATTTCTGGCAGGGTGGAATTGGTGCTGACTAGCAAAATTGGGATTCTCACCCCACCCCACCCCCATGCCTTTTGTTGGATCCTGCGTCAGAAGCTCTCCTGAAGCCTGGCTGCCATGAGCAGCTTGGGCTGGGCCGGGCCAGACCCCGGCCAAGGGCTACACCACCCCCACTTTTCCCAGGCTGCCTCTTCTGAGGCAAAGAAAGCTGGGGGGGGGGGGGTGGCCTTGAAGCCTGTGGTGCTCCTCCAAGGCTGGAAGGGAGTCAATTGTTCTCCTCCCGCTTTTCCTCCTCTGGCAAGGGTCAGCAGGAAGGAGAGACTAGCCCTGCAGGCCTTGGTCCAGCCAGGCTGGAGCTCCCGCCTTGGCCTTTGCTGCCCTGCCACTCCCAGCCACACAAGGCACTCATTCTCTGGCAGCCCAGAGAAGAAAGGCGCCTTGTGGCTGACAAGGTACAGCTCCCCCCCCCTCTCTCTCCCTCCCTCCTCAAACAGAGCCTGCTTGTCAGGGCTTGTGGCTCTAAGTAGGAAGAAGAGGGAGAAGGGGGAGCAGCCAGGCACCCCCTCTCTCTCCTGGCCCCAGGAGAGTTCTTTTACTAGGCAAAGAGTGGGCCAGGAGACCAGAAGCCTCCTTCCTCTGGGGAGTGGCACTCTCCTCCTTGGGCAGTCTAAGACAAACAAGGCAGTCACTGGCCTCTCTGTCTTATCCCTTGGAAGGAGGGCTATGGATGGGGTGGGGGTGGGGCTGTGCCAGTGCTTGGGAGGGAGGTACTCAGATCAGGCAGTGCCCTGCTGGCTCTCCTGGGCCAATGCAGATGTTGGGCTTGAAGATGGCAGCATGAGAAAGGGGGCAAGATCTTTCTCCTTTCACTCAGGAAGGAAGGAACACCCAGGTAAGATGTTCTAGACTGGGAAGCTGCCTTTACTGGCCATTTACGTTCACTCTGCCAACTTTTAATTTCTCCAAGGTCTTCAGCAGGCAACTGATAAATGGTGGTAGAAGACAGGGAGGAGAGAGTAGCTGGCATTGAAGCAAGGGAATCTGGAGTTGGGGTGGGGGCACAGAGACCCCAACCAATCTTTGGCAGGTGCAGAGGAGGTTGGATGCAGGAGCGACCTGTGCCCTGGCACCCCCCTCTTTTCCTCCTAGGCAAAGAGGAGCCCCACCATGGAGACTTGCAACCACAACCTGGCTGCTCCCCCCTGCCAAGTGCAGAAGCCCATTCAGGTAAGCGGGTGACCCAGGCAAACCCCCTGCCCGTCAGAATGTGCTGGGCCTCCCGGGTGGCAGTGGTGGCTCAGGAGGGGACCCCATCCTGTCCTGAGGTTTTCAGACCGGAGAGTGAGCCTGCAGGCCAAGGAGTGGGAGACCCCTCTTTGGAAGCCCTTCCTGAATCAGCCAGCACTGACGCTTGCTCATCTCGCTTTCCCCTCACTGCCCCTTTTAAAGCTGTTGGACAACTTGCCCTTTTGCCTTTTCCTACCCTTCCTGGCAATCACCCTCAACCTGCCTGGCTGGAGGATGGCAATTAAGAAGAGGAAGGGAGCTCATGCCAGGAGTGGCCAAAAGGGAAGCCAGGCTGCCCTCTGCTCTTACCCACTTGAGGACTAGCCATGAGCGCCTGGGGAAGGGGCTGACTCTGGGACCCTGAGCATACAGCCAAAGCATCTTTGCTCACACCTATCTGCACTGCCGCCCCACCCCATCTTGACCTCTGACTGAATCTCCTGGCCATTCTTGAAGGAGGAGGGGGCCCTGCTGCTGCTGAAGATCTTTTTCCCCTACCCTGCAGAACAGCCTCCTGGACTTGACTGAGACCGGCCGAGGTTTAAAGGTGCAGACGCAGAAGCCACACCTGGTGAGCCTCGGCAGCGGGCGCCTCAGCACTGCCATCACTCTGCTGCCTCTGGAAGAGGGTATGTCTCTGTAGTCTTGGGGGGGTGTTCCCTTCTCTGTTCCCCCCTCGAAGGAGTGCCCCCATGCTCATAGAGTCTCCTTGCAGGCAAGACGGTCCTGGGCTCCGCTGCTGGGGACATTGTGCTACAGGGGGCTGGGGTGGCCCCCCAGCACTGCTTCATTGAAAATGTGTGTGGGACCCTCACGCTGCACCCCTGCGGTCATCCTTGTGCCATCGATGGGCAGCCGATAACACACCCCACCCGCTTGTCCCAAGGTAAGGAGAAGTGAGGTTCTGCTGCTCAGGCATAGAGATCTGCACATCCATTATGCTACTTTAGGCCAAGTACATCCGGGGAATGCTTGGTTCTGGATTCTAAAGTGTTTCTGGACTCAGACCTGTTCATCCCGATGGGACACACATTAGTGCTCAGTCCCTCTGGCCTTTGAGTCTTCCTACAAGTGTGGGCCCACTCCGTTCCCTGGCCGATGGACTTCCAGTTGAGCTAAGCCATGCACAATTTTGGGGGGGAGAGTCCACCCACAAGGTCCAACAAAGAGACATGCTCCCTCTTTACAGTTCTGGGCAAACACAGCGAGCCACACAAAGCCGTAAGACAGAGGAGGGTTCTGCAGGAAGGAGGCCTCCAAGGATGGCCTAGGAGCTCTTTGGCGGATGGCAGGGCAGGAGCCAATCTCCTTGTGCCCTGGGTCAATACTGAGTAGGGAACCTCTCTGCCAGGCCACAGTGGAAGGCCAGCTCTTAGCATCGCCATGGTAACCCCATCCTTGGCAAGGGAAGCGGTTTTGCTGGCCAAAGGAGAATGAGGCAAGAGTTGGGGAGGGGCGTTCTTTCAGTCACCCAAGGCTGGGCAACTGCTAATAGGAGGGAAGCAAGACCCCAAGCCATGCCCAGCCATTGCCTGGAATAAGACCCCAGTGCTGACCTCTGCTCATGCCCAGGAGCTGCCAGCCTGTTGGGGGCCACTTCTTGGTCTAGCCAACTGATGGGGTTTTTTGCGGGGGGTGTAGAACCAGGCAGCCCTGGGCCATTCTCAGTGGCCCCACTGAAAAGCAGCCCATGCTTTTCCTGTGGCTGACCCTGTAGAGTGGGATCTGCTCTCCCTTATGGTCTTAGCCAGGAAAGTTACAAATCTTTATATTAAAAGGAAGAGAGGGATTTCCTGGCCAAGGGTGGCTGCAGCTGGATTCCTTACAAGCCAGGCTGTGTATATTGGACCAAGTGAGGCTGTAGGCCCTGCCCATCTTTGGGACTCACTGATAGCAACAGACACAGTCCGTGGGTCAGGGCTGGCTGGGAGGCGCCTGTTGGCCTCTGTGAGGCTTTAAATAGATGCATGTCCTACTCAGACATCTCCCCAACATCACCTTCCATCCAAGCAGTTGGCCTCAGTCCTCAGTTTACAATGGCATTTGGGACCAGAATTGCAAGTCACTCCATGATGCAGTCATGAATTGTTGTTAAGAAAGGACGGCAGGGGAGGAATGCTTTGAGGCAGAGCCTGGCAAGAGCCCCCTCAAGGGGGGGGTAGGGTTCTGTGAGCCTTGGTTCCCACAGCTGTGCCCCTCCCCTCCCCCGCCCCCATTGTCTAGTTATTGCTGTTTCTCTTCGGGACTGCAACAAAAATCACATCAAGTCAACTTTTCCAGAGATTCATCATTTCCTGTCTGAATCACATTTTTGGTCTGATGAGAGCCTGGAAAGAGAACATTTTAAAACGAATTGCCCTGAAGCCTTGAACATGAAGTAGCCAAGTGGCTTTTCTCCAGGTTAGCTCCCTCCCTGCTTCATCCCTTCGCAGCCAGTAGTGGATCGAGCCTTGGCTGCGCTGGAAGGCCAGCAGATCCAGGCCTGCTTGGGGGAAAGTCCCGGCCCGGTCAGCCACTGGGAGCTCCTGAAGAGGACTTCAGGGCGGCTGCCAGAGAAGCGGCCTAGCCTCCCGGGAGCCGCCTGGCTCTTTCTCCTGCGCCGGCTTCCCCTCGGGGTCCCGGAAAGAGTTCTCCTCTCTGGCCGGCCCGGAAGGCTGAGCGGAGGACGCCGAAGCTGCAACCACGCGAGCTCCGCAGCCATGAGCGGCAGAGAGCCCGGGCTCCGGTGCCCCCAGCTCTCCCCAAGCCGGCCGGGGGCGAGATTTGCGACCGAGGGTTCCTCGCGAGCTTCCTCGAAATGGGAAGCGCCGGAACTCTGGAGGAATCAAACGGGCGGCGGGACAGCCCCCTGTCGCACCGGCGGAAAAACCGCTGGGAGCGGGGCGCGCGGGGCAGGAGCGCCGCCAGGGCCAGCGGGGCCCGACGGCCGGCAGGGCAGCCCAGAGCGCAGCGGGCGGGGGCCGCCGTTGAAGGGAGCCGGCCAGGTCTTTCGGGCGGGGCGGGCGAGACTCTCCCTGCCTCCGCCCACCGCTCGCTCGGCGCTATTTTTAGCCATCCCGGAGGCGTCCGGCGACGACACGGGAGGCTCCGCCCAGCTCGCGGCTTCTTCGGCCCCGGAGATGCGGCCGGGGCGCCGGGCATTCTGGAGCGCGGCGGCTCGCACCCTACAGGCGCGGCCGAGGCAGCCGCCGATGCTCGGCGCTTTCCGCCGGGGAGCGGTCGGCCGGCCGGCCCAGCCTCTGCCCCCGAGCAGCCTTTCGGGGACGGAAGGCCAGCCGTCTTCCGCTGGGCTGGCTCCGGGCTGGGCACGGGGGAAGCGCCAGCCTGGCGCGCGGGGCGCTGCATCTACGGAGCATCCGTGGCCAGGCGAGCGGTCTGCCGGGCTCGGCGCTTGATCCGGACAGGGGCGCCGAGACCCCTCGGGGCGGTCGTCCTCTCGCCACCCGCCCCGTCCCCCCCCCGCGGTCCTCCAGGGAGCCCAGCCCGCCGTGTAAGCTGCTGGGGCTGCAAGGAAAGTCGGGCGGGATTCGGAGGGCTGCGGGGTCTAGACGGCGCCCTTCCTCCCAGCGAGGGGTCGGGCAGCTCAGCCTTCCGGAGGGGGGCGGGGCGGCTGAAGCCACCCTCCTCGCCTCACCAGCCCCCATCCTCCAAAGCCAGCGCACCCTCCCTGGCTGGCTTGCCCTCCTTCCTGCCCAGCGATGGGGCGGTCGGGAAGCGTGGCGGGTGGCAAAGGTGGCAGATTTCGATATTGAATGCTGTGCTCTGTGTAAGGGCGGATGGGTAGCCCCGTGACCTGCTGATCCCCCGCCTTCCGCTGGGTTCTGGCCTTAGGAAGCCCCCTCTGGAGAGGGGACTTTCTCCCCTAAAACAGGGGAAGGTGCCTGGCCTCCAGTTTATGCTCCTCCCCATTTCCCTTTTGCATGCGAATTTTCTGAGTTGCCATAGATCCTGAACTTTCCCCTCTTCTGGTAAACTTTGCCTCAGTTGCTTGATGTGTTTGGACCCCCCTCTCCCCCAAATGCTTTTTGCAGTGACTCTGTGGCTGTGGCCATCTTCTCAGGGAGCTTCTGTGGGATTGTCTATGTTGTAATCCTTTCTACCAGCAGTAGCTTGTTACATTGGCAATCTCGGGGTTGGGGGTCAGTGTGTTCTGGGGACCAGGCTGACAGGATAAACCAAAATAGCAGATGGCTATTTGAGAATAGCATGCTTGGTTTTGGCTACCTTGAGGGCAGTGGGCTTCCCAAACCAGATGCAGAATGGGCCCCTCAGCTGTAGGGGAGGCTGGCTTGCCTTCTGGAGCAGGGAAGGTTTGAGCTGCTTGTCCAGGAAGCTTGTGAGCTCCGTCTGCAGCTTGGGTTGTCACTGAGCCCTTGGTGGTTCCACCTTTCTTTGGGGCCCATTTCTGGGGGATGTGCTCTGAGACGCCTCCCCTTCATCCAAGTATGCCAGGCACCCGTAATGGTCCCACAGCCCAGTTTCTTGGGAGGGGGAGTCAGGTCTGATCTCGTGCAGAGAAGGGCTGGGTGTGTAATCATTTGGGAGGAGGAGGAAGGTGGTTAGACCATACAGGCTTTCTTTAGCACATCAGAGCTCCCTCTGTAGTAACCTTCCATTTCATTTGTTTGCTCCATAATTGGCCAGTGAACTGATGCCAACGGAATATTTGTTTTGAGATTCAGAACCGCAGAATTGCCGTTTTCCTTCTGCTTTGCCTGGGGAGTTTAGGGGTCAGACTAACTGAAGGCTGCTGCCTGGCCTTCCAAGAGGCACAGCTGCTGACGTTGCGGCCGAGGGGACAGAGGGCCTTCCAGGCAAGCCGCGCCCCTCTTGGCTTCTGCGCCTGCCCCTTGGCTAAGGCAAAGCCTCCAGAGCACCCATATTAGGGGAGGGCACAGGCGGGTGTGCTGGGGCTGCATTTCCTGACTTCAGATGCCCCCTCCCAGTGGTGGGAGCTGGTCTGTCTGCTGCGGCCAAGAATCGTGGAATGCTATTCCCTCAGGCACCCAATTCAGTGTAGCTCAGGCTCAGCTCTGCAGCAGGCACGGGTTGGAAAGCTGGGGAGAGCAGGAGGAGAACCCCGGGAGGGGGTTCTCTGGGTGTCTGTCTGCTTTTCCAATACCAAGCCTGGCTGTGGCCAGAGCTCCCACTGGCCTCCCACTCTCCACCACAGGAGAGTCCTGCCAGCTGGATGCCCACCACAGATCCTCTCTGGCACGGAACAGCCACCCCCAGAGCATCAGTGACCACTTGGCCCTTTTCTGGCTGGGCCCTGCCGTTACGAGGGTAGGACTGGCTGGAACAGGTGTGCACAAGCGTTGTGAGAATGTGAACTTCTATCAACCCTACTAAGCAGACCATGCTGAGAGGTCAACTCCAGACTACTTTTGAGATGGGTTGTAATAATGGGATCTGGCAGTCTCATTGTGCTGGCCCGCCTCCTCATTCTTCAGTAAATTAGGGAGGCATCTGCCTGAACCACTTCTAAGCAATATCTGGACATTCTGGACTTTTAAAAATGGCCTCAGTCTATTTTGACCAGGCAACACATCCCGCACCTCTCTATCAAGGGCACCACCTCATTCTCTGCACCTAGCCTGTCCCTGTGTGGGCTGGGGAGTCTACAGCAGTCGAATCAGCTGGAGGGTGGCCGGGGGGGGGGAATGTTTTTGATGTTCAGCACCACAAACTGAAGAGCAGTGGGGGGGGGGCTTCAGGCCCATTCATACAAAGTTTCCTGAAGACCGGCCACCCTGAGGAAGGTCCAGCTCTGACTTGAGCCAGCAAGGAGGGCTGGACTGAGTTGCGACTGTGGGCAGAGGGTCTTTCCTGGGCTTTGTGGCTGGTGGCAGTCGTGCCCTGGCCTCCTGGCTACCCTAGCAGCATTGCTGAGACTTCTGTCTCCAAAGGCAGCTCCACAGAAGGCGCATTGCAGTTGCCCAACGGTAGGAAGCCCTGAGATGTGGAGGAGCAAAAGCCACCTAGAGCTTTCCAGAGGCAGCTGCCACTCTCGGGGTGGACAGCACGGCTGGACCTGATCTCTCAGTGGGTCTGCTTGGCTGATGGGGCTTCTTCTTCCAGGGCATGTGATCTGCCTGGGCCGGGCGACCTTCCTCCGCTTCAGTCACCCAGCTGAGGCCAAGCGGATGAAAAGCCAAGCAGTGCCCGGTGAGCGTCACAGCCCAGTGGTCCCGTATGGGCTCGGAACAGGTGGGTCCTTTGCATGACTGGGTCTGGTGTGGGAGGTGGTTCTGAGGGGCCACTTGGCTTCCCGGGGCTTCTGGCTGAGTGGTGGGAGGTTCCTCCCCAGCCCTGGGTGATGGCAGATTTGATGGGGATCTTGTAGTTGGGCATCTGGAGAGGCCTTTCGAAGGTGAGGGTGCTGGGTGCTTGACCTCTGTGTGGGTGGGGGGCTCAGGTGCTCTGACCCTGAAGGGGGAAGGAGGAGGCAGCTGAGACTTCTCCCTTCTGAGACAGCCATCTCTTTGCAGCAGAGCGGCAGAGCCCCATCAACAGCAACTCCGAGGGGGCATCGCTCTCCCTGGTCAGCTCCATTGAGAGAGATCTGCAGGGCATCATGGATTCCTTGGTGCTGCAGGAGGAAAGTGGTGATGGGAGCCCTCCATCCCCAACAGCAAACGGCATGGGGGGCTGCTCCCTTCTGTCCCCACCCCAGAGCCCTGGCAAAATCTCCATGGGGTCCACATATGAAAACACCTCCTCTCCCCCCTTCTCTCCGCTCTCCTCCCCTGACAGCAGCAGCAGCAGCTGTCGGAGCCCCTCGTCCAGCTGCTGGGAGAAAGCTCCCACCCTCCCCCCTGCGGTGCCTGTCCGATCCTCCAGTTACTGTCATGCTGCGTTGTTGCCCCACGGGGGGCCTTGCCCAGACCCCTTGAGCAGTTCCAATGGCTTCCTAAGCTCTGCTTGCGGTTCAGGGAGCCCCCGGATGGAGAGGAAGGTCCAGCGGGACGGCCCCACAAGCCCCCTGCCTCCTGCAGAAGATCCCCATCCTAGCCAGCATGCTGCCTCCCCGCTGAAGGAGAAGCTACTGGGAAGCCCTCGGCCACCATCGCCCAGGAACCCCTGCCCGGCCAGGGCTGTCCGGCTGCCTGGCATGCTGCAGGGCAAGGCTGCAGCCCTCCAGGAGCCTGTCCCCGACCCGTTCCTGGAAATGCTGCCGGTCAGGGTTTCCCGACCGGCCCAGCTGGGGAAGTCAGCCTGCCAAGGGTCAGGGCTGCCAGGTGTGGCCTCTCAGTCCAGCTGGGCCCAGCGGGCCCCTGAGAGTCCTCTGCTCAGCCGGCGGTCCCTGGAGGGCATGCGGGAGCTGCCCCCACTCAGCCCAGCCCTGGGGCGCCGAGCAGTCTCCCCGGCCCCTGGAAGTAGCCGCTCTTCGCAGGGCAAGGTTGGGCAGAGTTCTGGGGTGTGGCGGAGGGAGGCCTCTTCCACCCCCTCCTCCTGCTGCCTGAGGAGCCGCAGTCCCTCGCCTCCCCCCCTCCCTGGAGAGACCACCCAGCGCAAGCCCCATTGCAGACCAGGTCTTGGCTCTGCCTCCAGCTTGGGTTCCCTCGTCCTGCCCTTGGATTCTCCCCAATCGAGACACCTGGGGTCTTGGGGGTTCCGGCTGCTGGGCCCCATGCAAGAGCGCAAGCAGAGCATCTCCAAGCTGCTGGGTGTGCATGAGAGTGACCTGCTGGAGTACCACCGATGGCAGCGCCAAGAGCGTCTCCGGGAGCAAGAGATGGAGCGCTTGGTGAGCAGGAGGCGAGCCGGGGGATTCAGCTTCACTGTGGAGAACTGGGGGTTGGTCCAAAGGATGCGTGGCACAAGCCCTCAGTGCAGGAAAGATGGACACATTCTGTCCAAGCGGACCTGGCATCATAGGCTGGGAAGGTGTGCAGAGGAGAGAAATGTATCAGAGGGCCAAGGCAGGGGAGCTACTTTGGGAGAAATTTTGGTGCCTTCCTCTCATGCTATGCTGCTGTGACCCTACCTGCTTTTGCAGCACCTCTGCTGGCCTGGGGCTAACTCTTGCCCTTCCAATCAGCGCCAGGCCAACAAGCATCCGGTGACTGGAAGCCAGGGGTTGGCCGGTCAGGACTTCTGCCTCAGGTTGGCAGCACCGCCTCCATCGTTTGAGGCTCGGGACGGGAAGATTCACCCCTTCAACTCACCCAAAGCAATCCAAGCTGTCCTTCCTGCAGCCCCCGTTTGCCCTGGGCATTCAATCCCTGTTGTGTCCCTCAGTGCCACCTTCTGCCCTTGGCAGAGGAGCCTTGGGTTTCCCGTTGCTCTGCCCAAGAGGCCAGGCCTGCTGCCTCTTTCCAGTCACTGGACCTCATCTTGATGGGCTCTCCAAGCACCTCCCATCCTCTTGCCCTCGCCTTCTCTAAGTTCTCCAGGAGCAGCTATGGGGCCATTTGCTGGCAGCCTCTGCTCTCTCCCCACCTGCTGGGCATAGACACAACTGGGTTGACGAAGCTGGTGCAACACCTGCCATAAGCCAGCCTGCTACCTCCTGGCAGGGTGGCTGGTAGGGACAGAGCGCCCTGGGTAAGCCTGGTGAGGGTCAGTCAGAGAGCAAACCCAGTTGGCACGGGGGTCTGGGTAAGGGGTGTTCATGTGCCCGGCCCTTCCATCTCACAAGCCTCCTGTGTCTCTTGCTTTTTCTCTGGGCACCTAGGAGCGCCAGCGCCTGGAGACCATCCTCAGCCTGTGTGCCGAGTACACCAGGGGGGATACTGAGCTGGGTCAAGAGGGCAGTGCCAATGCTGCTGATGGGGTCCCCCCCCCACCAGGGAGCAGCCCCCGCCGGGAGCGAGGGGAGGAGGAGAGCTTGCAGGAGGAGAGCAGCAGCACCGAGAGTGCCGGCCAGGAGGTGAGGAGGTGGGCAGAAAGGCTCTGCGTTCCCTGACCAGCTGCCGGCCGGTGCCATGGCCTGGGAGGCAGCCTTCCCCTCTGGAGGGAGGTTGGGGAAGCCCTCATCCATACATGGGGGAACTGAGTTGCCACTTCCTCTGCAGCACGAGGTGCCACCTGCTCCAGAACTGGCCCGTCTGGAAGAGGAGCACGCCCGCCTGCTGGCCAGCGCAGACTACCTCAAGAGCTGCCTGAAGGGGCTGGAGCAGCAGCTGCGAGAGACTGCTTGGGAGGTGAAGGGGGAGCTGTCCTGCTGAGAGACTGGCAGTGCCACCCATCCTTGGAGGGCAGGAAGAGGCCGGTGGCTGGTGGTGCTCATGCAGCTGCCATTCTGCCCTGCCCAGGCGGAGATAGAGCAGGCCCTCCTGCAGGGCGAGCGGGAATCGGAGATCCTGCAGCTGCGGCAGGAACAGCAGGCAGTGCAACTCCTGGAGGAGCAGCTCTCAGGCCTGGATGCCAGCGTTCGCCACAAGCGAGATAAGGTAACTGGCCGGGGAGCCTCCAGCCTAGCAGTGCGCTGCTCAAGGTGACGGGGGGCAAAGCTACCCTCCCTTCACTTGCTCGTTTAGCAGATTCTGCCCTCTCCTGATCCAGGCCTCTTGGGTTTAGTGGGAAGGGGCGCTTTGCTAGTCCTTAGATGGAGCCCCTCCCTCTAGCTTTTGGGGAGGACCCTTTGCGCATCTCAAGAAAGAGGCCATGGGTAACCTGGCGAACTGACAGCTCTTGCTGGGAGCAAATTGGCCTGACTCCTGCCTCCCCTGCTGCTCACCTTTGGTCTGGCCCAGGTGCCCGTGGGGCCGTGTTTCCTGGCTCCCTCCAATCTTTGCTGACACAGGGAGCCGAAGGGCAGCACATACTCCGGAGCCCAACCACTAACCTCCCAGCCCCCACTAACTGTACCCATCCCTCTTTTTTCTCTCTTGCTCTCTCTCTTACTCCACCTGCTCGACACTTTGGGGGGGGTATATCTGGGCGAGGAGACGCAGAGCACAGGCTCAGTTGCCTGCTCTGCCCTAGTGGTATCCCCCCTCCCCTTTTTGCGAGCCCCCAGTGCATGGCACTTACAGGCCATCTGGGGTGGCAGCTCCAACCTGTTTGGGAAGGGGTGGCAGAACTGGAGATTCTGCCAAAACCAGGTGCTCTCCCCCCCCTTTTTTTTTTTTTGCATTTATACCTGCCTGAGAAAGGATTGTCTGGCCGAGTCCTAGGAGACGGGCTGGTCATCTGGTCATGCGGGATTCCAACCCAGACTCTGTCTCTGAGGAAAGTTTGAGAAGCTGTGCCTGGGGAGAGCAGGTGGTACCCCAGACTTGTTTGTTCCACCCAGCTCCTGTCAGGAGGATGCTTTTTCTGCTCCTCCCAGGAGAATTTTTACCTGTTTTGCGCCTGGAGGCTGGAAAAGCCCAATTCTGAGGCTGGTTCCCAGGTTGAGCAGCCCAGGGGAACCAAAGTCCTGCAGCAGCCTCAGGTGTGTCGGTTGCATTTGCATGGTTTATTCTCCTGTGCTCGCTAAGTTGGACTATCGATCCTGGTTTTGCCAATCCTAGAAGGAAAAGACGGAAAGAGATCATGGGGGTCATGCAGGGTCCACTCCTTACAGCATCTGCCGCAGAGGCTGATCTCACCTCTCTTGAATGCCTCTGGCAGGAGGGACTGCAGGTCTTGGCCATGGAGATTTATTCTACGTCTGACCAAAGTCTGCTTCTTGGTGAATTAAAACCATTGTTCCTTGTCCTGTCTTCCGGAGCAATTTATTTGAAAACAGCTACCATGTCTCCCCCTTGCTCTCCCCCCCCCATTTCCTCCAGGCTAAACATACCTGACAAACGCCTTCAACTGTTCCTTGTAGGTCTTTTCTTCCAGGCCCCTTATCATCTGGTGACTCTCCTCTGGGACACATTCCAGTTTGTCAGTCTCTGTCCTAAATGTGGTGCCCAGAACTGGACACAGTATTCTAGGTATGGTCTGATTAACACACAATAAAGAGGCACCACCATTTCGCTTGATCTTGGCATTATATTTCTGCTGATGCAGCTTCAGCCAGCGTTTACTTTTTAGTAGCAGCACCACGTGTGGCTCATGTTCAGCTTGTGATCCATCAAGACTCCTGGTCCTTTTGCACATCCCCTGCCCAGTACGGTTCCTGTCGCCGCCTGCCATCCCATGCTAATGATTTTGGTTTTTCATACTCAGATTAAAGCTTTGCATTTCTCCCAGTGAAATTCCTCTCTTTGAATTTCATTGCTTTTTTCCCAGCAGTCGAGCGATTCAAGATGCTCCCTGCCTTGGTCTAGTCATGGTTACTCCTTTCCGTCCCTGGAAACTTTGGCATTATTCAAGGGGCTTCCAATGTATGCTTCACCTATCAGTCCTCAGTTTTTTCTTTTTTAAGTGGGGGGATAGATGTAGGGTGAGAACTTCCATAGGCTACAGAAATGTCTTGGGTAGAAGTCTGGGTTGGCCCTGCTTGGGACATGTTTCCCGATTATGCCTTGACTGACTGATTCATCTGAGCTTTCAATGACCCAGAAATTGCCAGGAACTGGAATGATATTTCCTCCTCCAAGGCCCAGATCTGCATTTTGTGTCTTCGGCTTTACTGCACAGGCTTGCACAGGGCAAGGCAGCTTTCCGATGTCTGGGGCAGAGACGAGGGTAGATAAATTGTTGGCTTCTCAAAGGCTGGACTTTACACCAAAGAATGAGAAAAGGTGTAGCTGCCCTGGCAGCTGCTGGGGAGGGTGGGCTGGCAGACCCCTGGTGGAGGCAAGACAAGGTCCTTGGCCCCCTTAACCTGAGACCCTTGCTAACCCCCTCTTTGCATGGTCTGTTCCCGAGAAGCCTGTTTTCTCCTCTCTCTCCTCTTCGTGTGTTGTTTTCTCCCGGCTTCAGGAGAGGGCAAAGGTTGATGCGGAAAGGAAGGCGCTTGAGAAACTGCGGGCGTTTTACTCTGAGCTCAAGAGCCAGCTTGAAAACTGCCCTGAGTCAATGAGGGAGCAATTGAAGGACCAGATGCAAAGGGTCAGTGCCTCCTCTATCCCCGCCCACCTTCAGTGGGGCAGGGGAAGCTAGTTCAGGCCCACTGGCAGCAGTGCCCCTCCAGAGGCTCAGCAGGAGTGCCCCCCTTCCTATCTCGCACACAAAGGCCAAGTTGCCTCTGCAGTCTTTTGGGTGAAAGGGACAGAGGGCAAGGGCAGCCTTCCTGCAGAGTGGATCTTGCTGCCCAACCTCAGGAGGACAAAGGGGTGCCAGACAGCTTCTGCCCTCCTGGCTTTTGGCTTTGGGGCTTCTGGCATTTGTCCTGGGATAGTTGAGAAGAAGGATCCTTGGGCTGTCTAGAGGACCCTGGCTCACCCCACACCTGTGGAGAGGCTGCCAGCTGTGCTCCCTGGCCAGCCTTGCTCAGACTGCCTCCTCTAAGCAGCTACGTCCTGCACAGGAAGCGGAGGCCCTGGAGACGGAGACCAAGCTCTTTGAAGACCTGGAGTTCCAGCAGCTGGAGAAGGAGAGCCGCTGGGAGGAGGAGCGCGAGATGCTCGACCAGCAGCTGCTGCATAGCGAGGCCCAGGGCTGCCACAGTCTGGCCCGCCGGAAGGTGAGCCCGGAGCCCCTGCCCAGGCTTGCACAGCCCGTCCGTGGCTCCACTCAGTGTCCCTCCTGTCTCCCTGTTGCAGGAACGTGTGGCTGCCCTGGAAAGCCAGGCGAAGCAGCTGCGGTTGCAGGCTGCTCAGGAGGCCGACCGGCTGCGCCAGGAAAGGAGGGCCACCCTGCAGCGGTTGCAGCAGGTGGGCCGGTAGGCGACAGGGCAAGGGGCAGAGGCCGCAGAAGAGGCCTGGCTCTTGTGGCCATGGGGAGGAGGAGGAGTGCCCAACTGTGTGTGTGGGGAGGAACTCTACTCCTTCCACTGGCAATACAAGAGAGGTCTGGGGGGTTCCTCTGACCGCCCCTTCCCTGTTCTGCTTTCCCTAACAGGAGAAGGAAACCCTTCTGGTGCTGGAGAGACGGTTCTGTGCACTCACGGGCAGTGCTGTCTTTCCCAAGGGCTCCAGCACCCTCCGAGAGGTACGAGGAGTCTAGGAGAGAGCCGGGGCGAATGTGCCCGAGGAGCCATGGCTCTGGCTGGCTGATCCCCAGCAGGGCTTGGGACACGGCCTTGAAGGACCGTCTTGGTCAAGTAGAGGGGTCAAGCTGGAGGTTGGACATGGGTGGGGGAGCCCCAGGCCCTTGGCCCATTTCGGTTCAGCTTTCCACAAATCTGCTTGGGCCAATCGCAGGCCCTGTTCTGACCTCAGAGGCTGCGCTTCCTTTGCAGGGGGGCTCTCCTGAGATGCTCCCAAGCCTTTCTCCCTCTTCTCTGTAGATCCCACAGCCCCCCCTTTTTTGCTTGTAAATGGGGGTGCGCTTTGCATTCCTGGTCTGGACCTCCACAGGCTCTGGGCAGTTACTCCTTGATTTCTGCCCTTGAGCAGTGTAGTCAGCACCCCTCCCAAGCTCGGCCCTGGCCTGGGTCTCTTGGGCCAAGATGGAAAGAAGGTGCAGCAGCCCAGCTGGCCCCAAAGCAAGGGGGTGTCCCCACTGGTCACAGATCCTCCTGCAAGGAAACGTGACCCTCTGGGGTCCGCCAAGCGGCTTTTGTCCCTTTCCCGCCTTGCACCCCTTGGGCATGACCCTCTCTTTTTTCCCCACAGGGCTCTCCGCCCCCACTGGGCAAAAGAGGCAGCCCCCCTGGCAAGCTGACCAGCACCTTTCTCGACCTTAGAAGGAAGCACGAAGCATCCCTCCAGCACAAGGGTGGGTGGTGTCTCCGTCCGTGCCCCTCTGCCAGGGCCCTGGTCCCTCATGGTGGGTGGACACTGGGTAAAGTCCTGCTGGAGCTGAGCCTCCTTTTGCTGGGTCTCTTTGCAGGACATCAGGCAGGTCAGGAGCAATGGCAGCGCCTGGCCGACCTGAAGCAGAAGACCACAGTGGAATGCCAGCTGCTCCAGGCAGGTGCCTTCTTCTCCCCCCTTCTGCCCCACTCTGCCCTCCATCGTTACCCCTTCCCAGGCCAAGATCAACTGGCCGATGACCCCGAGCCAGCCTACGACACCCTCAGCCTGGAGAGCTCGGACAGCTTGGAGACCAACCTCTCTGTGAGTGTGAACTCCGCCTGCTCCCCGGACAACGCCTCCAGGTCAGCTCCCTTCACCACCAGAGTCCGACTAGAGTTGCCCACCTTCCAGGCTCTCTCGCTTGGCCTCTGGGTGGGCTGTGCTACTGACCTGCTGCTAAGTGCAGGCCACATCCGAGAGAGGCGGGCTGGGAGGCAGGCAGTGACAACCGGTTGGCCTTGCAGTGGCAGTGGGGCAGATGCCAGGAAGATTGAAGAGATGGAGAAGCTGCTGAAAGAGGCCCAGGCTGAGAGGACCCGCCTGATGGAGTCGCGAGTGAGGGCAGAAGAGAAGTCTCGGGATGGGGATCCCCCCAAGTTAGCGTTCTGGGACAGCCATTCCTCATCAGCTGGCCCTGGCAAGCCAGTTGAGGAGGGGGCTCGAGAGGTGGCTGGTTCCCTTCTCCCTAGTGAATTCTGTCTCCACCCCCTTCCCCAAATGGCAGGGCTGCATGGATGGCGGAGCCTGGGTGGTGGGCAGCTCCTGCCCAGGGCTGGATATCCAGCTGTGGACCTTGGGGGCAGGGTGGGTGGTACTGGGAGGGGCACAGTGGCCCACCCTTCTGTCCTGGCAGGAGCAAGAGATGGAGCTGCGTCACCAGGCCTTGGAGGATGAACGGCGGCGGCGGGAGCAGCTGGAACGGCAGCTGCAGGATGAGACGGCGCAGCGGCAGCAGCTGATTGAGAGGGAGGTCAAGATGCGGGAGAAGCAGCTAGCCCAGGTGTGCAGGAGCCCCTCCAGGACCCCCAGAGGGTAGGGCTGCCATGTTCCCCCCAGAGAGGGAAGGTCTGCGCTACTGTCCTGGCAGCACAGGCCAGTCATCCCGCACACCTGACCAAGGAGGAGGCAGGGATCTCGGGGGGCTTCTTTCTGCTGTTTGGGAGGCCAGCGCTGAGCTTGGGATAGGTGATCTTTCTTCCTGGCCACAGTAGTTGGAGGGAGGCAAAAGGACTTTGGCCCCTGCTGCCTGCTCCACTGCACCCCTGTTCTGCAGGCTCGCCCCCTGACCCGTTACTTGCCTATCCGTAAAGAGGACTTTGACCTGCGCTTGCACATCGAATCCTCCGGCCACAGCGTGGACACCTGCAGCCATGTCATCCTCTCGGAGAAGCTGTGCAAAGGCTACCTGGTCAAGATGGGAGGCAAAATCCGGTCCTGGAAGAAGCGCTGGTTTGTCTTTGACCGCCTACGGCACACCGTCTCCTACTACGTGGGTGAGGCTCCCCATTCCCACCACAGGTGGCTCTCCTGCCTTGCTGCTCCTCTCGGCCCTGGGACAGGGTGCAGCTGTCTCCCTCTTCCTTTCCCCCCTGCAGACAAGCATGAGGCGAAGCTGAAAGGCCTCATCTATTTCCAGGCCATTGAGGAGGTTTATTATGATCACCTCCGATGCGCAGCCAAGGTGAGACACAGCTGGGCAGTGAGGTGGCAAGGGGGGCACTCTGAGCGCAGCCCTAGCATTCCTCCCTGGCTGTGCTTCACCTGCCCTTCCTTCTCCCGCAGAAGAGATTCTTCCTTCCCAGCCTGTCCGTTTCCTCTGGCTAGCCCAGCAACCCTGCATGGTCCTGGATCCCCAAGCTAACAGAGCCATCCAGGAGGAGAATATTTGGGCTGAAACTCCTTAGGAACTGGGGGGGGGCAGCACCAGAGGCAGAATGTGGCACCACTTCCTCAGTCAACCTCCTCGTGGCTCAGGCTCTAACCCCTTCAGCCTCAGGGAAGAGGCAACTTTGACATCTCCTGAATGCCAACGCTGGGCCCCCGAGTGGGCATCGTTGGGGCATATTTTGACTGCCTGGGCAAAGCTTGCCCATAGCTCTAGCATTGCATAGCTGCCATGTGACTCCTTGCCTGCCCTGCCCGTAGTCCCTGGTCCTGGTCCGTCTTGTAGCACAGAGCAGCCTTTCCCCATTTTCTCTTTGGGGGAAGTTTTGCGGGCCCTCCCTTTTAGGGCTGGGGGGGCACTTTTGCCTTCTTCTCTGCCCTTGAATAGGCCAGGGGCAGGGAGTGGGTTCACGTGCCCTCCTTGGGGTTAGCATTAGCTCTGCCTGCTGCCAGGAGGGGGTCTAGGGTGGCAGGAGGCACCCGGGCAGCCTCTCTCTTCTCTCGGCAGAGCCCCAACCCCGCCCTAACCTTCTGCATCAAGACCCACGACCGGCTCTACTACATGGTGGCCCCCTCGGCAGAAGCCCTGCGCATTTGGATGGATGTCATTGTCACGGGGGCTGAAGGCTACACCCAGTTCCTGAGCTGAGGCAGCAGAGCCATGAACAGTGCCAGAGGGCAGAGAAGCTGCAGCTCTCCCTCAAGGGCTTTCCATGGACAGCCTCTGCCAGCAGGCATGGACTCCTCTGCCAGAGGTGTCTGGGATGGGCACGTGAGTGGCGAAAGCAGGATCCCTGCCAGCAGCTTCTCCTGCCTTTCATTAGACTCCAGGAGGAAGCCCCCCCCCCCGCTTCAGAGGCGTGAGAGACATAGGACCACCACCATCAGGCTTTCCAGTGCAGGGCTGGCTCTTCCCTGGCCCAGAAGGTCATCTTGGGTCTCTCATCTCCAGTGCTGGCCTTCTCGCTCTTTTTCCAAAATGCAGAAGCAACTGGGAACAGTTCCCCCTTGCAGCTTGGGGATGCTGAAGTTGTTGACTTAGAGTCTTTGCAGCCAAGAGACAAGAAAGCAAAATAAAGCCTTTTGCATACTTTCATCCATATGGTCCTTTTGTCATTTAAACAATCGGCTCAATCAATTAAGGTGCATTTACAGTCCAAGACCAAACCCAAGAAAAAGAGCAATGACACACACAGCCCCCTCCAGGCCAGGTGTGTCTTTTTCTCCAGGACAAGGACCCTTGCAAGGCAGGGTTGCACAGTGATTAGAGAGGGCCCCCTCTGGCATGATTTGGGTGGAAAAGGGCAACTTGTCAGATCTGGCTAACCATTTTCCACCATGGTGAACTGGGTATCAGCGATGGGGGGAGGCTGCCTTTTCCTGTGATTCCCAAGCAAGCAGCCTGGACACCCCCAACTCATGCAGCCTTGTGGCTCTGAGTCACAGTCCCCTTTTAAAGCTGTCGCTGTGGACTCTAGAGAAGCATTTTACATTTATCTCTCAGTTAATCTGCCTTGGTATTGCAAACTTGACTGACCATTGGCTTTCCAGGTTTCCCTTAGGATTTTTCCAGCCATGGCCTGACCTGAGGCTCATCCCTTTGGCCTCGTTGGTTCCCCTTTTCTGCTGGGACTAAGGCTGGTTTAGTACTTATGTTTGTATTCACTCTGCCCTAGAACAACAGCACACCAGCCAGTGAGGACAAATGCTGGCAATGTACTCGGAGAACTTTATTGCCTATGCATATGCACCACCGTCTGGCCACACTGCCAGGGATGACTGAGGAGGGAAGGGTTCTCCTACAGGCTGTGCAGGGTATGCACACCCACAGTTGTTCTGCTGAAGCTGGGCCACACCCATCAGAGGATCTCGAGAGCCAAGCCAAGGAGATGGCTACCCTTCCCATTGGACAGGTCCATCCCCGAGCAATCCAGGAAGCTGTGAGAACAGGACCAGGATAAGGCAGGCCCCAATCCAGGGCCAGGAGGGAGAGCAGAGAGAGCTGGCAGCCGTGAGCTGCTCTCCATACAGATCTAGCAGTTGCAGGACCACCCCATTCGTCCAGCCAAACCCTTCCTGCAGAGAGACCGGAGAAGGATCAAACAAGTGGGTCCCTTTGGTCAGGAGCTGCTCCCCCCTCCCTCTGGAATGTCACCTGTCAAGACCTCTTACCTGCACTGGATACTCCCCACCACCACCTGGCTTCCCATCACCTTCGACATCATACTAGAAAGGAAAAGGGGTGAGCAATGATGGCTGCTCCAGGCTAAGCTACCCTGAGGACCAGCACATAGAGGTCCGTGGGAGAGGACCTCCACTGGAGGCTCCATGCTGGGGAGGGATGGAGGAATGAGGGAGAAGCCAGCTATGGCCTGGGGGTGGTGGCGGAAGACAGGGAAACTGTGGAAGAGACAGATGCCCAGGAAGGCCACCTCACCTTCTCAAACATGCCTCCATACTTCTCGTAGACAGCCAGGTTCATCTGCAGCCAGCGCTGAGCCAGGCTGAAGGCCAGCTCTCGTGCCCGGGGAGAGGAAGATTTAGCCAGACCTGGCAGGGCAGGGCAATGTTGTCAGTTGAGGCCTAGGGCAGGGAGACACTGCCCTGCAGGATTTGGCTGGCAGGAAGAGTTGCCTGGATGAACAGGGCAGGAGAATGACTCCTGCAGAAGCTGGAAAGGCAGGATGCAGGGCGAACCGCAGACACAGTGAAGCACCCCAGACTCTTTGGAAGGACTCCTCACCTAAGATCACCATGTGCTGGAGGGGGGCCCAAGCATTTGGAAGGTCCCATTGCTGTCCCGTCTCTGTCAGGGAGGTGGGCAGTCCATTAGCATAGGATAGGGCCGAACTCTCCTGCAGGCACCCACAAAGAAGAGGGCATTTCCAGCCAGTGATGGTGGGTAGAGGAAAGGCTGCCCTGAGATGCCCTATCCTGCCTGGCCCTGATTCCAGGGGTTGGCACAAGGTGCAACTAGGGAGCAATGTTCAGTCTCTATAGTGGAGAAACCAGCATTTGGTGCTGCCAACCATTCTGCCCACTGGTGTGCTGGCTTCCCCCTCAAGAAGGACGTTGGGGCTTTTGCAGTGAGGGAAGAGCAGGCAGGCAAGGAGCTTTTCTCTGCTGCCTGTGATTTCCCTCCCCCCAGACTAGGAGTGCTCCCCCTGAAGTGAGCCAGGATCTGTCCAGGTGAATTGTGGGATGCCTGCCTCAGCAGCTCCCCACCAGCTGTCCAGGCAGCATCCATCTCTGGCCACCCACCAGCTGCCTCTTACCTCCAGGTAGTGGAGTGCCTTCTCCGTCCTGGGCAGATCCACGCCACACTCAGTCCACAGGGGGCTTAGGTTGGAGGGGTAGAAGGCCCGGTTGTGCCTCTGGTGGAGGAGGTGATAGTCCAGCCAGACACCAGCATCCTCATTCCACAGGACAGCAGTGACGGCAGCCACCCGCTGCCTCCGCGCAGCCCAGAACCAGCTCGCTTTCTCACCATCCCCTGGAGAGGGCAAGCAGCACCCTCCTTCAGAGCAGGCCTGCCCTCCATGCCCCAGACAGGCAGCTCATCAGGGCCCCAGAGCCAAGTGAGCCTCCCCCGGCCACACAGCCATCAAGCAAGAGGCAACACACACACACACACACCCAATGAGGGAGCTGGTGGCAGCTGCCTCCCTTTGCCCCATTTCTCACCAAGCACTTGGTAGAAAGTGGCTAACAGCTGCTCGACTTTGCAAAGAATGGCATTTAAATCCACCGGCACAACTCCCCTCACTCTGGTGCCTTGCAGTGGGTCCTGCAGTGGTGGGGAGCCTGGCAAGAACCAGCGGGAGGAGAAATCCCAGCCTGACTCGGCCGCACTCTGCAGCTCTGCCCAAAGGCCCTGTTGGGCTTCTGCAGGGAAACAAGTGATGAAACAGGAAGCAGCGGCCTCCGACATTGCCCACAAGAGCTGCAGGCAGGAGGCAGGTTGCTTGCCATTCCTCAGATCCTAGAGACGGAAGAGGCCCTGAGGTTCCCAGGGGCAACTCCCAGCCAGTCTAGGAATTCACATTAAAGCACCCTGGATGAATGGGTGGGTGGGTGGGTGGATGGATGGATGGCTAGATGCCCATGAAGCACAATACCCTCATCGCTGCCAAACTACTCTTACTATGAAAAGGTTTCCTTAACATTTGATGGGCAATTACCTTCCTGTGATTATGTTTGGCCTTCAGAGATCACACAAAAGAGCCCCCGTCCTCTTATGTGTGAGACACCCTTTCAGCTAGTTAAAAAATTATGCCCTGTGCTTTGCCTCTAATGTCTGACCTGATTTCCTAAACCCTTCTTAAGATGTGATACCCACAAATGGTCAAATTGTTCAAGGGGAGTTTGACTGGGGCAGAATGAAATGGGATTGTTGTTGTACATGCTATGATTGAAAGCTCTCTTGTGCTGATTCAGACAATAATTGCATGTGCTGCTTTCTGCTGTGTGCTCTGCTGCTCATACTTAGCTGGCAAGCCTCTGCCATTACATCAAGATCCTTTCCACAACGCCTTCTCCAAGCCATTCCCCTCACCAGGAGCCTGATCGGGCAATTACCTTCCTCTAAGCCCACTGCCAGCTCGACATCTTTCATGTAGGACTCTGGTCTGGTGGGGGGAAGGGGAGAAAGGTTGAAGGGGATCCAGGTGTTCTTGGATACCAAGAATGGCCAGTTAGTGGAAGAGGACCATATCTGCAGGGCCACTCACCTGGGTTCCCCCACCTGGACATTGTAGCGATTCAGGGAGTATCGCTTGCCCCCTACAGAGATATTGACAGCCCGGTAGTCTTGCCAGAAGTGATACTCAGCCTCGAGCAGGTGGATGTTTTCCCTAAAGAAGGCAGAGGTGAGAAGGCCTTGAGAAGGGAGGGCAAAAATTCCTCATTAGCCACAGCGATGGACGGTGTGTGTGTGTGTGAAATGCCTTTGGCCAGTTCTGCAAGCTGAACTGCAGCCCAAGAGTCCTGGTCACCAGTTGGTTCAAAGATACTTGCCGTAGAAACTCAGTGTCGTTTGTGTAGCTCAAGTAGCTCTCCATCATTAGGGTGAGAAGTGGCGGCTGACTTCGACGCTCGTAGTACACCCGGCCGCCATTTGGGATGTGCCCAAATCTGCTCTCAGGAAGCACATGGCTCAGAAGAGGATTGGCAGCAGGGCCAGCTCCCGCCAGCTCCCCTCAAGGCTAGCAGAGTAGCTGCCCATGCCCACCCAGCAGGTTTCCCCTCTGCTCCTTGGGAGTTGAGGCAGAAGGAGAAGCAACACCTCTTCCCAACCCTGCCTTTCCTGGCAACGCTCACTTGCTGACTAGGTAGAGGAAGTTTTGGATGAGGCCCTTGGCTGTAGCGGTCATGTTGGAGAGGAGGAGGCCTCCCAGGATCCAGAAGGAATCCCTGTGGCAGGAAAGAAAGCGGCAGCCATGTGTGGATGCGGGAAGGGAGTTGAGGGAAAGGGGCCTCTGCTGGCCAAACCTGTGGGTTGGGGCAAAGGTCCCCCACCAGCCCTCTGCATGTCTCACCAGTAGTAATATTCACGGAACCGGCCCCCAGGCACGATCAGTGGGTTTGGCACATGGATCAGAGAGTAACGCCAAGGAGACATTTGAACATTGGGGTTCACCTGAAGGGAAATGGAGCAGCTTCTGCTGAGGGCACGGTAGCCTCCCTCTGCATCCCCCAATGGCTGAACTTTAGCACTTACCCGCCTGCCCAGCTGCTTCCACTTGGCGTTCAGGACCTGGGCCCAGGACCGCAACTTCTCATCTGAAATCCTCTTGAGGAGGGGGATGCTACAACGGGCCCAGGAGGTTCAGAAGGCAGCCATTCAAGATGTGATGTCAATCCCCAGTAAAGATTTAGGGAGAAAAATGTTGCGCACTTTGCAATCTGCGTAGTGCCCCCAAGGCCTTGGAAGAAAAAGGCTTCCATTCCCACCCTGAGCAAGAAAGAAAGGGCAAGGCGCCCTGGAAGACCCGGACCTCACAGAGCAGAGATTCCCAGGCAATTTGGGGGCAGGCCAGGAGCACAGTGGGGGGAGGGGACTGGTCTGAAAGGGGGCATCTGGTGGCTTTCCCAGAGACAGGGGATTGGCCATTCAGAAATAGAGGACTGACTATTGGCTGGCTGCCAGGGTCAAGGGCCCTCTGACCAGAAAGTTGGGAGGGCCCATCTTTGAGGCCAGGAAGTGGCAATAGTGGCCTCAGGTAATAGGTGGGCTTGTAGGATCTCAAAGACCAACATGCCAAAGCAGAATAGGGCCAGGAGCCAATGCCCATCTTGGAGGGTGGTCAGTGTGCTCTAGAAATGTAATCCTAGTTGAGAACTCATACACTGCACGGGGCAGTATGGTGCCATCTCCGAGAGCAGGAAATATGTCACCATACCCCTTCCAGGTGTAACTGTACCTGTCTGTCCAGTCTGGAGGCATCCAGCTTTCCAGGTCCTGCCCTGGAGGAAAGAAGTGAGCCTCCACAAACTGTGCCAGCTGCAGTTTGGATAAGGCCCCACTGGGTGTGGCATTCATTAATTCCTCAAATTGCTTGAGAACCACATCTGGAAGAATGGGACAAAGATCTAGCAGATCTGGTCAAGGTTCACTCTAGGGTGGAGGGGTGAAGAGGGGCTAAGCTTGCATTAGCACACTTCAGGCCCAGGAAGCCTGTGCTCTGCAGCTGAAGCACCTGGCTGGCAAGCTCAGGTTGAGCATAGCACCAGCAGGGCCAGCAGCCTTTCCTCTGCATACAACCACTTTCTACATTCAGGTCCGTCTCTCCAAGTGGTTGGGCTGTTATGAAAGCAGGGCGACTGGCACTAGGAAGAGGACTGCGCTGTAGGGGTGGACATTCACCTGGATTGGACTTCAGTGGCATGTCAACAAAGTCTTTGTCGTCTTGAAAGAGCCTGGCAAGCTGGACTTGCCGCAGCAACTCTCCAGTGCAGTAGATGTGGCTGGAAAAGAAGAGCAGAACTGCTCTGCAGAGGAGCAATGCCCTTGGGGGAAACAATATCATGGTGCCACCAGCAGCCAAGACTTTGCAAGGTAGGGGGCAGCTGCTCCTTGATGCCCACAGCCAGGCTCCCCAGGGACAAGGTCCCAAACACCAAGCATCTTCTGGGTAGCGAATTCCATTCCTTTCCTTACATCTGGACCAGGAACACTGAGCAAGGCTGCCAAGGTGCCTCTTCCCTGACGCAAGCTCCCTCTCCCTACAGGGCATGGAAGAGCCGCTCTGTGGGCACCCTGGCCCCAGAGTCTGCTGCCAAGCTGGCAGGGCACTCCCTTGAACTCTGAGCATGCACACCCTTGCCATTTCTTGAGAATAGCTCCTCCTTCTTGTCCTGCAGAAGAACCAGCTACGGTACAGGGTACCCATCTGGGTGGATCATTAATCAGTAAAAGCAGCTCCGTCCAGAAAACATACAAGAATTCTGGAGCCTCAACAGACTGCTGAAGCAGCAGCTTCTTCATTAGCAACTGGGGACAAACTTTGTTCCCCTCAAACATGTCCAGTCACCCTCTTTTTTTCTCTTCCTTTAACCCGTCCTTCCCACTCCTTTATCCTCCAGGATGATTGGTGGCAGAGAGAAACTCCCTGGGCGCACTTTGTGGCTTGGTAAGATTGGCACCAGGGTTGTCAGGCCTTGCCTCGTCAAGGCAATTTACAGGAAATGCTGCCTCAGATAGCCCCAGCTGTACCCAAGGTGCCCCACCAGTTTGCTCACCTGTCACATGGAGGTGGAAGGCTGCCTGCCATCACCTGCCACCACCACAGAGCTGCGCAGATGACCAGGAACCCGCGCCCCACTGGACCTGGCATTTCAGCTGAGAGTTTGGGTGCCAAGCAGCACCACCATTCCACAGGCAATGCCCACAAAGCAAGCCTGCAGTTTCACACCCAGCTCTTCATCTGCTTTTTGGGCAGGGCTGCTCCAGGGCTGTTACGCAGAGGAGGGCAGGGCCTGGAAAATTCCCAGGCCCAACCACAGGCCGCCCCCGCAGCTATGCCTGCCACCGCTTGTCCCGGCCCTTAGCTGCCTGGAAAGAAAGAAGGGAAACGTTCCCAGCCCTTTGCAGAGCAATGTTCCTCTCCTGGGCCCCTTCTCTTTTTGCCCCCAAAGAGCAGCTTCAGAGCTTGATGGCGCAGGTCAGCCTTGCTCTGCTCTGCTCGGCTTGTTCTTCTCGACATGCTCTCAGTGCCTGTGATGCAAGCCAGAGCGACATGCTGTACAAGTGAAGAGTCTGAAGCAAGTTCAGGTCCCAGTGAGCTTTTATTGAGCCAATTCTCTTAAAAATAAGTCAGAATTTTATAATTCAGCACTTTTGACACTAGGTTCACAGCGTTCCTTTATATACTTGTGTACATACGCTGTGCCAAAATCTGAGCTCTGCTGGACATTTGCCAGTTCCCAGTTCCAAACGAAAAATAATCCTTCCCTCCCACCCCACCCCTTGTTGACAAATTCTAGCCCTCACTGTTCGTACTGGACATGGTCTGAACTGAACCAAGGATCAATGAAATACAACATTGCTAGAATTGAACAAAAAAGTATGTTCCCCAAATTTTCCAGTTTCAAGAAAGGGAAAATTGACTTATTTTCTTCCAAACATTGCCACCCCCACATCTTGGTTAAAATACAGCAAGGCTGTATCTTTGTGTTATCCTCCCTCCCCCATCCCCCCACCCTCGCACAGGACTCCAGAATGTTGCCTAAGGAGTAGAGTTGCAGCAGAGAGATTCCCTCTGGCTGCTCCAACATTCCCTCCCTAGAGAATACCACGAGTTTTCATTGCAAAGGTGCTGTGACCCCACTTGACTTTTTCATATCCTGCCAGGGAACAAATGATTGTGCCCCAGAAGTAGCGTCCAGAGGTATGTTTTGCACCAACAGCTTAGGTCAGACTACTGGTGGAAACAACTCATACCCAGACAAAGATCCTGGACACAACGGTGCCTCTCTTTAATTGGCAAGATTCAGCCAGTCCTGTGCAAGCAAAATAAAGCTGGATTTAAAATAAAGAGTAGAATGAGATGCCCAAATCAAACTCATCTGCTTTTGTGTCTAGTTTCTATGATCTCATCCAGCTCTAACAACAGACACAAAAGCAGAGGGTATAGAAAAAGATGCTCCCATCTCATTCTGTAATAATTAAAAAAAAAGAAAAAAATCAACCCACCCACCCACCACCCAAGGTCATCTCTACTAAGTGCAGGGGATCCTGGGAAGACCCCACTGATGTTATCGCCAAAGCCTTGTTTTGTCCCAGAATTTGTTCTCTCAAAATTTCCCCAGAAGCGGCTAAACCAATTGAAAAACTGTTGGCAACTGCTTTATGCATAAGACATCCAATTCTCATCAGCCTTCAGTTTCAGATGAAGGGGTTAAAAAAAAAAAAGACAGACCAGGGTGTCCCTAGTCAATATTTGGAGCATCTTTCCTTTCCAAGTCTCTCTTCACCATTGAGAGACAAGGAGCCATTGTCAGGTGGCTTTCTGACCCAAACAAAGCTACCCAAAAACGGTGATCAGAGGTTGAGGCCACTCCTCTGCTAGGTGGCCGCAGGTGAAATAATACTTTCTCTTTAAAAAAGGCTGTGCTTCAAGAGTGACAAGAGGAGCGTGGCGCTGGGCAGAGTGGCCACCTCAACTCACTGCACCAAATCAGGTGTTGTACATGTTCTCACAAGTTTCAAGATTGCTGCACACATTTTGCCTCTGCTCTCTCCTCCTTTGGGAATGCCCTTGGCTGCTGCAGAAGAGCAAAGTTTTGCTTTGGGTCACTAGTGCCCACTCCCCAAGCTGTTCCACCCAAGTAGTTGCTCGTCTTATGCAGCCTCAGCTGAATTCCCAGCAGAAGAGCTTTTCGTTAATACAACTTTTACTATGGTTACTTAGACAAAACATGTTCCACTTCCAAAGAGTTGTCAGGAGGCACCTGGCTCTAGGCACAGTTCTCTGAGGTCAGGGCTGGAAAAAGTTGGTACTTTCTATCAGAACTGCTTAGCTTGTCGGGGCAGGAAGGGTGGGGTGGGCTCCGACTGTCTTGTCTCTGAGCCAAGAGAGCCTATGCTTGCCCTGGTGCCTCCTGGCACTCTGCTGCTGGCAGGCCGACAGGGAATTTGTTAGAAGTTTACAGGTTGAGTAGTCTCTCTCTTTCTGCCTGCACATCAGGCCAAACATCAAGCACATTGGGAGGGGCACACTTTAAAGCAACACTACTGGACTGGAAGCACATTCCCCCCCGAGGGGGGAGAGCAGAGGGCTTGCCTTTCCTGCTCCAGAATCTCTCATCGGACAGGCTTCAAACAGAATCGCCAGAAGCTGGCAGTAAGTTCTAATGCCAGAAGCTCCAGGGCTGAGTAGGACTTTGGCTCATTGGAGTCGCTTTTGGTTCTACCTTGCTTTGAGACAAAGAAGGTGGTTGGGCCTCCCCCCCCCAAGACAAATCCAGCTTCCTTGGAGGGTAGTTTTTCCCCCTTGGAGAGGGGAAGAGGACCCTGCCCGACATCTAGGTCTCTTCCAAATATTGCAACCCCTAAAGCAAGCCAGACCTACCTAGAGGCCTGAAGTCACAGTGCTTGGTATCGAGTAGCGTTGCAGAAAACTGAGCCCCTCTCACCTTTAGCTGCTGTCAAGATCTATCTATAATCCCTTTAACGCCAGCAAGCCTCATCCAAATAAAGAAAAAAAGGAAGTTATATGAACCCTTAACAGAAAAACACATTATTTACAGACTTTATACAAGTATACACATCCAATTTTCTGCAGAACACATAAGAGAGGAATAACCATCATGGCTTGGAGACAAGTCTGCCCAGCAAGTGCTGTGCCCCCAAGGGAGACTCGCGGAGGCCAGTATGTAGTGTTCTGCGAGAGCCCCTGGGCGTTTTGGGGGGCTCCTGCTGCAGATTGGTTGGCAAGTGGCTCTTTCCTCTCAGAGTGTGGAAGTTTCCCTCAATCAACCCAGGCGATCCAGGTTATTTTGCTTAAATACACATATTTACAGAGTGGGTGAACAACAACTGCATCTCAATTCCTCCATTAAAAGAAAGTTAATCAAACAAAACTACTGACAAGGCCCACCTTCCAGCACCTGGAAGGGGAAGGAAACAGAGGGGGAGGGAAGAGACTTTGACCTGAACCAAAACGACTCCTTGGGCTGTATCCAAAAGGGATTTTCTGAATGGTCTCATAGCATAAGGCACTTTGCACAAATAAGTAACAAGCTCTTTAGCTCAAAAGACAGATGAGGAGCCAGGGAGAAGTTGAAATGTACTCAGTCGGGCAGCTGTGGGTGAATTTGAAATTGCAGTCAAGGTGGAGTTTGGGAATCTTCTCATTTCAGAGTTCTTCTACTCCATCACAAAGAAAGAAATTAAAACCAGCAGTTAGTGCAACTAATGTTCAGTCAGCACACAGTGCAAACAAGTGGGAAAAACAAAAGGTATTTTCTTCCTATCTTCTGCATTTGTCTTCACAGCCAATTTTTTTAAAGGAGGGGAAAGCTCTGTAATTTTAATTGTTCCAAAACAAAAAGATGAAAAACCCTCAAAGAGAAGGGGCCTCCCCCAAGAAATGATGTTTCACATGTCCAGATCAAAGGGTTTTTAGCTTTTGTTTAAGCAAAGCCTAAAAAAAGAAAAGAAGAACAAGACCTTTAGTACCAAGGAAACAGCATCTATAAGCTACCTGCCTGACTGCTGTGGCCCAGCCCATTCTGTGTTCTGCCCGTCAATGCCTCAGAGATGCAGGCTATGGAGGGCCCTGGGTTCCAAAGCCACATGCCAAGAAATGTGGGCACAATCTGGTCAAAAGCTAGACAGTAATGGTACCTCTTTTCCTCTAGATGTGCACTTTAATAATTTCCTTCCTTCTATGGCATTAGAGCTCCACTAAAGCTCCTGGGACAGGCTACACCAGTGGAACAGGGCCCAATTCAGGTTACCCTCCCGCCAGGTATCCCTCAGATACCTACGCAGCTATTACGGTTTATCGTCTTCTACAGGCTCGCTGTGGTATTCTGCCACATACAGACTCTTGTCAATGTTACTAGGGATGGGCTTAATTTCTGTCCCCAGCTGCTCTTCAATACTCTTCAGGTTGAAACGATCGTCATAGGTGATCAAGTTGATGGCTAGTCCTAGATGGCCAAATCGACCTTCAAACAGAAAAAAGCAAAGTTTTTCACTCTGGCAGCTTGCTTCACAAGGACTACATGTGGCTGACTGGGGCAACCAGCTCTTTCCTCCCCAGCATATATGGTGGAACAAAATTTTCCAGTTTCAGTTCATCATTTGCTGATACAAAAGTGTATGTGTGTACTGCTTTTTGTGTTTACTCCAACAGCAGCTTTAAAAAACTGAAGAAGCAATCAATGCTAGCTACTAGCTGCCAAGAATCTCTATTTCCTATCATGATACATCCATTTACATAAAAGACAATTCAGATAGTTCTCAACTTACAACTATTCATCTAGTGATCGTTCGAAGTTACAACAGCACTGAGAAAAGTGACTTATGACCATTTTTCACACTTATGACCGTTACAGCATCCCCATGGGCAAGTGATCAAAATTCAGATGCTTGGCAACTGACTCATATTTATGATGGATGCAGTGTCCTGGAATCATGTGATCACCTTTTGCATCCTTCTGACAAGCAAAGCCAATGGGGAAGCCAGATTCACTTAACAACCGTGTTACTAACTTAACAACTGCAGTGATTCACTTAACTATCTCAAAAAATGCTTCACTTAGCAACAGATATTTTGGGCTGAATTGTGGTCATAAGTCAACAACTACTTGTACTCTATGACTGTAATTTTTCATTGAACAATTCCCTCACCTGATCTGCCAATACGATGGAGATATGTCTCTGCCAGCTTTGGAAAATCAAAATTGATCACAACATTCACAGCTTGGATATCAATACCTCGGGTAAAGAGATCTGAAAAACAAACCTTGCACCTCAGAAAAATCCAGTAGTATAAAAAAGAATGGCTCAGGACGACAGAATCGCTTACTATATAAGTAACACAAGACTCATCCAACTTTTTGATTGTTCTGTAGCTTCAAGCACAAAGAAATGTTAGAGTGAAAAGTTTTCAAGACTGGATCCTGCAGGTTTCTTTTTTTGATGGCAAAAGGCTCCCTATTTCCCACTTCCTAGTCTCTACTTTTTGAGCTACACTGCCTCAATTTGGAAAACAAAAGAAACATAAAATGATCCCTTTAACAATATTGCTGGTTTAAAATATATATTAAAGCAAGCCAACATAAAACATCAAATTAAAATGGTTGCAATTATAAAAAACAACCCCAAAATGACAAGAGTTTTTTTTACATTCATGGTCTTAATGTTGAAAATCTCAATTTGGTCTTGTTTGCTTTTCTGACTATAAAGATGATACCATCCTATTTCAGGATCAGAGCCAAGATTTGGAAATACTGATTTCTAGCCCTGTCTCATATCGCCAACATGATGTGCAGGATGTACAGTGACATGGAGGACTTAACTGGTCAAACCAGCATTTTGGACTGAGATAATCCTGCCTGAGGCACAAAAGTCAACTGACTGACTTGGGCCAATCTGGTAGATGACCCCCAACGATGCCCTTGACGTGATGGCCCGGTGCCTGGAGGCCGTGAGGGTCTGGATGGGGAGGAACAAACTCAGACTCAACCCGTCCAAGACCGAGTGGCTGTGGCTACCAGCGCCTCGGCATAGTCAGCTGATTCCATCGCTGACTATAGGGGGCGAAACTTTGGCCCCCTCGGATCGGGTCCGCAACTTGGGTGTTNACATGGGGCTCCCCTTGAGGAGCACCCGGAGGCTCCAGCTAGTTCAAAATGCGGCCGCGCGGGCGGTGCTGGGAGGGACTCGTCGCTCCCACGTCACGCCGCTTTTGCGCGAGCTGCATTGGCTGCCGGTAGCCTTCCGGGTGCGCTTCAAGGTGTTGACTATTATCTTTAAAGCGCTCCATGGCATCGGACCTGGCTACCTCCGAGACCGCCTTCTGCCACAGATTACCCCCCACCGACCTGTACGCTCTCACAGAGTGGGTCTCCTCAGGGTGCCGTCAGCCAGACAGTGCCGGCTGGCGACCCCAAGGTGGAGGGCCTTCTCTGTGGGAGCTCCCACCCTCTGGAACGAACTGCCCCCAGAGATCAGGGTGATCCCTGATCTCCCTTCCTTCCGCCGCGCCCTCAAGACGTGGTTGTTCCACTTGCGGGACTGGCCTAAGGGATTTTAAAGGGGTTTTAATTACTTTTAATCTGACAAATTTAAATATTTCTTTTTAATCAAATTTTAATTAGGTGTACAATATGTTAGTATTTTATCCAATTGTCAGCCGCCCTGAGTCCACAAGGAGAAGGGCGAGATATAAATGTAATTAATAAATAAATAAATAAATAAATGACCAGGCTGAGCCCAAGGGTGGGATGGGTCAACCTCGTCATCACTCTTCAGTCTCTTCCCGCTCACCAGAGACCCAGGTCCAGCCCACCTTGAATTCCACTGACTCTTATCAACCGCCAATTTGCTTGGACCTTTAGTAGTTCCGATTCTTGTAGAGAGCCTTAGCATGCAATAAACGTTCATATTCTTTTTAACTGCCTGGACTTCCTGATTTTCCTGTGCTTGACAAATCCCTTTCTCTCAGCCTAACCACCTCACAGGACTGTGGTTGTGGAGAAAAGAGTAGGAAGGAGTATTATGAATGTTTGCTGCCTTGAGTTTTGTTTTTTTTAGAAAAAATAATAAAAGCGGGATATAAGTAAATAAATTTCTACTCTTCTGGTAACCAATGTGGAGCCTCTAGTGCTGCTGTTATATACGAATACCAGCTCTCATTGAGCTGTACCAATTGCAGCTTCCAGCTCATCTTTAAAAGCAACATTGCATCTGTCTATTTAAAAAATAACAATACCCGGGACTGCCCTCCTAATTTTACACTATCCAGTTGCTAAAAGTACCTTAACAAATTCCAAAAATGCAGCACTGAAACTGCCTAGTTAGTAAAGAGCCTTTCTGGACAATATGCAAGGTATGGAAAAGGACAGGATACTCACCAGTGCAAACAAGGTTGCGGCATAAGCCATTCCGGAAATCATGGAACACTCGATTGCGGTGTTCCTATAAAAGAATTGGGAAAGTTTCACCAATTTATTCTTGACTAAAGCTCAGATTTTGTCCTTCAGTATTCTGATACATCTCTAATGTAAGAGAATGTTCTACCTGATTAAGAATACTGGGCCTCTGACAGAACATGCAATTCACAAGACTAGTTGCTCTTTTGACATTCGCCCTGGGACCTCTGTTCAGGCTGAGTATATGAAGCATCTGGAAGCAGATCCAGTACTACTCTTCCCCCCTACAACTAGCCCCTAAAATTCAACTGATATTAATTACTCCAAACAGCATACTGACCTGTCTCATCTTTGCGTGAATGTAGAAGCAGGAGTATCCCAGCTGGGAGATTTTCTTAGCTAACAATTCAACCCGTTGGGAGGAGTTACAGAAGATGATGGACTGATTTATTTGGAGCTAAATGGAAAGACAAAGTGTTATATTGTATTCTGCTTCTAAATTGCAAAGGAACTTAAAAATAAGAAAATAATACATTAGACCAGGGGCATTAGAACTAGCAGGCCATGTCCACCCCGGCTCTGCAAAGGCAAAAAACGTTGCGATGCGTCACGATACATCACGTGATGTGATTGAGTTTGACACCTGTGCATTAGACTATAAAGTTTGGGGTGAGGTACACAAAAACAAGGCACTACCTAAAGGACTGAAGAAGCAAAAATAGAAGTTGTACAAGTCGTTAAATAAAACTCTTTATTCAAGCAATATTTTACAGGATTTCTTTCACTTGGTCACTTTGGTTATTGTTTAAACCCAATGTAGCTTAAATCTTACTTCTTACCCTGGAAAACAGCGTGTTGAGGCAATGCACTTTCTGGCGCTCTGTTACATAAGCGTAGTATTGGGTCACCCCCTTCAGAGTCAGCTCCTCCATCAAGTTAATCTCATAGGGTTTCTGCAAGTGGGAGTTCTGAAAGAGAAGCATTCTGGCATGTACAGATAGTTCTGGTCTTATGACCGCAATTGAGCCCAATATTTCTGTTGCTAAAGGAGACATCTGTTAAGTGAGCCTTGCCCCATTTTATGACCTTTCTTGCCACAGCTGTTCAAGTGAATCACTGCAGTTGTTAAGCTAGTAACATGGCTGTTAAGTGAATCTGGCTTCCCCATTGACTTTGCTTGTCAAAAGTTCACAAAAGGGGATCACATGTCCCCAGGACACTGCAACCGTCATAAATATGAATCAGCTGCCAAGCATATGAATTTTGATCATGTGACCACAGGGATGCTGCAATGGCCATGTGAAAAATGTCACTTTTTTCAGTGCTATTGAAACTTCCAATAGTCACTGAATAATCTGTTTTAAAGCTGCCTGTGGCTTGCAGTGTGGCAAGAACAACCATACTTCACCCTTTCCTCAGTTATGTGAAGTTGGGCTCGTTCAACTCACCATAAACTTCTGCACACTTAGAGGGAAAGTGGCCGAGTACAACAAAATCTGCCTGTTTTTAGGTAGAGTGAGTATAATGTCCTCCATTATTTGCACAAAGTCTTGAGACAGTAACTTGTCTGCCTGCAAAATAAATTAATACATAATAAAAAAGAGGCCAGTTCAAAGTTAAAACCATTGGGAAACTTGTTCCATGTTTAACCAGCCCTCCCAGCCGGCGCTGGCCAGAGTCCCAGCTTATGTTAAAATAATGTTTCTTAGGCAGCCACAGGAGGCCTCCCTTTCCAGCTGCACTAAGGGAATGAGCCCTGATTTCAAGCTGCCATTGACCAAAATCCATAAAAAGCACCCAGGATAGCTAATTTGGTAGCGGAAGGCTCAGACTGTAACTCATGAAGTTCAGTCAGTTAAACATTACCTCATCTAGGACAATCATCTGGATATGGTCCACCTTTGCTACCCCCTTTTTGATGAGATCCAGAATCCTTCCTGGGGTTGCTATCACTACATGCACTGCAAGAAAGAAGAGCAGGTTATCAGGCACTCTGATAAAAACTGGCAGAAAAGAACTCTTGCCACAGGAGGTCCTACCTGTATCATCAAGCCTCATTATATCATCCCGCAGATTGGTTCCCCCTGTGGTTGCCATCACTTTGGCTCCTCCCATGTGTTTGCTGACCTGGATGCAGATCTGACTGACTTGCAGGGCAAGTTCTCTTGTGGGAACAATCACCATTGCTGTCAAACAAGAAATAATTTGAGGCACTCTTATTCCGTGATCCCAGAGGATTTTTGTTAATAAATGTCCAGTGAGCGCTAAACTTTAAGATGTTCGAAAATCCAAATGTCCTTTCTAGCTTACAAAGACCTTTAAGGGAGACCAAATAGGCAAGTGGCTTTGATCTGACAGAGTCCAGTTTGCTCTAAAGCTAATGGAAGTTGAACCATTCTAATGTTTTATCAGCTTTTCCAAGGCTCATAGTAACGCAGAAGTACCTTCCAAGTCACATTTCTCCCCAACTCACTACTACAGTGCAGCATGTGGAGTGTTTGTCTAATGCTCTAAAACTAAGAAAATTGCAGTGAGGCCCTCCCAACTGAAAGAGCAATGCTGGTGCCCCAAGTCTTCAGTGGATTCAGTGGAGCAAACTATGTAGGGCAAAGTAAGGGTATTCTCAAAGGACTAAAGAGGAGGGAATGCTGAATGGGGGCACAGCAGTCTCTGGGTCTTCTACCTACATAAAACAAAGACACTACTGTTGGCAGCAACAGCAGCAGCAGTTTCACTGTGAAATTCTTCAAGCCCTTCCAGTTAAAATGTAATAGTGACCCAAAAACTTCTGTACTTTTCTTTTTCTTTCACAAAAGTGAAGCCATTACATAGCTAGCAATCCAAGTCCTTCAGTCGTTCTTCATGTGTTTTAGTCTCCAGGCTTTTGATCATTTTAGTTGCTCTTCTCTGAACTTTTTCCAAAGTCTCAACATCTTTTTTGTAGTATGGTGACCAAAATTGGTTGCAGTATTCCAGGTGTGGTGTCACAAGTTTTATAAAGCGATACCAATAGTTCGTGTGATCTTGATTCTATGCCTGTTTATATAGCCCAGGACTGTATTAGCTTTTTTGGCTGCTGCTGCACACGACAGGCTCAGCAGCAGCCAAAAATGAAGATGAAGACCTATTGCCATCTGAGTCCATGTGGCTTGGCATCTTCCACTGACCTTGTATGTGGTCCTTCTTTAAGTCAAGCCTTTCAAGTAAGGGAATGAGGTAGGCGCCGCTCTTGCCGGTCCCATTCTTAGCTCTGGCTAAGATGTCCCTTCCAGACAAAGCAATAGGAATACTCTCCTCCTGAAAAGGAGCATGAGAAAAGGGAAGAGAAGGTAAGATTTTGAATGAGGTAGAAGCAAAAAATACAAAATAGCTGTTAGAAGATAGAAATGTGAAGAGTAACAAAATGAGAAAAGGGCCACACTTTAGATGAAAAGGCAGGAAGGTTAATTGCTTGCAGCTATGTTCTCATTCCCAGCTGAAAGAGAGGAAGACTAAGTGCCAGTACATAGTCAAATCATCATAGCCTACACAACCAAATTACACATGGCAGCCATCTGTCAAGGAATTGACCCTGACACACAATCATCAGCTTCCTCCAAAGTCAACAAGTCTCTGGGGCCTTAACTATGTAGGCATACAAATGTTGAAAAGCAGGAAGAAAATATGGACTTCTGATGTCTTCTAGATAGTCTGTAGCCTGTATGACACAAACTTCTATGTGTAGTTTTTTCCCCATTTCTCTATTCCTGGCAAATAGATGGGGAAGAAATGGAGGTAGTGACAGATTTTATTTTCTTGGGCTCCAAGATCACCTCAGATGGGAACTGCAGCCAAGAAATTAAAAGACGCTTGCTCCTGGGGAGGAAAGCTATGGCAAATCTAGACAGCATACTAAAAAGCAGAGACATCACCCTGCCAACAAAAGTGTGTATAGTCCGATTGGTTAGAGATAAGGAGGATCACTGAGGCGATTATCGATTGACTAGTTGATATTATAAGGACTTCTTAGTAGTACTTACATTAGGGCACAACTGAAAGATATGTAAATATAATTGCTGATGATTGAAAGATGGTTTAGCAAAAATTTTATAGATGTTACACGCACAGTTTGTTATACTTTGTCCTGTTAAAGAATATATTTTAAGTTTCTGTTTTTCTTTCTGTAACATAAGGTAATACTAATAGCACTGGTGAAGTCAGGGAAGTTGAAGTATGTCCATTTTTGTTTTTAAAATGTATACTCAATAACATTTGAAAACAAAATTAAAAAAAGTGCGTATAGTCAAGGCCATGGTTTTCCCAGTTGCAATGTATGGATGTGAAAGTTGGACCATAAGAAAGGCTGAGCGACAAAAGAATTGAGGCCTTTGAACTATGGTGCTGGAGAAGACTCCTGCGAGTCCCTTGGACTGCAAGGCGTTCAAACCAGTCAGTCCTAGAAGAGATCAACCCTGACTGCTCTTTAGAAGGCCAGATCCTGAAGTTGAAACTCGAATACTTTGGCCACCTAATGAGAAGGAAGGACTCACTGGAGAAGGGCCTAATGCTGGGAAAGATTGAGGGCAATAGAAGAAGGGGACGACAGAGAATGAGGTGGCTGGATGGAGTCACTGAAGCAGTAGGCGTGAATTTAAATGGGCTCCAGAAGATGGTAGAGGACAGGAAGACATGGAGGAACGTTGTCCATGGGGTCGCGATGGGTCGGACACGACTTCGCAATTAATGACAACAACAACATTAATTACTGATTCAAAAAATCACTAACTACCGGTAGCATAAAGAAGCCTACTGGAAACATGAATTGTTTTGTTCTAATTCCATCTACCACTAGAACAGGGGTGTCAAACTGCTGGTCCACGGGCCGGATGCATCATAGCGAAACCACGCGCACCCCATTGCCAGCAATGGAAAAAAAGTTGTGATATGTCACGACACGTCATGTGACGTTACGAGTTTGACACCCCTGCACTAGAAGAAACAAAAGCTAGACCCAATGATGGCATGAGAAATCTCAGCCCTTTATTCCAAGGACCCTATGCTCTCCATCTCACACAAAAAGCCCCTTTCCATATGCACAAGAGTGAGTTCTTCAACTGGGATGGCTTTCGCTGAAAGGCATCAAATGATGGTTCCTATCATCTCATGCAGAGAGAAAAGTGTTCTTTTCCTGGAAAGGAAGGATCTGAATGGCAAGAGGCTATGGAAAGCGGTGGCATGAGAGAAAAGGTGAAGGAAGATATCCTAATCCTCCTTTCCCTACTACAGGTTCATCAGCCTTCTAGGCATGCAGAATGGGTATAGTTTAAACAATACAGGCAGAGTTTCAGCAGAAGCTGATAGCACTCGACATAGCATCCTGTGGCATGGAAATCCAAAGCCTAATATTTCCCCCATAATTTATACAAGGTAAATTTCCATTCATTAAAAATAATCTTATAATTTACTAAACTTGCTCAACTTACACTATAGGTGACTAACCTGAATAGGAGACGGCTTTTCCCAGCCCATTTCAAAAATTCCCATCAGCAACTCCCGCTTCAGACAATAATCTTCAAACTCATTTCCTTTTGTTGACGTCACATCCTGGAGAAGCAAAGCAGAATCATTAACTCATGCGATGTCGATCTCAATGCAAAGGGCATTCTGAGGCTAAGCCCAGCAGGAGAATGGGTGCTCTGATGTGCCTTAACTCTCCCCCAGGGGGCTGAAGAAATTCTAGAAAACAAAGTTAGTGGGAAGCAGAGAAACTGGGCTGGGCAAGGCTATAGTGTTAAGATCTAAAAGATATGTGTACTTGATAAAACGTGTGTGTGTGTGTGTGTGTGTTAATCATGGTAGGGGGTGGGGTAGCATTTAAATTCAAGGTAAGTTGCAGTCTATGCCCGCTGCTACTGCTGCTGCACTTTATTCAGAATTGTGATGCGTGGAGCGGGGGGAAGTATATATGCATTTCTTTTAATTTCACCAGTTAAAGATGGTTATTTGTAACTAGCTGCATCATGTACAGCAGGCAGCCATTGCTTGCAAGAGACATTTTGAGATGGTATAATTTCAGAGCTAGCAAGTAGATAGCAATCCGCACAGTAGGCAACCTATCTCAGTGTGGATTCTGTACGACAAATGTGATTTAATCAGTTTGAAATCTTACACTTCAATGAAAAGGAATATCTGATGTCAAGCATCACTACCACTTCCTTTCCCATGTTTAAAATTTTAGAAAGCCCTTACCGACGTTTTGATTCGCAGGTCTTTTGGAGGGAGCTTTAAGGTCTTCTTCCAGTCATCGCCAGGTCTAAGTGAGAAAACCAGATCTCTATATCACACAATACCATCATCCTCAGGGTTGAAAAATCCTTTTAATCCACCTAGAATCTGACATACAAACTCTTCATGATATAGGAAGCAAAGGCTATTCTATGTCAGTCTCATCATTTTAAGTCAATGTAATCAAGCGTTAACACAGCATTAAGCAAGCACTGGAGAATGTGGAGAGGATCTGAACATGTCATATACTACTGAATAACCTTTAAGTTCAGTCACAGTTATGTATCCTTTTCTCCATATCTCAAAACAGCAGCCTTCGTTTTAGTAAGATACACACAATTGGTAACATATGGCTGGACAAAAATCAACTGCTCCCACTGTTCAAAGTGTATTTGTACCAGTACTTTCCAGGACTTTAGCCACTACACCATGGTGTGTTAAAAGCCTAGAAGAAATTTTCAGCTCCTCACTGCACAATCATTGTTTTCAAATGTGAAAAATGCAACAGACCATAATTGAAGCTACTTTCCCAACATTGAGCAAGCTATGGGCACTCAAGAATGGTGAGCTATGCATCAGGACTGAAGACCTGTGGTCTTGAATACAAGCGCTGTTAACATGCCAGGATGCATACAAGGACACCCTGGTGGTGCTCCAAGATCTCTCTAGAGCTGATTACAGCAATCTAGTTCAGCTGTGGCAGAAGGCCGTCCTGCCGTGTCTGCCACTACCCCCAGAACAGTTACTCTAAGCTGGAAGACGGTTGGTTGTTTTCCCTAGGAAGTCCCAGGCTCCCTATTTGGCTCTATGTGAAACAACAGATCATCCCACTGTACTCTTCCTTTCATAGTTCTATTAAACCAGGCAGGTTGGAGTGTTTGGTTTAAATGGGCAGTGACCACAGGATCAAGGCAAACTACTGCAAAGAAATGTTCTGTTAAAAAGAATCAATACCGTTTCCTCCAGAAAAGATACACCAGAGATACTTGCACCAATATGATCCAAATATTACCTGTTTTAGGCTGGGTAACTCTTTGGAAATCCTCTGAAGCAATTACATGATTCACCACTTCCATGGTACTTAATAAACTTGCTACTAGTAAGGAAGCCTCCCAAATATACAGGATTGTCTATGTTGATTCTCTACTTTAATTGATCCCTAATGCAGCAAGCAAACTGACCCCCGATTTTAGCTGAGGAAACTCAATATCAGTTCTGATAAACATAAAATAGTTCTAGTGATAGCCCAAAGGCTTAGTGTGTTGAGTTGAATTTAAGGTGCTGGTTCTTTCCTTTAATGCTTTCTAAAGCACCTGTCCCAAATCACTGGAGCCTTTTTCCCAGTATGCTGCCCAAAGTTCTTTTGATAATAAGATTGGTGGCATATACATTTAATAAGCAAATGTGCTTCTCCATTCACCCGGGCACAGTTGAAAAATCTGTAGTGGGCTTCCGGTTAACAGAGGTATCAAGGACCTCTATTGCAGTGTGGGGAGGGGGTGTCTGCAATTGTGGAGGTTCCCATTCATAGAAATCCAGCAGAGCTAGGAAGTCTCCAGATTGCTCAGCAGGCAGCCTTTCTTTAGGGTCTCCTAACAGCTGGATATTGTTACCCTTTGCTTCATCCCATGCTAAATTAAACTCTGTGCAGGTTACAGAAAAGCTGTATTTTAAAAAAAATTAGTCACCCTATGCAACTGACAAGCATTATGTAGTAACAATAGGAAGCAAAAGATGAATAACTAAAATATGACAAATGCAATTCAGAAATAACACCAAATATTGCTGTAGTTGATAAAACAGGTACAAGAAGGAAAGAGCTCACATGCCACCCAGAAGCCAAAACTTGGAGGACATTCTGGGTGTCTCAAGATGGCTGCTGATGCTCTAGACAAGAACTCACTTGATAGTGGAGGCCATGCTCTGTGCTTGCTGCTGAGTGCCGTTGTTGATTGTGTTGGGATGTTTCAGCTGGTTTATCTGTTGCTGAGCCTGTGTCCCCCCGCTTCCTGGACCACCACCAGGTTTTACTGGGCCCCTCAGCTGTCCATTTTGACTGGAGAGACCCATTATAACAGGGTTCTCTGTTCTGGCTGTACTCATGTTTGCCTTTTAAATGTCTTTCAACTTCCAAACAGTTGTGAGTACGGAAACTGTAATAGTTTATTAGACTCTCCAAGATGAAGAGATAAATTAGGTCCTGCTCAATATATGAGTCTCTTATTGCAACACAGGCAAGCACCTGTAAAGTCACTCAAGATAAACCAGTCACTTGCGCTGATGCACTGTGGATCAACTTTTTAAAAAGTCTTCTAACACGCTTGAGTTCGGTCCAATCTACTCACTTCTATCTGAAAATAAGACAGAGAAGGCCGTTAGTACTTGCAGTTGCTTCCTGCATCCTCTTCCAAGTAAGTTTGGGGGATGCAAGTAACCTCAAAGGCCCGCAACCCCAGTCCCGGGCCCCGCTCCCCTCCGAAGAGCGGCCTTCCGGGGGCGGCGGATGGATGGGCTGGGGGCACAAGACGCCCATCGGCGGAGGGCAGCGTTCCTCCTACGCCTTTAAACGGACTCCGCTTGGGGAAGCTTCCCCGCCAAGCTTCGCCGCTGAGGGGCCTCTCAACACCGCCCCCCCGCTGGCCCTGCCCGGGGTCAAGGCCGCTGCTTCAGGCGGCCCTCCGAGGGACGCGCTTCCCTGCCTTTGTCTCAGGCCCTGCCGGCGGCGGCGCCAACCTCAGCCTCGCGTCGGGCCAGGCCAGGCCGCCCGGAGGACGCGCGGGAGGCCTCGTTCCGGAGTACAGCGGCGCGAAGGCGGGGCGCTCTCGGCCTTGCGCTCCGCGGAGCCTCGGCCGGATGGTCAGAGAGGCGCTCGGTCCCGGCCCTCGCTGCGCCGTAAGGCCCACTCGCCCGGCCGCCGCCGAGCCTGAGTGAGCAGCGCCATTCTCCACCGCCGGCCCAGGGCGGCCGCAGCAGCTCCCTCCGCCCGCCTACCTGCCTGCCCGGCGGCCGCGCTCGCTTCCCGCTCCGGCTCGGCCCGTCTCGCAGCCCGTCGGCCGTGGCTCCGCTCGGACTATGGCGGCAGCGGCGACGCGACAACAAGATGGCGGCCCTTCCCTTCCTTCTTCCTTCCGTCCTGGCGCGCGCGCGCCCTCCTCCTCCACCCCCTCGAGCCACACCCACCGCCCGGCCGCGCAGGCGCCCAGCGACGCCTAAGAGCCGTCTCCTGCCCCACCACCCCCCGCTGCGTGCTGGTCGGCTCCTGCCGCGGGAGGCTTCTGCGAGTCGCCCCTCCCGCCCCCCCTGCGCGGCTCCCTCGGCTCAGCTGCTGGGGGGGCGCCCGGAGGGGGGAGGAGCGGTTCTGCTCCCGTCCGGCGCCCTCCCGGTGGAGGCGGCCCTTCGGCGCGGCCCGGCGTCGTCCCCGGGCCTGCCTGTCCGGTGCTGGCCGAGCCGAGGGAGGTTCTCTCGGTCCCTGAAGCCCAGCGGACCACGCAAAGCTCTCCTCGGGTGGCCTCTGCGGCCCCGAGCGTGGCAAGCCCGCGGGCGTTTGAGCGGCTGCCGGAGGGGGAGCGCGGAGGACGGACAGTGGAGCCCGCCTGGGTGCTGGGCGGGCTGGCCCTGGAAGCTCTGGCAGCAGAACCCTTCGGGGACACTGAACGGGCTTGTGAATTCTAGCACAGTCATTTTATACTAAAGCATCAATATTTAGTGGTATGGATCTTTTTCGTAACAGCCCAGCAACAGCAGCAAGCTGGGAATAAGGACACCGGCTAAACTTTGTTCCCAGTTAGGAATAAAACTCCAATTCAGGAATTACCAACTTCCTACCAACATTGTTCCCATTGTATAAGTTCATAGGTGTAACATTAACAAAACCCAGTCCTGGAAGTGATCTTTGCCCAGTCTGATAACAGAATAACAAAATTGGAAAGGGACCTTGGAGGTCTTCTAGTTCAACCCCCTGCTCAAGCAGGAAACCCTATACCATTTCAGGCAGATGGTTGTCCAATCTCTTCTTTAAAACTTCCAGTGTTGGAGCATTCACCACTTCTGGATGCAGATTGTTCCACTGATTAATTGTTCTCACTGTCAGGAAATTTCTCCTTAGTTCCAGGTTGCTTCTTTCCTTGATTAGTTTCCATCCATTGCTTCTTGTCCTGCCTTCAGGCGCTTTGGAGAATAGCTTGACTCCCTCTTCTTTGTGGCAGCCCCTCAAATATTGGAAGGCTACTATCATGTCACCCCCTAGTCCTTTTCATTAAATTAGATATAACGAATTCCAGCAGATAGACATGTAATTTCCTATTTGAATGAATCAAATTTTAGGAGTTTATTGGTACAGTTTCTGTATAGCTTAACAAACTAGAGGGGCAGGGCAAATAATGGTGGAAACAAGACCTGACGTCTGTTTGGTGTGCACACATCTGATTGACTTGGGTTGAGTCACCTTCTACTATAACAGAAGATGGAAACTTCTTAAAAAGTGGTTTTATGTAATAAGAATCTTGAAACTTAATTTGGCTTGCAAATCAGGAGGCTCCTGCTCTTGCTTGGCCCTTCCTCGCCTGATCATTTCTCTGCTGAACCAACAACAGGGTGAGCATCCCTGTGTGTTAGTTACTTCCTAATCATGGCCGAGTTTAGGGTCACCCTGGAGAACGTCATGAACTGGGTGAGTGCTGCCAGCAGTTCTGACACAGACCTGGGCTGCTCTGAACAGGGCAGAGGCAGAGATAGCCCAATGGGCAGGAGCCTCTGAGGCCAGAGAAGCTGCTTGGGCCTGGCCTGAAGGATGGGGAATCCCTCTGGAGGGTGCAGGAGTGCTATTTTTTTGCCCTTGGGCTGAATTCTACTGGGAGGGAGATTGCATCGATTGCGAGGTGTGCAGCCAGGTTGTCTTCAAGAGACCTCAAGACTTGGCTTTTATCATTTGGGCAGGAGAGCGCCTGGCCCTAGAACCTGTATTGCCCAGCCATGGTCCCTCTGAGGCAGGGCGCTTTCACCTCCTCCAATCCTTTGCCCATGGGGCAAGGGGGTTGATGGCTTCCTTGGCTGAAAGCCCCTTGCTGCTGCCAAACGCTCAACTTCCACATGGGTGTCCATGTGCATCTGGGGAAGGCTGGGTGCAAGTGCTAAAGCAACCAGATGCCAGCCACAGACCGAGCAGGGCCAGAAAAGAGCTGCTGATTCTCCTCTGCAGTTCTTCTGCCTGGTCTTCCTGTTTTTGGGCCCCTTGTTTTCTGAGTTGGAATCGGCCTCTGGGGGCCTGTTACAAAAAAACTCAAGGGCCATGTTCAGAAGGAAGTGACTGCTTACCCCTCCTTTTTTTTTTTTTTTTTTTACTAATTTCCAAAAGCATTCACACAAAGAGAAGGGGCAGGAGCTGGAACCCCCTTCTCTTTGTGTGAATGCTTTTGGAAATTAGTACAAAAAAAAAAAAAAGGAGGGGTAAGCAGTCACTTCCTTCTGAGTGCAACGGGAGAGGCAAGGTTGGAAGAAACCTGGAGGACCCCTTAAAGTGGAGACAAAAGGAACACAGAGATCTGAGCCTCTCTGCAAAAGAATGATGGGCTTTGATAGCAGCGGAAGCAGCCATCTGCAGGGCCTGTGAGATTTCCGCTGAGGGCCAGTCACCAGAACCCCTCAGTCCCCTGGGGAGAAGAGAGAAGAGCTGACTTCCCTTTTTTCCTCTCCCTCTGTCCCCTCACCCAGGGCTGATGAGGGTCCCCACCCTGCTGCAACCAAATTGGCCGGGCACACCTCAAAGCAGCAGCTCTGCAGGGTTGGGCACTATGGGGGGTATTTAGGTATTTAGGCCAGTTCATCGTCTCATGGCCACCTGGTTAAAAGCACTTTAGATTGCTTCTCTTTGCAAACAGAATATTTGGATAAACTTGTTAATTGAAACTACTTTGAAAATTTAGTTGAGTTTGGATTATAATCTGGGATTTTAGAGTGGATCCCAACCATTTTGGGATTAACGTGTAATCAATGTATCTGCATTGCTGTGTGTGTGCCCCCCCCCCCCCGTGCTATGGAAGGAGGAAAAGGGTGAACTAACTGCAGGGGGGGGGGGCTTTCAGCTTTGAGGAGTAAAAAGGATAAACACTTCCCCGCCCCCACCCCCCATACTTGCTTTCTTCCTCACTTGTGTTTCCAGTTCATGTTCCTCTCCGGCTTTCTTGAGATACCTACAGCATATAGCAGGACTCTGTATGGGGCTGACTTTTGAGCAGAAGTATAGGATTCAGTTCTAAGATTGCAATTGGCTTCCTGGCTTGCAACTCCATTTTTAAATTCAAAGTTAATTCAACAATTGAAACTGCACAACTTCTTCTTTAAGGAAAGACTGCAATGAACACCCCCCCCTTCAATTTCAACATCTGCTTCCTCTTCACCTTTGCACATTATTAAAAAAAAACCTTAAAAAGCCTGGTAAGGGCTTGGTTTGAAAAATGAATAAATAAAGTTTAATTGATTTGTGGAAATGACCCCCCTCAAAAAGAGAGAAGAAAATCCAAAATATTAGAGTGCAAGTAAATGAGCTGAGGGAATTTTTCCCCTCTTCAGGGAAAAGAACCCTTGAATCAACTTCTCTCCACACTAGGAAGAATCTCCCTGCTCCACTGGCTTACCTGCCAGCCAGTGGTTGTGCCAATGAGCAAAGGCTCCATTTGTTTGCTCCTGCAGTCAGAGGGGAGGGATGCTGATTGGCCTCTTGTTGGCTGTTTAGCACAGGCTCTCTTCCGTGGCCAGGGCACTTGGGGGCAGCACCCATTGTGGTGACTCATCTCTGAGGGCCCCGACTGCTCCCATCCTGCTCTGCTAGGTCAGCATGAAGACAATTGCAGCACCTGAGGCTGGAATGGGGATCTGGTAAATGAGGTTTTTTAAAGGGGGGGGCAACTCACTCATTGTCTGCTTCAGACATGCAGAAGCTACTTTTAAGTATCTTGAGGGACAAAAGTAACAGGTGCCTCTAGAAGCAATCTGGGGCCACCCAGATTTCAATCGGCAGTTGTTTCTTGATCTTCCCTGTTTGTCCAGTGCCCATGGGATGATTGTCCCCGCCGTTGGAGGAGGCAAGGATGGGGGGGATGGGGGGTCTGGATAGCAGCTCCTCTCTGCAAAGACCAGCACACAGAAGCCCCTGTCCATAAATCCCCTTTCCCTGTTACTTCTTCCCAGACCTTTGACTACAACCTAACCGACAATGAAGGGAACTACTCCTACGAGGATTATCTGTGTCCTCAGGCGGAGGACAGCCCCAGGCAGTCCTTTCAGAGTGTCCTGGTGTCCTCCGTCCACCTGCTGATCTTCCTGCTTGGTGGCCTGGGCAACCTTCTGGTGATGGTCATCCTGTGGCGCTACAGACGCTCCCGCACTTCCACAGAGCTCTTCCTGCTCCACTTTGCCCTGGCCAACCTGCTGCTGCTGCTCACCTTCCCCTTTGGCGTGGTGGAGAGCTTGGCAGGCTGGGTCTTTGGCCTCTTCCTCTGCAAGCTGCTGAGTGCTGCCAACCGGATGAGCTTCTACAGCAGCAGCCTGCTGCTTGGCTGCATCAGCGTGGACCGCTACCTGGCTGTGGTCTGCGCCCTGCAGACCTTCCAGAAGCAGCGTGGTTTCTCCATCCACCTGACCTGCCTGGGCATCTGGCTGCTCTCCTTTCTACTGGCCGTGCCTGACCTACTCTTCACAGAGGTCTGGGCCCAAAGCCATAACCTGAGTGTCTGCCACTTCAGGGAGTATGGCACACATGGCATCAACTCCTGGCTGGCCAAGCGCTTCCTCTACCACCTGGTGGGCTTCTTCCTACCATTCGGGGTCATGTGCTATTGCTACACAGCCATCGTGAGACTCCTCTGCCAGTCCCAGCGGCTCCAGCGGCAAAAAGCCGTGAAGGTGGCCATTGCGGTCACAAGTGTCTTCCTGCTTTGCTGGACCCCTTACAATGTGGTCATCTTCTGGGACACACTTGCCAAGCTGGAGGTCACAGGGAAGTCCTGTACGCTTGATCAGGGGCTGAGCAGTGCCATTGTTGTGAGCGAGGTGCTTGCCTACAGCCACTGCTGCCTGAATCCTATCCTCTACGCCTTCGTGGGCATCCGGTTCCGCCATGACTTTTGTCGAATCCTGTATGACGTGGGCTGTCTGAGTCAGGGGACCCTGCAGGAGATTCTGGGCACCTGCAGAATTGAGAGCAGCACGGAGACCAACATCTCCAGTGTTCGGCACGGGGCCTCCTCCTACTCTGGAAATGCTACATCTTCCAGTCTGCCAGATCGGTTCACTTCTCACAAGGACCCAAATAGCCAAGAGTGTCAGGAGGAAGGCCTGGACCTGGCAGGCCCAAAATAAAGGCTAAGCCCCATGTATATTCCCCGATTGCTTAAATGCTGTTTCCCAGGAAGTTATGAATGGCTTGGCTGTTACCCCCAGCCTGCGATTGTCCTGGTTTGGAGTGTGATGTTCAGAGATCACATTTACTCGAAAGCAGGGCTATGTCCTCCTTGCCTCCCTCCAGTGCATGTTGCATATCTGGACCCCAGGCATCCCTCCTCCCCACCGAATGAAACTGGAAATGGAGAGGAGAGATCCAGCTCTAGGGCCTGGTTTGGGCTTTCTAATCTTCAGCAAAGTCCCTTTTAAGCAACCAGAAGGAGAGTCCAGAGGAGTATGGCAGCCTCTTCGGCCTCTATAAAGCAATGTCCAAGGGCAGGACCCGCCCCCAAAGACCCTTGCCATGGTCAGTGCTGACATCACAATCAACCCAGGCATCTTGGATTTGAGCAGGGAATCCCACAGCCCAGGCCCTGACACAGGCCCTTTAACACCAGCTGCTTTTGCTTTTGTCTGCCCCAGGCAGGATCTGTTCTGGGCAGGCTTTTCAATTTGCAGCTTGTCTATCTCCGTGCAGGCGAGGATATCCTCTATGCCCCTAAGGAAATCAAGCCTCCTACATCTCATCAAACTTCCAATGGCATCTGTCTCATCACCCGTGGGAGCCAAGCTTTCAACTGCTGTCTTTAGAAACCCCCCTTTGCTTTGCAACTGTGGTCTCTCCGAGTGCTCCTCCCAGAGCTGCACCATCAAGGGCCCATTCAGACTTGGCTTTGCTATGATCATGGATCTCTAAAAATCCCAGGCTTGTTTAACAAAATTCCCAGTAATTTTGTATTTTTGCTGTAAATATTCCCCGTGGAGAATGCATGAAATAGATTGCAAACCTTCCTTGTGCTTTCCCTTGTGTGAAATGAAGACATCGCCAGCCTTCTCCCCTTCTCCTGCCAATTGGCCCAAGGAAGGGGGCTCAGCAAGCAGCACAGCTGGGGGGAGGGAGATCCGTAGCAAGTGTAGCATGCTCTCACCTCAAATGAAGTCACCATTGTCCTGAGAGCAACACAGGGCCCAGTGGGGGCTCCAGTGTGAGTTGGACTAGGGATAACTCGAGTCAGGTCCAGGGTTGCCCTGAACTCCCTGGCAGGCTTGGAGGTCATGCCCAGATGGTAGACTGGGATCCCTCATCTGCTCCGCCCCTTTGGGAAAAGTGTGCTGGGGAGGGGCTGTTGGGTCCATTTCCTGGCCTCTTCCGACTAAAGTCACTATAGGGTTAGACCACCAGCCAGCAGAGGCCCTTCACTCTGCTTGCAGACGACCCAGCTGTCTCTCTTGATCTGACCTTCCCTCCATCCCCACGTGGGACTGTAAGCACAACAGGACCAAGAATGGCTGCTCTGGAATTGGCATTGTGTCACAGAGCGGGAGAGGAACCCCTTCCCACCAAATAACCCCCAGCCAGAAGGGTAGCAGAGGAGATCCCAGCAGAGATGCCGCACAACTTCCCCTCTCCCGAGGGCAGAGCAGAAGGAGTCTTCCTTCTGGTAAGCAGAAGCCCCAGCGGAGGAAGCAGAGGCATTTTGCTCAGCTTGCAGCTGGTACAGCCCTCCCCCCCCCAACCCTCACTTAGGGTTATGAGGGGGACAGGGCTTGGGGGCATCAGGTGTGCCTGTTGGCTTTTCAGGGCCACTGGCACTCGGGAGCCCCTCCCCAAGGGAGTGCCAGAGAATCTTTTTTCCCTCTGAGGCTTCTGCCATGTTGAACTTGAGGGGTCCTTGGTGCTCTCTGAGCTGGGTTGTTTCCTTGCAGACGTTTCATTACCCAAGTTAGGTAACTTCATCAGTGCTAGAAGAGAGTGGGGTTTGCTCTCTGTTTATATTCCCAGTGGTGGTGGGAGTGGACGGTCGGGCTGTTTACTGTTTGCTGTTAGCTCAGATGCGTTTACCTAGTTTGGGTAATGAAACGTCTGCAAGGAAACCACCCAGCTCAGACAGCACCAAGAACACCTCATTTCAACCCTGAGTTACAAACATTCTCCTCTATCGTGAAGTGTTAAAAACCTAAAACATTGACATATAAAGCAACCCTTTACCAACTGTAACAAGAAAACATTTCACTGTACAGAACTACTTAAAAGAGCTGAGAAGGAGAGGATGGGGGTGCCTCAAGGAATCTGGGGGAAGAGCCCCCCCCCAGTCATGATGGGAAGTCCTTCTCCAATCTCGAGGGTGGCAAGGGTTCCACCCAGTTGTCCAGTGCCAGTCCCTGCACCAGTAGAGATAAAGACAACACAGAAAGCTCATGGCAGAAGTTTTGATTTTTTTTTAATAAAAAGGCACCTATAAAACAGGTCAATCAATACACAGCACAGATACCCCAAAACAAGCCTAGAAATCATTTCAAAATAAAAACCAGTAAGATGTCTTCACATATTGTATTTATATATTTATATTTATATTTATTTATATATTTTTATTTATAGACTGGTACAAAATGCATGGCTGGCAGGGGATGGCATGGAGCATCCAGTGCCCCCCCCTCCGGTCAGCCGCAGGGGCTCTGGGTCACCCTGACGACACTCCTCCCTTGGCCTCATCCAGACTGATGGCAGAGGAAGGGGGGGGCTCAGCAGAGGTGACTCAAGCTGGAGAGGGAAGCAGGAAGGGAGGCGGGAGACACAAGACAGGACCACATTCACAGCACAAGGCAGAGCTGAGGAGGCAGGGTGGGGTGGGGAGATGAGCATGACAGTGGATCGCTGGAAGCACCTTCTGCAGCGGGGGTGGGGTGGGGTGGTTACTGTTGTGGAGAGACTCTTGGCCAGGCCTTCACTGGGATAAATGCCCCAAGAGACCCTTTTCCCCCTCGCTTCAAATTTTGTTATCCGAACTCCCCAGCACACTTTTTATAGCCTCCTCAACCCTCCCCCTTCTGAACATCACTGCCTTCTCTCTATGAGCCTCACTGGGTCTCTGGCATTGCTGGGAGGCAACCACTTGCTTTGAGCCTCTCTTAGTTCATTGCGGACAACCTTCCTTTTGATAGGAGACTATTTCAACCTTGGATCCCCACACCCCCTCCTCTCCCCCCTTCCATGTTATTCCAAGGCAAGCCCAGGAAGTGGAGTTGGGCCGAGGAGCCGTCCGGTGGCTATTCTCCAGCAAGGGGCAGGGCAGAAAGTGTGAGGTGGCACGGAAGCAAAGGGAAGGGCTGGGGTGGACTCACCAGACTGGCCCCCAGTGGGACCACAAGCGAACACATAAAACTGCTGAAGGGGCAGTGCCCAGCAGTCTGGAAGCCCCCCTCTTGTTTCCTGTGCTGGCCATGATCCATCCACAGCACGGGGGAAAGGGCCAATCCACTCCCGTGGCGTTTCTTCATGGCCAATGTCCTGTAAGAAGAGCTGAGGGGGGGGGGAGTGGGCTGCAAACTTCACCTCAGGCCCCGTCCCAGCACCAGCCTGGAGTGTCCAGCCCTGTGGGCAGCCTGCGCACAGACTCCACTCTGCAGCGGGGGGGGGGGAGGGGGGAGAAGCAGGCAGCTGCTGGGGGGGGGCTTGCCTCTGGCACCAGGGTAACTGGTTGAGGGCTTCCACCTTTTCCACTTGTCTTCTCTGACCCCAAGAAGGCTGGGCCAGCGGTTGCTCCCCCAGACCTATGGACACCTCCCAATCTCTCCCACCCCTCGGATGGCTTTCAGGAGCAAAGTATCCCCGCCAGGACATTCCTTAGAAGGGCAGGTTGGCCATGCTGCCGGCTCCGGGGCCGTAGCTCATCTGGCCATCCAGGGAGACGCTGCGCTGACGCATGGAGACCATGAGGTTCTGCTGGGATGGGGGCCCCATAAGCGAGCCCTGGGGGGAGATCAGGTGCCCCGCCGGCTGCCCGTACATCTCTCCGGAGACAGACATGCTGCGCTGCTTGGCCTGCATGAGTAGGAAGTTCTGCTGGGCCAGGAGGCTCTGCTGCGGCAGCACCAGCCCTTGGGGCAGGCTGTTGCCTACCAGGCCCTGCTGGGGAGGCAGGCCTGTCCTGCCCAGCATGGGCATCTGTCCAGGATGGCACAAGGCCATTCCGCGTGGTATCACTTGTGGGCCAGGCCGGGCCGGGCCCGGTTCCGCCATCATGTTCTGCAAGTTCGCCAGGTGTAGGTTGGAGGGGGGGAGGGCCTTGACCCCCTGGCCCTCCCCCTTGGGGAAGTACTGCAGCGTGCTGCTGGGCTTCTCTGAAGGGATGATGCGGGAAAGGTCGAACTCGGGGATACCTGTCGGGGTGGGGCGGATCACATCGCTCAGCTCCGGATCGCTCAGCACGGAGGCCACAACAGGCAGCCCTGGTGGGAAGTGCTCTGGCAGCCGCCCGGCCAGGCGCTGCTGAGGGGGCGCTTGCTGGGGGGGCAGCTCCTCCGGAAGGACTCCCAAGCCAGGCGGGTAGTGTTGTTGCTGTGGGGCAGGTGGCGGCTGCAACCCAGGTCCGGCCGCTCCTCCTGGGACCACTGGAATGCCACCCCCATTGGCAGGGGGAGGCTGCAGACGTGGCGGGAACACCAGCTGGCCAGAAGGGCCGCAGGGCTGTCCCAGGGAGTCTGGGGGGCCAGGGGCCATCATCGGGTTCTGCACAGGAGTGCCGCTGTGCAAGGGGAGGCCGGTTCCCAGAGGGCTGGGCGAAGACATCGGGGGGGCTGCCACTTCCTGGGAGAGCAGCTGCTGTCCAGGGAGGTTCAGGCCCATAGGGCTTGGCACGGCCCCCGGCCCCACAGCGTTCACATGCATTGGGTTGGGCTGGTTTCCGCCCATGCCTGCGAGGGAAAAAGAAAGGTGCTAAGCCCTGGGGCAGAAGATACCCCAAGCACGCCCCAACTCAACTGCACTGTTATGGGGTCCAAGCAGAGGCTCCTTGTGCCAAAGAGGCAAGGCTGGCTTATCTGGCCTTCCCTTCCCTCCTTTTTCTGAACAGTTCCTGCATTCCTTCTTCAAGGTTACCCCAGACTCTGGTGGTAGGCAGAGGCCCAGCTGTCTGGAAGGTCCTCGGAAACAGTCTGGCCTCTGAAGCTCATGCTTTCTGCTACCTAGCCCCCCCCCCCTTGTTGCTGTGGGCTTTGGGGAGAAAGGAGGGTCCTGTTCCTCTTGCTCACTTCCCTAGACCAGAGTCTGTCCCAAGAACAAAGGAAAACTGCAACAAACTCCATTGGGAAGGCAAAGACAAGTTCCTAGCCGGAGCGCCTGCATCAGGGATAGGCAGCTCGCTCCTACAGCTGGGCCCATCTGGAGCCGAGAGGCCCAGTGGGACCCCGGGAATGGGGCAGAAAGGCACCAGGGGAAATCCTTGCTCCGTGGGTGCCCACAGCCGGCCTTCTGAGTGCTCCCCTAGCCCCCCCCCTTACCAGACATAGCCCCAGGCGGCAGTAGGGGGCGGTCCGGGAGCAGTTCGTCATCTGAGGTGGCGATGGTTTTGATGGCGTTGTGGTAGAGTGGCGTGGAGCTGGGCATGGCGTATTTGGACATCTGGGACATCATGAGGGACAAAGGGTTCTGGGATGGGGGTGGATCTGGAGAGGAAGGAAAAGGCAGGTTGGGGTTCAGGGGGTCAGAGGTGTTGCCAGGCGGGGCAGAGGAGCTGCTCCGAGACCCAGAGGGCACAGCACCTGCAAGAGAGAGGCAAAAACGTCTTCAGGCCAAGCCAAAGCAATCGGGCAATCCACGGAGCTGAGCTGGAAAAGAGCTGACATGGCGTAAATCGCGCAAGCCAAAGGCATCCAGGAAGCCCCCTGGCCTGGCCAGGAGGGCAGCTGCTCTCTTCCCTTCTCGCTCCCCAAACTGGTGCTGAGAAGATGCCACACGTCTGCGGGGTCTAAACAGCCATCCTCACGGGTGGTCCATGGGAGCCTTTGGGGTGCTCACAGGTTTCTCTCAGTAAAGTGTGTTAATCTCACAATTGGATCTGCTGGATTACTTTAGGGAAGGGGTGGGTTGCTTTTGACATTTCAGACCTAAAAGGAAAATATGGTTACATCGTTCCCCCTGCCATAATGAGCACAGGAATGCGTGTGCTCTTCATAACTACAGCGCAGACTGATTGCAAACAACAGCAATAAGCAGCCTTAAGCAAGAGGGGGACCTCTATGAACCACAAAGGAACGGGCCCTCTTTGAGGGGAATAGAGCCTTGCAATCACCATATTGGATGCATTTCATTCAATTGAAACCAAGAGAAAATGCTGGCAGTTTTGTCCCTGTCCACATTTTGTTATGGGGCCTCCCACAAGCCACGTGGAACCAAGGGGCCCTTGATTGAAAGGGCACTGCTCCGGAGAACAGGCCTGGTTTCAACGTAAAATGGGGCCTCTTTAGTGCTTTCATCAAAACCAGAAAACCCAAAATGACTGAGCTGAGCCGGCATTTCTCAGAGGACAGGCGTGATCCTAGAGAGTCTCTTGCAATAAAGTGGGAGCACAGATTATCGACAGCTCAGAGGTCGATCTGATACCAGGTGCCTGGCTGTCCCTCCTGCAAGGGGGCTTAGCAAGAGGAAAGGAATGGGGAGCCGTATTTATAACATGGTCTGTCAAAAGACCCCTCCTCTTTCCTCACAGAGAAAGCCAATAGAAGGTACTCCCTGAAAACCAAAAAAACTCCAGAAATTCTCATTTTCCAGAACTGCTCAGCCCCCTCAGCCCCTAGCAAGACCCTTGCCCTTACCTTGCTCAAGGTGGCCCAAGGGGGCGGAGTTGCCCATTCCAAGGGCTGGCTTGCCTGGGCTGGCGAGACTGGCCTTGGGGGAGGGTGCCCATCCTGGGGAAGAAACAGCCATGGAGGGCGATTTGAGATGGCCAGGCGAACTAGTTGGAGACCGGACGCTGAGCACGGAACCCAGCACCTGGGGGGACTTGAGGGGGGCACTGCTGGCAGCGGCAGTTGGCAGGCTGACCAGGGCAGAAGGCGTCTGCGGCGACTTGAGGTTGGCCGAAGGGGACGTGCCCAGGGGGGAATGGGCTTGGCTGAGAGTGGGAGACTTGAGGCGGCCCACACTGGGTGAGTTCATCTGCCCCATGTTGAGGGCTAGGTCCGAGGGGCGGCGGCCCAGGCCCCGGATGGGGGCTGCATGCATGTTCGTGGCCGAGGCGCTGGTGCTGGGTGGCAGGGGAACGTGGCTGAGCCGTGGGGTGCTGGCAATGCTGCCCTGCTCTGGACCAAACATATCAGGTGTGCCGCCCATCTCTGGTGGCACAGGTGCATAGGGGCCCTGCACAACCGAGAAGCTCTGCTGCTGCTGCTGTGGTGGGGGCGGTCCCTGGCCTGGGAAGGGTGAGCCCATCAGCATCTTCGGCGGGCCCCCCATCATGGCCCCAGTGCCGTTTGGGGCGCGCCCTCGGGCCATTTCCTCAGGGGGCATCAGCTCCGGCCCACGGGCCTTCTGGCTCAGCAGCATGTGCTGGTGCTGCTGCTGCGGCGTCATCTGCACACTCAGGTTCATGTTCATGTTCACGTTCATGTTCAAGTTGGTAGGGGTGGCCAGGGCACTCGCCTCCACTTCCTGCAGCGGGGGTGGGGGGCTCATCAGGGCCCGCCCCCCCCCAAACTCCAGGCCCAGGCCTTCCCCGGCAAATATGCCAGGCTCTACCTGCCGGTGGGCGGGCAAAATGCGCTCCATCTCCAGCCCCAGAGAGCCCGGCCGCTTCTCCAGCATGGGGTGCCGCAGCAAGTCCTCGCGGGCCCGGGACGGGAGGAAGCGCTCGGCCTCGCCCTGCCCTGGGGGGTATGAGAGGCCCCCGGGCGTGAAGTGTCCCGGACCCCTGAGGGACAGATCCTCACCCCATGGTAGGCCAGGCTGCAAGGGGCGGGACCCGCTTCCGACCGGGCCAAGGGACTCCAGGGGCAGGCTTGGCATCGTGGCAAAGCCCCTCTGGATGTGGCCGCCCGGGAAGCCACGGGGGCCAGGAAAGGTGGGCCGCAGCTGCTCCTGAATGTCCAGGGGTGTCCCCCGCAGCAGCCATTGCTCCCCGGGCCGGCTGTGGTAGGGTGGTGGGGGCCCCCGAAGCATCACGCCTCCCAGGGGCGTGATCACCTCCTGTAGCGGCCGCCCCGCATGCAAGCTGGTTTGCTCCTCCTTGCGGCGCTTCTCCTCGTAGTACTCCTCCTGCAGCTTGCGCCAGGCCACCTGCTCGGGGGTTAAGCTGTCCTGGCTGAGGCGCTGCAGCACCACATTCATTGGCTGGCCCAGGTCCACCCCCGGGGGCAACGGCCCCTCCTGCTCGAGGCCTGGGCCCCCCAGGCTCTGCGTCTGCGAGATCATGGACTGCAGCGGCTCCTCATACTTCTTCACACCTGTTCCAGGGAGGGCAGCCTGGGGAGGCTGCGGAGCTGCAGCCTGGGGGGGTAGGACGGTCCCTTCCCCAGTGCCTGGCCCACCCTTGAGGAAGGGCTCGGCCTCACTGCCACGCAAAAGCAGGCGCTCGATGTCCCGCAGAGTCTGCAGAGACCGTTCCCGGTGCTCCAGCTGCTCCTTGGAGAGGCCTTCGGTGTTGAGGGGGTTGCGGGGCCCGTTCCCTGCTGCGGAGGGGGCTGTGTTGGCCCCTTCCCCCAGCAAGCCCTCTGCAGTGCTGGCCTGCAGGGAGCTGAGCGTGGTGGGTGTGCTGGGGTGGGTGCTGCCAGGGGCCACGGAGCTGCTGCTGTTGCTGCCGTTTCCCACCGAGTTGGGCGTCAGGTCCTGGCAAGCTTCCTCCGGGGCACCCTCTGGCGGAAGGGCAGTGCTGGAAGAGAGCGGTCCTTGGCCGAGCCCCAGGGTGGGGGGCCCAGGCTGCTGTCCCTGGGGCTGGCTGCTTGGGGGCAGGGGGGTATTGGCAGGAGACAGGTGGAGCGGCAGGGGCTCAACAGCACCTGGCATCTTCGGGAGAGGGGCAGGCTGCAAAAGGAGAAAGAGGGCGATTGCGGGGAGTGGGAGTCTGTGGCCCACAGTGGACTGCCAACCACCCCTGCTCCGGCCACAGGTCTCCCACTCATGAGGTCTGGCCTTCCCAGCAGCACAACCGGCTGCGTCTCCCCAGCTCTGGCCTTACCTGGTCCAACTTTGCCCGGGGCACATGTTGCTGATGGTAGCCAAGGATGGAGTCTGCCTGGCCCTGAAGGACAGCCGCTGCAGCCCTGCAGACACCCAAAGAGCCATCAGGGGACCCAGCTGTGGGGAAGCCCAGCCTCCCTGCAGGAAAACCTCCCCCTGGTTTGGGGCTGGCAGAGGCGAAGGCGAAAGCTGGCCCAAGCTCCGGTCAGGGGCAGAAGCGCCATGGCTTACGTGTTGGCCAGGTGTGTGGTGAAGACGTAGACCAGCTGCAGGCCCTGCTTTCCTCCGGCATCTGACCGCAGGCTGGGGGCTGCACTGTGAGGGGCGCCAGGCGTGTTGCTCTCGCTCAGGGCCGGCAAAGGGTTGGGTCCTGGGCCCAGCTGCGTTCCTGCGCTCATGGCCGACTCGGCTACGTGACAATCTGCGAGGGACAACGGTGGCAGGCTGAGCAACCGCTGTGGCACCCGATTGGCTGGGGAAGAGCTGAGAGAGCTCGGCTTGATGCACGCATGCAGGGGCAGCACTAGAGAAGTCACCCCAGAGGGGCCCAGCGCCCCACGAAGCTTGCTGCCTTCCCTGAAGTGCCCAGCAGGTGACAGGCCAGAAAACCTCCCCTAGTCACCCACAAATACACAAGCACCTAACAAGCCACCTCTCCAGCTTGGGAGGGCTGACCCCGCCTTCCCAAGTCTTGCCCCCCCAGAAAGGCCTGATAGCCCACCCCCAGTGGCCCCCCCAGCAATGATGGATACTTCCTCGTTCTGCTGGTTTCCTTGGAAAGCACCAGCTGACAAGCCAGTACCTGCAAGGGCAGTGAGAAGCAGAAGGAGGCGCTTCCAGGAGCCATGCTTTGCCAAGGCATGGCTGTCTCACCCTGAGAGGGGCTGCCAGAGGTTGGGCTGCTGCCTCCTTGGGCACCAGAGAGATGGCTGCTCCAAAGAGAGGGGGGGTGGCATGCCTGAGCCTGTGGGCACTCACTGTGGCTGCTGCCCAGGGACTTGTCGTCATCCTCGCTCTCCGGCCCAGAGCACCACTCGTCCCCGCTGTAGGGCTGCTTCTTCTCCAGCACACAGCGCCTCTTGCTCCGAGGGGCTGTCTCGCCTACCAAGCAAAAGGCTGTGCTGAGCCCTCCTCGGTCCAAAGGGTGGCAGATGTGATGCCAGCCCACCCCGCCTCACCCATGGAGCTAGTGGAGCCATTGTTCCGCCCCCTGCCGGCCCTGCACCCTCACCTTTCAGCTCCTTGTCCAGTGGGGTGGCAGTCGCTTCCCGCCGCTCTCCCGAATCCACGGAGATACTGCGCTCCCGCCTGACTTTGCCCTTCAAGGCCCCAAAGACAGAAACAGGAGCCTGGCTGGCTTTCAGTGCCAGAGGGCCTGCGGCGGGCTGGCTGACTTTGGTGCCCTGGCTCCCTGTCCCGCCCACACCTTTAGTGCCCAGGTGGCTGGTGGGAGGGGGGCTCACTTGGTGGGGTTGGGACTCGGGGTGCACATTGCTATTACCTGCCTTTCCATGACTGGCCAGTTTACTGTCAGGGTGCATTTGACTGGCTAAAGTTTTGTTCAGCGACACTGGAGGAAGCGCCGTATCTCTGGGTCCACTGCCACTTCCTGTCAGGCCAAACACCTCCTGGGTGGGGAGGGGGAAGAGGGGCAGAAGACAAAAGCAATCATCAGAGGGGCAAGAAGAGGCCACAGCAGATGCCACACCTCCTGCTCAGGACACCCATCTTGTACCAGGGTGTCCCCAAGACCTCTGGCAAACCTTGCATCCTCACTCCCCACAAGCCCTCAACCGTGGGGCCCAAGAATCTCTCCTGCTGCCCCTGCGAGTTTGCAATCTGGCCCCCCTCTCTGGCGGAGCTAAGGAAAGGGATGCCTGGCACTGCCTGAGAGGAGGCGACCCCAAGGGCCCGTCAGCCAAGCCCTCTGAGGGATCCACTCCAGAAGGTGCCATTCCAGGTGTTCTCATCCAAAGGTGGCCAACGCAAAGCAGATTACTTCAATTACGGGGGAAACTGTGAGGGGGGGAGGTAGGATTAAAGATGTTCAGACATATTGAAGAATCAGCATGGCTTCTGCAGAAGTAAGTCTTATTACTTTTTCCAAGTTCAACGGATTTTTAGACAGAGGCAAGTCTGTCAAGGCTTTAAAAAAGCATTTCAGCTATCCTGGGATAAACAGTAATTTCATTATGAGTTGGGATAAGAGAAAACACAGAAGAGAAACAATCAACAATTCTTCCAGCAGACAAACATTAAAAGTTCTAAGGACGAGTGCTGGAACCAATATCTTCATAAGTGGGCTGAGCACTAAAATGACCAGACTTGCTTACAATCCAAAATAGTTTTGCATGGTTAAGACAATAAAGAAGCATCGAAGACCTTCAGAAGCTCCTCTCCAAACTGCTGGAGTGAACACTAAAAAGTAAAATATGCAAAACAAATCCTAGCTAGGTAATCCTGGCTAGGGCGGATGAGGAAAGGAATTTTTTATAAGGAATTTAATGAAAACACACCCCTATTGTCCAGTTGCTAAAAACATGCAAATTCCACCTTGGGAATCATTGGAAAGGAACCGGAATTAACAGTCCATGTCACCATCCTTTCATACAAATATATGACACGCTGGAGAAGCCAACGCAGTTCTGTGTGAAATTCAAAACATATATTGTACTGTAACAATTGACAATCTGCAGAAAAGTGGCTAATGGGCTTGAATGCACCTTGTAGGACAGGGGTCTTCAAACTTGGCCCTTTTATGACTTCAACTCCCAGAATTCCTCAGCCAGCGTGCCTAGCTGAGGAATTCTGAGAGTTGAAGTCCACAAGTTATAAAAGGGCCAAGTTTGAAGACCCCTGTTGTAGGATTTTGGAAAAAAGGTGAGCAATAGGCTGTTTGAAAGAGGCCAAGAGAATCCAAAGGGACAGCTGAATGGGGGAGTTTCAAGACAGGGGAGGGAGAAGCCCCCCACTCCCTCCCACAGCAATGGAGGGGGAAGGCCCCCTTTCCACACAGCTTTGAGAAGAGGTCGCTCTCAAGGCCTGTGAGTGGCTCTGGATCCTTTACAGCCCTGCCTTGGAGCACCAATTTCAGGCTCCTCTTAAGATCCCTCTCAAGGCGGGGAGGAGTCCTAGCCCATCCCTTGGCCTGCTCTTGTCTCTGGCTAGCGGGTGCTCCAGCACTTAGAGGGGGGCTCCTTTGTGACACCCTGTCTCTTTAAGTATCAGCCATCATGTGGGCTGGCTAAGCCTCTGGGGACCTATTAATAGCAGCTGGTAAGATCACATCACTCCAGGGATATTTATACTCCTCCTTCCATACCAGGAGAGATTTATTTCCAGGCTGCCCAGTGAGAGCCTGCTGGAGTGGAGAGGGGAGTACAAGTCACCTGCAGGAGAGTCAGCTCCGGGCAGGGTGGCAGACACAACCTCAGGATTGAGATGTCTCCGGATGCCAATGGCAAAGGCCAAGGATCCACACTCTTCCTCAACCAGCACCTTCCAAGCATGCTAGGGGACAGCAGTCCCCACCCACGCCCCTCCCGGCCATGCTGGTGGGAAAGGCCTTGGAGCAGAAGGAGGATTCTGGACTGCTGTCCTGCCTTTGGTTTCGGCTCCACTGAGTGGCTCTGGAAGAGGGGCGGCTCCCCCTCCAAGCCACAGGGGGCCCTGGGCACCTTCCATTTCCCTGCCCCTAAAGAACCTGTAGCCAGGAGCCTCCTCAGGAAAGCTCAGAGGCAGGCCAGCTCTCCAGGCCCAAAAACCTTCCAAGGGAGCGTCCCCATTGCCGCCTCTGTTCTGGTGCAATCAGACTCTGTCAAAACTCACTCAAATGACGGGTCCTACCTGAGACCTCTGAGGGGTTCTGAAGCCCCACTGGGCTCAAGGCTTGCTCACTCCCTGATAAGCTCCCCTTCACCCCACAGGGTCATCCCACACAGTTGCTCAAACCGCACAACTGTTTCCACGAAACCTGGCAAAGGCTACCAAGGATAAAGAATAAATCTGTTAAAGGCTACCCTTAATGCCACAGTGCCCCTCAACTGTGGGTCCCTGGGAGAACCAGATGCTGGATTAGAGAGGTAAATGAGATGATCTACCCTTCAAGTGACCAGGAATCCCTGGGGGTCAGGTTGCTAGTTGGGGACTCTGGCAAGGAAAGAGAGGGTAATTATGGGGTAGAAGGGAGACATAGCAGACTTTGCAGAGAGGGATGTTTCACTGAGCTTAGAACACTTTTCTGATCCTTCTTGCTTACAATGGATGCTCCTTGCAAGACCTTGTGCCAAGAAGCACAGGGAAAAATTAAGTATATTTTCCAGGGGTGATGAGGCAATTCCCCTAGTGAAATCCCAATCTGGATAAAGCCTTCATCTCTATACAGGACTCCCCATATTAACGTTAGGGAAGTTTAAGCAGAAGGTATCAAAGGAAGCATCTCAGGAGGGCTCTAGAGAAGAGGAAAGTCACTCTGAGGAGAAGATAGAGCCCGGCCACAGCCTTCCTTCAGAGATGGAAAGGGTGGCTTGTAAGGGCCTCACATGCCCAAACCCTTTGTAGCTGTATTCCCAGCCGCTCAGCCCATGAGGGGAGGCAAGGCTGGGAATGGCACCAGGATTCCTGCCCAGGACTTGGAATGACTCCTTGGGTCAAGCACAGGCCCAGCTTGGCTCACAGGCCACACACCATGCTTTCAGAGACTGCTGCAGGCTGCATACTCTCGCAGACACAGACCTGTCCCAGGGTCCTGCAGGCCCTTTCGCTTCACTTAAGGGGAGGGAAGGAGAGGGAATCCCACTCCCAGCCACCAATGCTGGAGGGAATACTAGCCCCTCCTGCTGGACAGTCATAAACTTCACGCACAGGGCTGGTCAACCAGCAAGACAGTGATGGTGGGAGGCAGTGGCTGCAGTTAGGAAACAGCTCTCTGCAGCCAGAGAAACCTACGTGCCTTTCCCCAAATCCAGACTGACTTCAGGGCCTGGAAGAGAGCAGCCAGGGACTTCGGAGAAGAGCAATGGGGTAGGAAGCAGGAGCTGCCATCCAGCAGGGAAGAGGCAAAGCAGTCTTCTCTAGGGACAGTCCCTGTACAGGTCAATCTGGCTTGGCCGGCCTCATCATCTTTGCTGTGTGAGTGTCACTGAGAACCAAGGCTTCCTTTATTATTACAAAACTCAGGAATACTGATATTGTCATCAGCCAGGAAAAGGGTTGCTTGCTTGTTCTGACGTTTTAGGGAGTAAAATTAGGAAAAAAAATACACATGCCTACGTATGCAGACGTGCAGCTGAAAGCCCTCAGGCCCATGCTGGGTTTGAGGGTGCTCACTGAGGGTATCTAGTAAGACGTGGCCCGTAAACCAGCCCTCTCTGGGCTAGTCATTGGCTTTAACCCAGCATGAGATCCATCCATGGCTTGCCTGCCCACCAATCCATGCCCCACCTTCACTGTGGGTCTCCTAGCCACAGCATAGCTATGGACAGAGCTACTTGCCGGAAGGTCCCTGGTGGTCCAAGAGAGCAAGCAGGATTCCAAGATGGGACAAGGTGACTTCTACTGCAAAAGACCAGTGCAGCGGTCATTCAGAGCCCCTTGGGTCAAACTGAAGCCACTGACCAGCAATAGGACACTCCCTCCTGCAGGCATTTCTGAACACCCTGCAGAGAAGGGTGCTTCTCCCCCTGTCACTTTATCCAGAATTATTCTAGAACTTCTACAGTGCTTTTCTGCCCCTCCAAGCACTTCCCCCCGAGGGCACTGGCTTTGCAGACCTGTAAAACCACCAGCTTTCTTCTGCCTCCCCCTATGATCTCCAGGCTAAGTACTCACAGTTCGAGGAGCGGTTGGGACACCAGGGCAGAGAGAGCCCCAGCGCTCACTGGGAAGGTGGCAGGGAAGAAGGGGTGTGGCTCAGAAGCAGGAGAGGGGCCAGGGCCAGGGCCAGGACCAGGGAATCTCTCTGAGGCACAAGCAACAGCCCTCTGCCACAGCTGGCAGGTAGCCTTCCTCTAACGCATGGGCCAGTCCACTGGATTCCATCTAACAACTGCTCCCCTCTTCCTAGCCTGATCCAGGGATCGTATGTTGAGCTGATCCAGAAGGTCTTGGGAGGTCTGAGGAACCAAGGCAGATGCAGGCTGCCTCCCCGCTGTTTCTGAGGGGTGGGCAGTCCTAGCAAGTGAGTTTTCAACGGGGGAGGGGCCAATTTGGAGCAATCTGCCTCTGCCTGCTCAGCTCAGGCAAGGCCATGCCTGTCTCCGAATCAGCGTCACTCGAGGTCGCTGCAACCCACAGCAATGTGCTAAGTAGGTCGAAGTCTGAAGAGAAACTGTCTTTAGCAAAGTTCCCAAGCCTTGGCTCATACAAAGATCACATTCTTCGCTGTCTAAAGTGGGAACAGACCCAGAACATTCTGCAAGTTTTGAGAATGAAGCAAATCTTGTTAAGAAAGGCTCTCCGATTCCTCATGCAGATTCCTCGAAGCAAGGCTGGAGAAGCGTCTGGAATTCCTTGGTGCCAGGATCCGATTCGCCCCAGCCCG